GGCCATATACAATCGACCACCTCAGTAACCCAGCGGATACGGATCAGCAGGAGGACATATTTGAACTAGTGGGCATCCTTATTCACGCGGGCACGGCAGAATCAGGGCATTACTACTCCTACATCCGAGAGCGGACATCGACGGTGGACCGTCCCAGCTGGGTAGAATTCAACGACGACGTCGTAACGCCATGGGATCCGCGTCAAATGGCGGCCAACGCCTTTGGGGGTAGCGCAGGTCAGCAAACGGGCCCTGATTCCGGCGGCCTGAGCTTTGACAAGACCTACAGCGCCTACATGCTGTTCTACCAACGCTCTTCATCCCTTCTGGCAGAGCAGCAAACCGCGCCGCCTATACAGGAGGCCATAACTCCCCTGCACGTTGACACCGACACCCCCTTGAGGCAACATATTCTCGATGACAATACGCTGTTGCTCAAGCAACACTGCCTGTATGACCCCAGCCATGTAGAATTTGTGCAACATTGTTTCAGGCAGGCAAAAATCCTCGATTATGCATCGTCTCCCAGCCCAGATCAGCTTCAACCTCAACCTCAAAGCTCAGACCACGGCCCAACAACCACACAGCCTCACGCATTAAAAACCCTAGCAATGGAGATGGCTCTTGGCCACTTTGACCAACTGATTACTCGAGTCGAAGGCACACCGAGTTTTGATTCATTCGCGGCCATGATCCGCTCAGCTGTAGTCGATTGCGGAGCCTGCGCCTTTTCGTTTTTCAATTACTTCCATGTACATCACGAGGCCTTTAGGGGCTTAGTGCAGCGAAATCCAGACGCCGACGTTCGTGCCTTTACTGGTTCTACAATGGCTATCGTATTGGGTAAAATCGCCACCGAGACACCGCATATTTACGATCGACCGGCCATGGTGCAGGATGATGATGGGAGCGAGTCTGCGTCCAGCTCTTCAGGCCACGGAGAGTCTCCTCCAAAGTCATACGTATTAGAAGAGGTGATGGCCTCGTTCGACCGTCTTTGGCGATATTTTCAGTTCCATATCCGCTCTTGGGATGAAGTCTTTGGAATGATGCTCCAGTTTGCCACGCTCGGGCCACGGGAGGTAGCGTACATGTTGGGGAATGACTTTCTGGTCAAGTTGTTGCGTATCATCGCAGCAGATGCGTCCATGGATCTGCCGCCCAACTACGCAAAGATGCTGCACAGCATCTACCGGCGACCTGCTAACCGACCACCGTCGTATGCATCGATCCTAAAGCTCATTAGCTACCTTTTATCGCAGCTTGAGCCTACGCTAGGCGCGCAGTATATCGTCGATGCACCAGAAGAGCGATTGGCCTTCCGCGAGCCACCGTTTCCCTGGACCTCGGATGAAGTTCACCTCATTCACGACCACCCCGAACGTCAGATGTCGAGCATTTTCGTCGAAAAGCTCCTCGCCATTGATCAAGCGCGTGAGGCTACCCACAACATCTTGGGCCGCTTGACGGCGGTGTCTACTCAAATGGATCTCAGGGTATTCAACACGCTACGGAGGAAGATTCAAGGGGACACGACGACGGAGGCGTTGGATCCATTCCTGCGAGGCGCCAGCGCTTACCTGGAACACACTCTGTCTGCTAGCCACGGGCAGACTCTCACACGGCACATTGCTGCTCAGGCGCAGAGCCTACATAGCAGCGAGGGCATGGCGTTTCTAGAGCACTTTCAGGCATCGCTTAATTTGAAGAGGAAAGACGGCTCAATGGCTGAAACCACGGCCGCCAATAGTCTCGAAACTTTGCCAGATTGGGTACCCCATCTTCTTGTATTCCCAGATGGCGAGCTGAGGTACAATACCGAGCGCTTCCTGGATGCAGAGCTCTTCAGCTTGGCGCCCGATGTCTCTGGAGAAGATACGACAATGCACGATGATCGGGAGGGCGTAAGAGATGTTATTCAAAGGTTGGGGATATCGTCTCTGCTATATCTCCGCGATACACATATAAGGCGTCGTATAATCATTGGACGGGACACTGCGAGCGCTGTGGTGCGAGTCATTACTAAATGCGGTGCCTATTTCAGTGACACACCGGGAAGCGACGACAACGGTGCCGATTTCAGAATTCTCCAAAGCGGTACGGACATACCCTTGCACTACTTACGAAGGATGATTCATAGTCCGCTGTATGCTAATGTCATCAACACAGAAGTGGTCGGTTCCTTGAGGAGGTTTGTTGTTGATGAAGAGGTAGAGGATGATGGTTCCGGTATGCTGCCTGCTACCCACCAGTTGCACCCCGTTACTGACCACATTCTAGACTGGGAGGGTTCTTGTATTTCATCAGATCCGGTGGATTGCCAGCCGGACCTTGGAGTTCAGCAAATCGGTGAGCCGGATGATGCAAACGCTATATGAGGCGTGTGTACTGCTTCCGAAAGAAGGGTGTGGTTTTAACAAACTTGCTTGATTTCGATAGAGAAGGCAAGTGTGGAGTTTATGGGGTCCAGGCTGATGTTTACTGTTCTATACTGTTTCGTTTTTTTTTTCCTTTTCCTTTATTGGCATTGTTTCTTCTTCTTTTTTTTCTTCTGTTTTCTTTATTTTACTGCCGGTCTCATCATACGCCTTCCTCCCTATGTCGGGTTTTCCTCCCTCGGACGGACTAATCAGGAAACCGCCGTTGTCTGAAACAAACAGGCACATATAGAAGCACATGGGTGAGCAGGTTCTGTAAGACCGTGATGATGGATTTGGGCATAGCATTGGGGCGAAAGGCGCAGGCAAATCCCAGCTCACTACGAGATAGCAGTTACGAAATCACGAACTAGGGCAAGGAGAAGGGTTTGTTTGTTAATCGCGGCAAGGACTGAATAGACTGGTATGAAGCAATGTTATACCACCGATTTTCTCTTTTTTCTTCTTCTTTCCCCCTTTTTTTGTCTGCCCTTATTGGTCTTGTTGCAGAGGAACACCGCATCACTTTCTATGCAAGCTGTGATGCCAATTGCTTGTGAGAAGCGGCGTCCCCGAAAGATGCCGAGACTGGACCGACAAGACGTGTCTGAATGTACAGCGTAGAGCCACCTCTGAGTAGAGTCGCTTTGATTTACATGACGTATACAGCGGATGTAAGTATATACATATGCACGTACTTTGAAGCGCATGCCATCTAACGTCTTGTTGTTACCAACTCGCTACTATACAGCATCAGATTTAACAGAGCACCTCAGTCCGATCCGAGGCGGTCCAAGACCCAGGCCGGCGGCGTATAAAAGGTGGTTCCTGTCAGAGCCTTGGAGAAGTCGAGGATGCGATCGTGCTTCCCGGGAGGGTCGCCGATGAACATGCGCTCCAGCATCTTCTCAATCACCCACAGGCGGCGCGAGTAGCCGATGAAGTAGGTGCCGAAGACGCCGGCGCCGGGGGAGCCAAAGGGCATGTTGTCGCGGAGGATGCTGTGCTCGTTGCCGTCGTCGTCCTCGATGGTGGCCAGGGTCTTGTGGGCTTGCTGGTGGCCGTCGGGCTGGTCGTCGAGCTCCATGTTGTCCATCTTGGTGCGGCCGATGATGGCCTCCTGGGCTTCCGTGGAGAGGCCGGTCCAGCCGGCCATGTCGTGGACGTACTTTTGTACGACGACGTAGCTGCCGCCAGCGCAGTCGGCGTCCTCGTCGGCGATGAGCACGGCGTCCGGCACGGAGGGGCCGACGGGGTTGGCGGTGCCGTCGACGAAGCCCAGCAGGTCGCGGGCGTCGAAGTAGCGGAAGCCCTGGGTGTCGTCGACGACGGTGGCGGCGTCGCCGAGCTTGAGCAGCAGCTGGCGCTCAAACTCGAAGCAGACGTCGCGGCGGTCGGAGCGGATGTGGAAGAGCAGGTCGCCGGGGGTGGCCACGGCGGTGTGCCGGGCGCCGGCGATCTGGCGGAAGGGGTGGAGCTCCCTGGGGCGGGGGAGGCCGGGGATGTCGGCGGTGAGGGCGTCCCAGGCGTCGGAGCCGATGCCGACGGCGCAGGAGAACTGGGAGTTGAGGTCGCGCAGGGAGACGTTTTTGGAGAGGTCTTGGACGCTGGCGAGGGCGGAGCGGACGGTTTGGAGGGAGGAGGGGGAGGACGAGTTGATGGTGAGGACGAGGAAGGTGGCGGCTTTCGTGAGGGGGTTTTGGACGGCTTGGGGGACGCTCATGGTGTTGGACTTGGATGTGTTATTGGAGGATGATGAGGGTGATGGTGAGTGAAAGGGTCTATATGGGTGAGAGGATCGTGATGTTGAGAGGGACGGGCGGGGTCTTGATTGAGACTGAGATTGAGATTGAGCTACAAACAGACGATGGCACCTCTCAAATCGGACGAGTCTCTGGCTTCGAAGCTGCACGGCGCTGGTAGCAATGCGATTGACTATCGCGGCCATAACCTCAGTAGAAAAGGGGGAGACAAGGTCAATGAGAGGTGGTTTTTTTTGGCGTATTTATTTACAAAGGGGAAAAGAAAGCTCATGGTGTGATTTCGAAGCTAAAGATGGTTCTATAGCAGCGCGTTTTGAATTGGGATTAGCTCGCTCGTCTTGACTATTTGGGTTGTTTAGCTTTAAACATGTGCTTTGTTTTCGTTTCGGGATAGGAAGCTGAAGATGGGTCTGGTGAGATTCAAGATGCCGGGCGAAGTTTGTCTCTGACGTCAACGGTGGAGGGTATCAAGAGATCCGAAGGGATTCCGAGATTCGTGCGGCCAATCGGGGGGTGAGGGATTGTCAGCGGGGGGGAAGGTGGGTTTGGCTCGCTGGTTTTTACTGCTTTGGGGAGAGTACCCTGGAATGGGGGATTCTAATTGTTTACTTTGGTGTTTTGTGGTGCTTTTTATCAATGAGATTGTGTATATTGATGTTAGATAAGAAAGATGTCGTGTTCCCTCTGTGTGTATAGCAAGACTCATTTATGAGATTGTGATAAGAGTGCTTTGAGATACAACGCATGTGAATAGCTCAGTTGTATGCTAATAGTATATCCCCGACCACGATCATACAACCTCAACCCCTACTAATTATACTTAGATACGTTTTTCTTTGATAGCGGATTCAACGTTGGCATCTTGGCATACCATCTTGATGCTTTCGCACAGTTTTTCGTTTTGCTTACGGAACTCACTTATCCGATCGCGAATAACCCCCTTGGTGTAAGCAGAACTAGAAACGGCGTCCATATCAACGGCGAGCGTGTCGAGAATACTCCTCCTTTCATGCTCCGGTAAAGAGACATTCAGGTCTTTCTGCATAACCTGGTCACAGAATATTATCGCAATGGCTTTTCGAGCCTGGTCGGCACAGTCGTCCAGCTCCTTTACGTTGATGCTAACTGTACGCACAAGTGGTTAGGAGACAAAGTGTTGCCAACTCGTAGGTTGCCATTGCATGGATAGGAAAGCATAGCATACATAGCGTTGAGAGGAAAGAAAACTTACACTCTTTGACCCTTTCCACCTTGAGGCAGGCTTCGTTGCCTTTCGAATCGAAGCTGCGATGCTTCTTATATCCTGCAACACCTCCTACTGCAACTCCTGCGGCACCTCCGGCTCCTCCTGCACCCAATCCTCCGATTCCACATGCACCGAGAGCCGCAGCCCATCCGACAGGATTCCACCAGCATAAGGCTGCAACAACTGCCACGGCGGTGACGCCAGCTCCGAGCGCGCCTATGCCTGCCACCTTCTTTTTGGAGCCACTGACCGCAGTGTTGTAATCTTCCTCGAGAAACTTGATCACGGGACGTACAGCTTGCTTCAGCTTGGAGAACTGAAGCGCCGCGGCGGAGGAAATCTGGACGAGTTCGTATAGGTCTTGGTTGGAGATGGCCGCTGGTTGTGAGGTGAGTGCCCGAAACTCGCATCGGATGGAGAGACTCAAAGGGAAGACTTACTTTCCTGTTTCTCTAGTTGCATTAACTTGTCATGCATGCCGTTGGCTAGGCGCGCGTATTCCCTCAAGGGATCACCGGCGTTACGCAGTGCCATGTCCAAATCAATGATTGGAGCTTCAGGCTCCGAGGCGTGATTGTTGCTTTGGATGAACTTTGTCACAGAGCCAGACTTGATGTTAGAAAACACAGCTCTGCATTGGATGCCCAAGTCAAAACGATGAGACTGCTCGTCGAGGAACCTACCTGTTGTAACATTGCTCGCAGCTGGACAAAGCTCTCTGGCAGGACCTCATTGAAAACTTGGCAATACTTTGCCCCTATTTGGCTACTAATCTGACTATTATCCCTCCCTTGCATGATGTTGCTCTGGTACATGAGATAGAGGCTAACAGTGGCAGCCAAGATACCCGGAACGTCGCAGACGGTGTTGTCATTGGCAACAGTTTGGAACCTAACAGAATATGCCTAGTCAGAAGATAATTCTAGTCTTGGGGAAAGTGACCCTCACCAGTCCTGCACGCCATCTGTTGCCACTGTGTCGGGCATCTTAAAGGTGTTGATTGGTATTTGGAGTGGGTTTAGAACATAAACGTGTGTGTATAGCGATTTCTCCTTCTCCTCGACATCAACTGGGAATATGTTCATGTTGTGGGGAGTGCTTCTTTTCGCAATGAAGAACTGGTAGATGAATTGTGGCGCAGTTCTGAAGAACAGCTTCCGGACGGCGGCTATTGGATATTGCTCTGGATCGTCGTACTCCAATCTCTCGTAGCGAAACTTCACCTACATGTGCATATCAGATGAGCTACTCTGTTGTCGCAGAATACGGGGTTATGAAGCTCGGCAGTACATAGGGCTGTCACTTACCTCGACTGGGACATATGTATCCCTCAAATTGAGCTCTGTGGCCGCGGCAATCTCTCCATCAATCACAGTCCAATCTTGGATGGATTGAAAGAGGGCACCAAACTCTCTGTTGGCATCGGGGCTTCGACCTTCGGCTGTGCTATAGTGCCATACTTGAAGATGGACAACAAGTTCTGCCATGGTGCCACAGTCTTTTTTGACAAAATGAATTATTTTCTAGATTAATAGACTCTCCTCGGTGATACAAGGACAGTCATATAATAGAGAAAGCGTTGAGATGATCAAGAGGGATTGGTGACGTTCTTGGTTCTTCGGGAGGCACTTCCCACGCGTGATATCAGAGTAGAGGAGCATCCACGAACGCACCAATCTATCGTAACCATCAATTACTTGTGCATATAGGCAAAAGCACACAATACTGTCGTCAGATCCAGCGCTGCCCAACGGAGCGACTGAATCAGCCTAACTGTTGTGCAATCATATCGCAAGATTATGCCCCAGACGTGCATCAACGGCCATCCTCATCCTCCAATTACTTCACTCGGACATGCACCACAATTATCCCCGCAGTGACGTGGCGGTTAGAATGTTGGTCGTCTAGCCCACCCATTTGTGATATATAACCCTTCTCATTGGCAGAATATAGAATATGACAGGTTTCTCTCGGGGTTAGGCTGGCAAGGCTGGCTCGAGGGGTCGGCTTCAATACTGAAAGACTCTATTCAACTACCGCACATCTCTTCCACTTGTCTTCTCGGTCGACGTGACCATTGATTTACATAATCTCTTTTTCGACGACATTCCTAAAGTCGGGAATTCAGAATGTCAGTGTTCGACGATGACCTCAGGCTTTTTGCAGAGCGGAACCAAACACCTCCCAACGTGACCACTGCCCTTGTTTCCCGAGATTTCTATACATCTCCTCGGCTACAGGCCATCATATCCCAATGTCAAACTGACGATGAAATCGAACGTGAATTGTGGGAGGATTTCGAAATCCATCGTCGCCGCGCGGATAGGTATCTGAATAAATATCTAGACTGCAAACAATTGGCGTATGATGAAGGGCGAATTTCCGAGGTTGACGACTCGATTGAAGAGAACCCTGTGGACCCGTACAGAAGTATACATGTCCAAGAATTTTCGACTCAAGGAGATGCTGATATTAGAATGAATGTAGGCCTAATCGCGAGAGAAGCGTACCCAAATGCTGCAAACGTGACGGAGCCTCACTGGGACCTGAAAATCTCTTCCGACGGTCTTCATCGCGATCTGCTGGCTATGCAAGAAACTCTCGACTTCCTCAAGAGAAGAGAGCCGCTGAAAAACATCATCTTCAACAATGTTGTTGTCCCTGTAGCGAGGTTTTCTTTCGCAGCTGTATTCCCTTTGGGGTTACTGTAAGTCTGGCCCCAAATCCTCCAAACTCCCAGCTCTCCACTCCAGCTGACAAGTAATTTCCTTTTCGTCATCTCAAGGTATAAGAGCTACCTTCTCTGGAGAAATCATCATGTCGGAGCGGCCGAGTGTTGCTTTGGTGCCAGCATCATCCCAGCTGGATCGTACTACTGGATGCGAAGCGGATTTAGGCCAATGACGATTGGGAGATACCAGCAGAAGGTCTCGAATTTGTATACGGATTTGAACAGACGTAAGCTGGGTGAATGGAATCGGAGAGATCTCGAAGATTATAACTTGAGCATGAGGAAATAAGCGGAAGCGTCACTTCGTAGATCTTCTGCTTCCCCAGGTACAAAAGATATACCTATACAATAGGTCGAGGTCTCGAGCGTAACTCGGCCCTGTTGTGTAAAATATGGGTAGGTATGAAGGGTATTTGTAGGAATCGGTGTGCCCATGATGCAGAATTGAATGAGACTTTTGCAACTAACTTTGTGTGCCATCGGAATGAGTAAAACATAAACTCTACCTACCTGTAGTTAACCCACACTCTTGGGTACATGTAGCTCCGCCTATCAAAACTCAGATAGTCGCCATCTATGTTCTCAAATCACAGGCGCATATACTATCGCTAATGGCAGTTTGAGCAATTAGCTCTAATTTACTTTTTTCAATAACCTTTTCATGGCTCCCCTTTGGCGTCATGGTCCATACGAGGCAGAATTCGAATACCTGTATATAACGTCTCCAAGCTTCCTGGATAAAAACCTTGACTTTTTTTTTTTTACTCTTTTACTCTTTTACTCTCTTATTCTTTTATTCTTCACAAAAGCAGAGTGAGTATCTTACCTATGTACAGTTGACACGATGGATCCTCCAATCAGCCCCCTTCCCACGGGCTCACCCTTCACTTCTACGCCTTTAACCGCCCCTTCTACGCCCTTACTCTCTCCTTCTACTACCGCAAAGTTGAGTATAGCAACGTTGGACGCAAAGATTCGTACGGCCATAAACCAATTCCTCTATCCCAAAGAGAGGAGTCCTGAAGAAAAACAAGTGCTCCTTTGGTATATGGATACCCGGCCGATCTCTGCAAATCCTGAGCCAATCCTCTCCTCGGAGGAAATCGAGGTGCGACTAAAACTGATCATCGATATTCGGAAAATTTATGACGACTCAGCCTGCAAGCTTCAACGTAGCGACGAAGGGCGCTTCCAGCTTACGGCTTTACAGTTGGTGTATCTTCTATTGATATCGGTGGATCACCTGCGTGACATCAGAGAAGCACCGATGGTTCTTTACCTGCCTTATTATAAACTGGGGGCTTATGTTTGCCTTAGTAAGTACTATTACGAAGTATTCCACCTACATCTACCTAGTACATCTGCCTGTGTGTAGTAGATTCATCTTTATCCATCACGTCTGATTCTGATTCTGATGCTCGTCTTATAGGCTGGTGGCTGCTTAGAGACTGATCATGTGTCCTAGTGACTCGACATATAATGCCAAATGACATCTTTGTCAATGGAGGCACCCTATCTCCAACTCCCAATAATAAATTTACCTTGCTTGCTACCGGCACGATGAACATTGGCCAAAATGCAATCGAACGAGCCAAGTGTGCCGCTCGAGATGGCGGAGCCTGTATCCTCACTGGAGCGGCTTTCCCCGACGTTTGCCATATTGTGCCATTCGAAATCAACGCAAGCAAGGCGAGCCTTGCCCATTATCGCAATCATTTATTCCACTTAACTTGTCTTATGGGGAAGGAGGCTCGTCCTCAGGTGACGGGGCTTCTTGATTCGGGGGTTGGTTGCTCTGATAAAGCCTGGAATATGCTTTGCCTCCATCCGACTCTTCGGGATTGGTGGAGCAAATGTTTCTTTGGTCTTAAATGCACTGGCATCTGTCCTACTTCATCCGCTGGGCTTGATGCTAAGCGTAAATATACCGGTAGTTACCTCGTTAAGTTGCAATTCCATTGGATGCCAAGGAACAATGGCGTCCATCCACGAGATTATGCTCAGCCAGACCATGATACAATCGAGAAAATGCTCAAGATTAAGGAGCGAGACAACGATATCATCACTCGAGTGCAAAAACACAGCTCCTGCCGTCTCCAGTCTGGGCAAATTTTCACCCTCAGCATGTCGCGTGAAGACGCAACTAAGATGCGGCAGATGATTGATATACAATGGGCCAACGTACGGCTTGCGGCAATGTCGGGTATGTCAGGCAATTGGGGACTGCTGAATCACTCTCCTCAGGAGCCTACTATTGAAATTAGGCTTGACGACAAATGTGAAGGTTCTGTACATGCATGCAGCCCATGCAAATGGTAACGGATACGTGAAGAGGGGAGCGGTAGTTGGAGATATGAGAAGAGAGTAAACGACAGCACCAGATACAAGAGGAGGGGAGTAATTATAAAAAAATAGTAGGGGAATATGGCTGCAATTAGATTCGGCGCTGCCCAACGGCGGTGGGTTAATAAATCAGCCTGATTCCCTTGCATCCATACCGCAACAACGTGCTCGAGACGTGCATCATGGACCATTCTCCGTGTTCCAATGATTCCATTCAGTCGCCCACCATATTCATTCCCCCGCAGTGACGTGGCAGACGGAATGTTGCTCATCTAGCAAATCGTGTTACCGATGCTCTTCCCGGAAGAGCGTGCCGAGTTGTTCTCGTAGCGAGGCTAGCTGGCTCATGAGATCCAGTCACATATGTAGAAATGCGTCTGTAAATCCCGCGCGCGCTGACTACATCTGTCTAGCTCTTGTTTCTTGCATTCTGTCCCCCATTTTCCTGCTGTGATAGTGCGACAAACATGTTGGTTCATGATCCAATGGCATCCGACGAGAACAGGGGCCAGCCGGGGCATCATACACAACCCCCTGACGTGACTACTTCCATCGCGCCCAGGGGCTTTCGAGTCAATCCGCGGACACAAACTACCCCATATCTCGGCAAAGGGACAATGAGATCAACCGCTGGCTATGGGATCATTTCAGAATCCGCCACCGCTCGGCCGGTAGGTACGTCAACAAGTATCTAGACTGTTCACAAGAGGTGCCTGGCGAACAGTCCCGGCATCTCTGTGGGATGAATGACTCGGTCAATGCGTCTCCCCCCACAGGCACAGCTGCCAAAGAACGGTTGGCATGTGGAAATGCTAATGTGTTGCAACTGTACGGGATGGGAGTGAACGTAGCAATCCAAGACCCGAATGCTACAAACAGGGCGAGCACGAAATTGCGCCTCGAAATCCCATGTGAAAGTCTTACGTCTTACCTATGACCTACTAGCCATGAAAGAAACGCTTGGAAAGCTCAAGAGGAGACAATTGCAAAGACCAAGTTGGGTTGTCTCCATTTACGTGTCTTTCATTGCCTCCCACATCTTGTAAGTGAGGCCTCGAATCCCCCACATTCCGCAAGACTCTGTCTTACCCAGACAAAACTTGGAAACCACATTGTCTGGATCTATACCTACCCCTGGAGAGCTCCTGGCATGAGTATAGCTGCAAATCCATGGATAATCTTATGCTACTACTCCGAGATCTGGAATTGGCACAGGACGATACAGATTGGCAGCTGTCAAGAGAAGGTTAGGACTTTGTGTTGGAGCCTCCAAAAAGACGAACTCGGCAAACAGAGCCGGGGGAATCTCAAGGAGGGCCTGTTAGACTGGCACATTGACTCAGGAAGTGTAGGAGGGAGAGGCCTCATAGCCCCTGGTGTTCCCCACCATACAGAAGATTCTTATCATGGATATTTTTAAGAGAAATCAACCATAATTTTGTGGAGCGCGGACAGGTTTAAGCCAGAAATGCGCCGCGTCAGCCGAAGAAGCCAGTAGACAAGCCAGTACATCTAGTTGATGTTGGTAAAGTGAACACGTATGGACATTGGGATGATGATTATGCTGTTTATGGTGCTCTTATTTTCATGTATACTGATCATTACATCCCGAGTCAGAAAGAAATACAACATCCCAAGTATCTTTAGCCACTCCTAGGCATCTATGAATCAATTACAGCCCATGTCCATATCTATCCCTGGCAATTTACGCGGCAACCTTGGCCTCAGTGACTTGGCGGAGGCGAGCTCCAAGATCCTTGTCCACATACGAGAAATATTCTACCGACACACCCCCATTAGCACTCAAAAATCTCCGTCAACGGGGGAAGTACTATTGTTTCGTTAACTCACCATAGACCCTGCTTCGGATCGTAGCGTTCTTGGCTCCAGACACATGGCCAGCCAAATTGTTAATGAACCTGTCCTGGTGGCCCTTCTGGGTGCCGAGGACGTTCCACAGGGCAGTAGCCTGCTCAAAATCCACAGGAGTGATCTCACTCGTGAAGCTGCTGACTTCGCCAACCCACTTCTCGTGCTCAGTGATGGTGGAGGGAACCTTGCCGGCGGCCTTGATTGTTGTGGGCTTGAGCGACGAGTTGACGTAGTTGGGGTCAGCCCCGTAGTTGTCTGTAAAGTTCATGAAGCCATCGCGCTGGTAGGGGGCGTAAACGGGCGCCTGGCTGCGGTTTGTCGGCAGTTGTTGGTAGTTGACACCGAGACGGTATCGGGCAGCATCGGGGTAGGCAAACATGCGAGCCTGCAGCACTGTTTTTGTTGAGAGAGGCATTTGATTAGCAGCTGAAAAAAAAAAAAAAAAAAAGGACCGACGGAGTTTGTAAAACATACTGGGATCAGCAGACGGGGCAATGCCGGGCACCATGGTGGATGGCGAAAAGGCAGCCTGCTCGATATCGGTAAAGTAGTTTTGAGGCTAAGCAGCGTGAAGGTTAGGATAAACTCCTCTTTTTCGAAAAAAAAAAAAAAACCAAGCGAGGAAGCAAGGAACAAGTGAGGGGTAAAAGGGCAAAAGGCTCACGTTGCGGTTCATCGTCAGACGGCCAATCTGACGCAAGGGGAAGTCCTTGTGAGGCCAGACCTTGGTCATGTCGAAAATGTTCCACTTGTACGTCTCGGCCTCCTTGGGGTCCATGACCTGCACGAAGACGTCCCACTTGGGGAAGTTGCCCTGCTCGATAGCCTCGAAGAGGTCCTGGGTGAGGAAGTCCGGGTTCTCGCCCGCAACCTTGGTGGCGGTTGCGGCGGTGAAGTTCTTGACACCATCTTGGGCCTTGAGGTGGAGCTTGATGTACTTGAAGCTGCCGTCCTGTTGGGTTTTGAAAAAAAGAGGGCTTGGATTAGCATCGTTTGCTGCGCTCTAGTCTGAAGTAGGAAGGAATCTCTCACCTCCTTGGTGAACTTGTATGTGTGGCCGCTGTAGGCGTTGATGTTACGCAGAGAAGCTGGAGTGCCTCGGTCGTTGAAGAGGTGCATGAGGGCGTGGATACCTTCGGGGTTGCCGAGGTGGAAGCTGGAGGTGGCATCACGTTAGACGGGCGTTTTCTTGTTTCATCTGAATAGACTACGAGTTATGCTGTTGGTTTGAAAAAAGTTTACGAGTACTTACTCCCAGAACTAAGCGAGATGTCCACGTTAGCATATCCTCTTTGACCTCTAAGGAGCAGTCTAGATAGAAGAAATTACGTACCATATCCGAGTCAGCCAAGTTTGTTTGGGGGTGGCGTTTGTGAGAGCGGTTAAGCGAAGGGAACTTGATGGGGTCTCGAACGAAGAAGACGGGCTATAGGATGCGTTAGCAGACAAACTAAATCAACCCGTTGTCACTCTAACGACGCACAATGTTGTTGCAGACAAAGTCTTGGTTTCCTTCGTCAGTGTAGATCTTCATGCCCCAACCGTGGACATCGCGAGTGGTGTCGGCGGAGCCTCGCTCAGGGCCAACGGTTGAGATACGAAGGAGTACATCTGACTTCTTTCCAATGGTGTTGAGGAAGCTGGCAGAGGTGATGTCGGTACAATCATGTGTACACTCGAATTCACCATAGGCACTAGTTTTTCAAACTGTTAGTTGATTTGGTTGCGGGATATCTGCGTATAAGTGAGAACAGCTTACCCAGCCGCCTTGGCGTGAACAACACTGAAACGGAAAGTATAATGTTAGTCACCATGTACTTTGAATTACGAGATAGATGTTACGTTGGTGCATCTTTTGCGTACCGTTCGGGAATTCTTTCACGGTTAAAGTGAGCCAGCGTCTCAATCAACTGGGTATCCTGAAGCAACACAAGGCCGCCAACGCCAGCTGAGCCGTTGCGGACTTGCACGCTTGTGGTAGGATTGGGGTAGGGACAACCTGGGAAGACATGGTGTTAGTCTCAACAATTGGATGGCTAAAGAGTAAAAGCCTTTGATGTTATTGGGTGGAATTAGAGAGAGATAGGCATACCCTCGGCGCCAGTGTAAAAGGAAGTCATGTTGATGGAGTATGAGATTATGAGAGTGGCGATATAGACTAAGTCTAAGTATCAAGGAGGAAGAGAGTGATATAGATGGATGGAGGATGAGTGATGCGCAATTGAATGAGCTTCGGGGATGAATAGACTGATATACTTGATTTCTCCTTTGCTAGTCTCATCTACGTCCTACTCGTTCTTACTTCGGCAATGACATGTATTCATTTCACACCAACAAGTTGCAACTGCGCTATAGACCCGACTGAGTATACACGTAGACAACTATGTCGTAGTTGAGCATGACGATGGCTCCCGATTCCCGATTCCGAGTTCCAACCGTCGCAGACTTTTCGGCCATAGCAGTGGGGCCGAGCCGTCTCGATCCACAATCGGGACCTGAGCCTGCAGAGCCGGAGCCAATGACAAGATGGCATTAGATAGTACAAGGTCCGGCGTGTGCTTTTGCTTGCCCGTGTTGTATGTACTTTGCTTTTGGGAGAGGAGTCTTGATAATGGAGAGACTGCGTATCCCAGCAACTTCTAGCTTGGTGACATCGTCCTTTGGCTAGCCATCAGCCTTATGCAGCTCAAATTAAGATAGACGAATAGAGTAGTTGCGAGAAATTGCCAAAACCTGCTGCAAATCTCGCCGGCAGGCTCTAGCTCGGAAGTTCGGCATACACGCCAGCTGCACAATGACACTCCAGAAAAAATATTCCCAAGAATTCAGGAGGCATTTTCCACGACCAATCGGAGGCTTTGCTGCAGCCACATCGGCCGAAGCAAGGGAGATGCTGATTGGACGACGAGAAATCTCCGGGCGCCCCACCGACAGCGACGCCGAACCGCAGCGAGCCACCGCGAGCCTGCCGCGAGCCCGACAGGGGTTTACACGCCAATGAGAGGCGTGGAATAGCAGGGGGATGACGTATATTTGGGATTTTCTGCCAATGAGCAGCTGAAGCCCGGCTGTGGCTTGATGCCGAGAAACGGGCGGCTCAGCCTCGCCATGGTGGGGCCTTTGCGCTGTACCCGAAGAAACAAAGTTCGGCTTCTTTTGTGCCTTGTCTTGCACTCATTTTCTCTCACTCACTCACTCCCTACAGCGCCAGCATCGCCATCCAGGGTGGGTGGGTTTCAGCTGCGTTAGATCTTGCATGGCGACGCCCGGCAGGCTCGCGTAGGAGATGCAGATGGCGTATCTGATGCGGTTTAGTGGGATGCCGAAGACCCGAGGGGGGAGAGACGATGACGATGGGTTGGAGATGCGAAGATGTGAGGGTTGAAGGATATAAGAGGGAGGTGGTGGACGGCATGGTTTTGGGATTCATCACTCACAACAGCATCACAACAATCAACAGATCAAAGCAATCAATCCAACAATCAAGCATCAACACCACAACACCAATCCACCAACTTCATCTTGCAAAAATCACTTCAATACAGCATATACAGAGTTGCTCAGTATATCAAACTACCTCACAATCCAATCCTTCATATCCAATCAATCTAATCAAACAACAACATCATCACCATCATCATGCCTTCCATTACTCCCATCAACTCTGGTGACCGCTTCGACTTCATCGTCGTCGGTGGCGGCACTGCCGGTAACACCGTTGCCGGCCGTCTTGCCGAGAACCCCAATGTCCGCATCCTCATCGTCGAGGCCGGTGTTGCCAACCCCGACCAGATGAAGGAGATCATGACCCCCTCCAACGCCATGAACCTCCGTGGCAGCAAGCATGACTGGGCCTACAAGACCACCATTGTCAAGCGTGACGACTACGAGCGTATCGAGAAGCCCAACACCCGCGGCAAGATCCTCGGTGGCAGCTCTTCTCTCAACTACTTCACTTGGATCCCCGGATGCAAGCCTACCTTTGACATGTGGGCTGAGTACGGCGGTGACGAGTGGACCTGGGATCCTCTTGTCCCCTACCTGCGAAAGAGCGTCACCTACCACGACGACGAGGGCCTCTACGACCCCGAGCTTGCCAAGATTGGCACTGGTGGTCCCATCAACGTCTCCCACGCCGAGCTGCTCCCCGAGATGGCTCCCTTCCGTGATGCCCTCACCAAGGCCTGGACCTCCATGGGCGAGCCCCTGACTGAGAACATCTACGATGGTGAGATGATTGGTCTGTACCACTGCGCCGACACCATCTACAAGGGCCAGCGCAACGGCAGCTTCCTCTTCCTCAAGAACAAGCCCAACATCACCGTCCTCACCGAGGTGCACTCCAAGAAGCTCCTCATCGACTACGCCGACCGCACCTGCAGGGGTGTCACCGTTGTCAACGCCGACGGCAAGGAGCTCAGCTTCTATGCCGACCGCGAAGTCATCCTGTCCCAGGGTGTCTACGGAAGCCCTCAGCTGCTCATGCTCAGCGGCATCGGTCCCGCTCGCGAGCTGGCCAAGCACAACATTGAGTGCATTGTCGACTCTCGCCACGTTGGTCAGAACCTGATTGACCACCCGGCTGTGCCCTTTGTCCTCCGCGTCAAGGACGAGTACGGCATGGACAACACCATCCTCCGCAAGAACCAGGCCAATGTCCAGGCCCACGCCGCCTACGACAAGGACCACTCCGGCCCCGTTGGCTCCGGCTTCCTCGAGATGGTCGGCTTCCCTCGCATCGACAAGTACCTTACCAAGGACCCCGTCTACAGCGCCGCCGTCAAGGCCAACGGTGGAAAGGACCCTCTCTGCCCTGATGGCCAGCCTCACTTCGAGCTGGACTTTGTCTCCATCTTCGGAAGTGCCTTCCAGTGGCACTACCCCGTCCCCAAGGTCGGCGCCCACACCACCGTCGTCGTCGACCTGGTGCGGCCCATCTCCAAGCCCGGTGAGGTCACCCTCGCCAGCAACAACTACCTGGACAACCCCAACATCAACCTCAACTTCTTCGAGAGCGAGCTCGACATCATCGCCATGCGCGAGGGCATCCGCTTCAGCTACGACCTCCTGACCAAGGGCGAGGGCTTCAAGGACCTCGTTGTCGACGAGTACCCCTGGGACATGCCCCTCGACAATGACGAGGAGATGAGGAGGGTCGTGCTCGACCGATGCCAGACTGCCTTCCACCCTTGCGGCAGTGCCCGTCTGTCCAAGAACATTGAGCAGGGTGTTGTCGACCCGGCCCTCAAGGTCCACGGAGTCAAGAACCTGCGTGTCATTGACGCCTCCATCATGCCCGTCATCCCCGACTGCCGAATCCAGAACTCGGTCTACATGGTTGGCGAGAAGGGTGCCGACATGATCAAGGCTGCCTACAAGGACCTCTACTAGGTTGCTTTGCGCAGCCTGCAACTGTTGTCTCTGGGATGTTCTAATTGGGTGGATACCATAGATTTCCTTTGTGTGTTTTACACTGGCGCGAGTTTTGGCGTGAGCGAGTTATTAGTTGGATAGTTGAGTACACGATAGTTTTTAATTGATATGATGCTAAACACAACTTGTTTCCACCCGTTGTGGCAAAAGTGAAGTGGCAACTAATTAATATGATGTCAACAAAGAATGCGGACATTCACCAAACCAGATTCCAACATCTGGCTATCCAAAGCCAATATATCATCGGCAAACAGCATCAACTGAAACAGCATATCCAGCCACAGCGTCACTCGTCACAATACAATCCACTCACCGTCAACCATCTGCACACCCTCTTTCGACCTCATCACACGCTACCCTTTTCAGCCGCATCAAACCACACCAACATCAATCCAGCGATCGCATCTAGCCTTGCTCCTCATGCAGGGACAACACATCAAATCAATCCCAAAGAGAAAAAGACAAAGAAAAAAAAAACATCCCCGCCATATCCCCACTAGATTCAGCTTCTTCCTCTCCATGCTTCTCCCACATGGAAAAGAAATGTCAAAAAGGGGGGGGGCCCGAAACAAGACCTCCCATCGCCATCAACTCCGAAACCAACGTCGCACGCAATGCATCTCCATCCCATACAAAAACAACAAAAATAGCATCAACTTTTTGTCCCACCGGTTTCTCCCACATCACATCACCTAACGCCATTCCAGAAAAAGCCCGCACTCTTTTCTCTTTTCCCCTTGTCTCCCCCCTTGCCATCGCATCACATCGCATTACAATCCCAACCGATGGACCAACTCGCGGAAACACAAAACCGCCAGACTAAAGCATCGCATCATGCAGAACTGTTCGATACAAGGTTTCCCAGCGCATCGACAACAAACCATTCCAACCAATCATCATCTAGAAACCATCTTTATAAATAGACCTCAACCTTGTTTAGCCGCCCGGCCTGTGACGCGACCGACGAATCAGACGCCGCTCCCCACCAACGATATCGAATCCCTAGCGGTGACAGGGGTGTGACGGAGCCAAAACAAGAGCATTGCAGAAAATCACCCCCGGGCATGAGGAATACAGCGGTACTACTATGTACATATCTTGTTGCTCATCACTTTGGTTCGTGTGTTTGTTTGTCTTTGCCACGGCTGCTGCCTGTGCTGTAGGACTCTCTCTTGTTGGTAGGACACTCGACGTCTGAGGCTCGTTGTGAAACCCTCCCCCGAATCCTGTCAGCCTTTCACAACACTCATGTTTTTTGCCTCCTTCGTCAACGGCCAGCTGGACAAGCTTTCCGAATGGTTCCCAACTTGCCGTACCGCAGCGGGGCCGCTGACGGAGCGAGTTTCACATCCAATTTCTCTCTGCATGGCGTCCATGTAAGTGGAAACTCTCTCTCGATCCAGGGCCGGCCACATGTTCCCAATCCCCCCCATGTCCCCGCAACAACGTGCGTGAATATGCATCTCTTCCTTTCCCCCCTGCTCCATACAAAGCTTAGCAGCAAAGGCGTCTGGTGTGTCTCCCCCCCCGGTTACCATTAGGCGCCGGGCTCGCTGCATGGGCCGGCCTAGCGTATGGTAGGTATTTCCACTCTTCGAACAAAGCAAAAAAAAGCAACGGTTTGACAAAAATAACTCGACGCAGGGGGAGAGGCTCCGCTGATTTGACTTCTGGGGCTCTTCTTCAGGTGACATTGGCGGGCCCTCGCCTGTGTCATTCTTTGTTCGATAGGACTTGTTGACTTGTTTTGACTTTCAACTTGATCCCCTCCCCCTCCAAAAAAGATTTGATATATCTTGAGAGCGCCGGCCGTCCGTTCTCCGGCTCCGCTCTTCTTCTGCTCTCCACGACGTCGGGTCCCGGACGGCGGCGGTAGCAGCAGCAGTAGCATCGAACCAGAACATCTTCACCCTGGAGGAGGGGCATGACCAAAACGTCGAAGAAGCCGGGAAGAGGCATTTCTGGGGCGACAACTCTCTCTCTCTCTTATTCTCACTCTCCTTTTGTTTGAGCAACTTGTTTTGCGTGATCCTTCAATGAGATCCAGACCATGGCGCCGCTCAAGGACCGCATCTCCTCCCCCCTCGAGGCCGGCCCCTCCGTTCTCGACACCCACCACATCGCGCCTCATCTCGTCCCCGTGCTCGAGTATACTTCTAGCAGACTGGCCAAGAAGGCCGTTCACTTGACCCTCATCGTCGTCAAGAGAGACTACCAGCTGCTCAACTCGGTTCCCTCGCCGATCCCCCATTCGATGCCCGGAACCCCTGACTCGCCTCTGCCTACCGGTGGCAGCTCCGGCAGCAGTCGGCTCGGATTCTCCAGCCCCGTCGTGGCCCTGAAGCATCTCATGCGATCCGCCTCGCAGCATGTTGTTGGCTCGAGTCCCAGGAGCGTCGTACCGCCCATCTCGTACCCCATCGCCGAGCCATCGCCGAGTCCCAGGTTCCGGTGGCCGCTCTCCCCTACCACGCCCTTGTCGCCACCCCCAATGACTCCGTCGACGGCATCGTCATTGACGACTACCGATAGCAATGGGCCGCCAACACCCAATTACACTGGCCTCCGCTGCTTCCATTCGGGCGACGTGTCGCCGCGAACAGAGAAGATTCTGAAGAGCACCCTCATCAAGGCGGGGAACAAATTCGGCGTTGGGTAAGCGCAATACATGCTCCCCCAGTTCTCAATCCTACCAGAGATTCGAAAGAGAGTGTGAAACAGGGGAAGAGAGAGAGAGAAGAGAAGAGAAGAACGTGTATTGACAAAAGCTTCGTCTCCAGGAGCGGATGGCTTGTCCCCTTCACAAGCCCCAGCACCCGCGATCTCACCACCCAGCTCTTCCACAGCTCCGTCGTCCAAAACGAAATCCTCTTCTCGTCAGACGGCCTCACCCTGCTCACTCTCGACCGCCTCTACGGCATCAAGAGCGCCCTGTCGAGCTACTCCAAAACATCCTCGGCCTTGCGCCTCGAAGACGCCGTCGACGAGCTGCGCCGCTACGTCCTGGCCAACAACGGCCGAAAGGTCACCAGGGCGGACCTCCTCCGGTCCTACGACTGGCTCAGCGTCAGCAACACCGCCATTACCGAGCTCGACCGCATGTATCGGCGAGCTTACGGCGGCGCGGACCGTGTCGGCGGCATCGCCGGCATGCCCCTGGACCGTCCGCCGAAACCCTTCGTGCTCCATCTCCCCCCCAAGAATAAGTTCCTCGACGACTGGGAGGACGGCGCCATCAGCCCCTCGAGCACGATCCTCGACGAGGGCATCGTCAAGGTCGCCATGACCGCCGTCAAGCTCTCCCGGCCGCCGACGCCTCGCAGGATCGGCCCCTCGCTGAAGCTGCAGACCGACTTCACGCCCAGACCTGAAGCACCAGATGAAGAAAAGTCCATCATGGTAAAGGCCAACGACTCCGATGAGGAGGTTCACACGGCGCGGCCCATTGACCGATCCACGGCATCCATGTGGAACAGCAGGTTTACAATCGACCAGATGCTCAGTCCAGCCGCCAACCAGGACTTGCAAGCCCACTCACCCGCCATAGGGCCCATGACGCCTCACGCATACGACGATATATCGCCGGTTACACGTGGGGAATGGGGTTTCCTCATGGGCGGCAACGGGCTGAACATAGGTAAAACTGCTGCGGTGGAAACCTTCTGATACCCCCCCTCTTTGTTTCTTCATCAGAAGACATTTGACAGAAGTGACGTGGCATACGATTGTGTTTTTAAATCTTCTCTTCAAAAACCTCATGTTTTATATTATTAGTTCTACTTTGGTTTGGGCAAGCGCGGTGAATAGGCGTTTTCTTTTTCGGGGGAAGGGTATTTTGGCGATGCAATTCGCACACATCTAGGGAGGATAAAAAATACACTTCAATGATTTCATGTCCCTTAAAAAAACACAAAGTTTGACGTCTCCAAATCGCAAAACGCCGTTGATAAATTCATTACCAGCCGTAGCGGCTTGAAGCTTCCCGCCGGTTGCTTCTGCCTTTTGCAAAGCTCTCCTCCAAGGCCTCCCGCTGGTTGGACACATTCCGCACCAACTGCTGGAGACTGTGTTTGCCGCTCGCGATGGCGCGGACGGGGTTGTGCGTTTGTTGTTCGCCAGCTGCTCTGAGCTCTTCGTTGTGTTGGTATTCCTGATCCATGTTGAAGTTGATGAGTGTCTGTGCCGTCTGTCCTCGCCCTCCCCTTCCAAACAGCTCTCGTCTCGCTGCGGCGGAAAGATTCAAGTCATCGGCGATGCTCTCCAACGACCCTGTCCTGTAATCTGGTGGCACTGCGGTGTCAGACATCTGATCACTGCTCATTCCCTGGGAATAATAAACATCTGGCACATTCATGTGATATGAATTGGCGGGATCTGCAGTTTCAAAGAGTGGTTCATAAGCCCCCCTTTCAGCTGATGTCGATTCTGGAGCCGATGGCTCCTCTACATGCAGTGAGAAGAGTGATGTCTTTTTCGGAGGCGGCGCCGGGGCTGCAACCGGCGCTGGGGCTGTGCTGGTCGTCGAGGTCGCAGCTTGAGCTGAGACTACTGATTTCGCCGTTGATGCTTGAGCCGCCGTGCTTTTGATGGGTTTCTTCTTTGTATTCCGAGCAACAGAGAGAGGCCTAAACATCAACGGCTTCCCCACGAGTTTGACTTCCTCGGCAGGCTTCATCGTATTCGGTATTGATGGCTCGGCTGATCGTTTAGGAGGTGGCAAGCCCAGTCCTCCAGACACGGCATCTGAATTGCTAGAGCCGTTCGAAGGCTCTTCATCGCGGCTGAAGCCCTTTTCGGCACTGGTTTTGAGATTGATGCCGGGGCGGGCCTGGCCGCTTGAGGGTTTGCTCAACGTCGCCTTTGCCGCGTTCTTTGGCGGCGGGAGAAACGAGTTGAAGCCGGAAAAGAGACCGCCGTTAGCACCCGTGCGCGCGCGTTTCGCCGGTGGCCCATCGCCATTTGATGCGCCTTCGTCGTTGGAAGAGGCGGCCTGGGGGAGATTGACGATGATTTTGCCCGGGTTTGATCGATCGACGACTTTTTGGAACGCAGGTTTCTTCGGGGCGGACTTGACGGCGGGCTTCGGCGCGTCAACCTCGGGCTCCGATTCGGATTCGGAATAATCGACAAGGCCCATTCTGCTGTCGGGAAGCTTAGAACGGGCGGGTGAGTTGTGTGGTTATGATGAGATGATTGCAAGTCGTGGCTATTAAAGTGTTGTAGAAACAGAAAACGAAGTGACGTGTGGTGGATACATGATACGGCAGCTATTCGTATTCGGTCGCTTTAGCGCATGTGAAGTGCTTCAGGCGCTAAAGCAGGGGTCCTGATAGTCCTACCCCACGATAAGCTTCCCTCGACCTCGACCTCGACCTCGCACCAGCAACGTCTCTCCATCACCTTTTGCTCCCCATCAAGCCCGGCTTGTGCTGGGCAAACATGTGAGCGCTCAATGGCACATGACTAGACATCAAACTCAATCCCATCAACGCGACATCAGCTCGAAATAGCCTCGACCGCCTCGCCGGCTTGCTTCAGCCGCCATCCTTCGCCATGTCTCTCATCCAGCTAGAAGAGTGAGTCTGGAGGTCCCATGAGACGATGGGCATGGTTCATCAGCCATCATTGATGCGCAAAACTAACCAAACACTCCCCTTTAGGCTTGTAACCTACCAGCTTCGCACCGGCTACCTCAACGAAATCGCCGACGGCGTAGGCGAGCGGCTCATCAGCGTCAACGACAGCAGCATCAACACCGTGCCTTTCAAGTCAGCTGGCTGGCGGCCGAACTCTTCACATGTCAAGCGCACACATTCTCCGCCGATCCCCACGGCCATCGCGTCAGAGTATTTCCAGGCGCCGCGGCAAGCTGGCCTGACGCTGGAGGATGGCTTCGAAGATGGAGGTTTGCTTACGGGCGGCGGCGCTGACACCGTGGGCCCGGGAGCAGCAACCAAGAGGCGCAGGCGCCGCGAGCAGATGGAAGAGGACGACAGCAGCGATTTCAGCGACGAGAGTGAGGATGAGTCTGAACATCGGGCGGCTCAGCAGATAAAGTTTGCCAAGATGCCCGTACGACACCGCGCGGGATCCTCGCCTGGCCAGGCATCGCACCTTCAACCCATGAATACTTCTCCTCGAGCCCCCAGACGGGGCTCCCAGTCATCGCTCAACATCGTACCGGGGCGGGCACGACGAGACACGGTGACCAGCAGCGAAGTGTCCTCCGAAAACGAGTTTGACGTACCAGTCGCGTACAGGCACAGAGAAGCTGCGCGAGCGGCAACTAGGGCAATGAGGATGCAAGACAAGATCAACGAAGAGCCTTCGCCAGGTGTACAGCTCGGCGACCCTTCCTTGCTCCGTGAAGAGGAAGAGGACGACGATGACTCCGACGAGGGCTCAGACATGTCGGGAGAGTACGTTGCAAGCATTGACGAGGCCTCCATTCTCGACGTCGTGGAGAACAACCCCATGAACGCATCGCCTACTCGGCAAGTGGTTGGCACACCCCCGAGGAATTTTACCAGGCAGTCTACGATCCGCATCTCACAAGCGCCTGCTCCTTCATCAGTTTTCAAAGCATTACCGCCTCCGCGGCCGATGAGCACCATCCGACCCCTCAGCGTCGTTCAGCCTCAAAGTCTGCTCTCTGCGGCGATCAAAGCCAAGCGGTACAAATCGAGTGTGCCCTTTCAAAAGTTTGCTCATCTAAATGGAGAGGGAACGCAAGGGGCCATGACTATCCGCATCTACGCCGCATTCTCCAAGACACCTAACAAGTTTCTGGAAGTGCTCATCCGGCCCAGAGTGCAAAACGGCCAGGGGGTGGAGAGAGCCGTCACCATATCCGATTTGATAGGGTTGGGCCTATACAAGTACAACGAAGAGAAAAGAGAGCCTCCCATTGCCCCTAAGAAGCGCAATATTAATTGGTACACGCTCAGAATGGTGGAAGAAGGCGGCGATGTCGACGACGATTTCCCGCCGTTTGACCGGACGAAACCTCTGACGACAGCGACTACCGTCAATAACGCCCACATGAGGGGCGGCGGGCGAATGCGCTCCAACTCAAAAGTCTACGACGAGTTTGCCATTGTGGCCGCTACGGAATCAGAGTACGAGGCCAACCAGAGATTAACACCGCAGGAAGACGAGGAAGAGGAAGCACAGCCCTCTCAAGATAGTATTGCAGAAGAGGGAACACCCATGAGAAGGGAGAGCGAGAGCGCAAGCGCCGGCATCAGTGGCAATGTCAGTGGCATGTCTTCTCCGCCGTCGTCTGTGCATCCCCGCCCGAATCCAATCTTGACGACGGCCTACCGGCCAAACGCACTTTTGGCGGATGCCCCTCAAACGCGCACGACTGTGTCAAACGCGATGCGGGGCCAGCAGAAGTTGCTGCGGATCTACATCATGTCGTCTGACGTGGCGGCCGGCCAGATGGTGACGCTCGACATCACTACTGATACTTATTTTGCCGAAGTGTTGGATCTAGTATGCCGCAAGAGACACCTCGACAAGGCCAACCACGTGTTGAAGATGCCAGGCTCTGGGGCACTTGTCATGCTGGATCGACCAGTGTCGTCGATAGGGAATGTGACGGATTTGGAGCTCTACAGACGTCGGTTTGCGACGGACGGCCCGCTGGCCATTACGGGCTCGCCGGGAACCTCGTCGCCCAAAGCGGTGCCGATGATGGACGGGCCGCCGCCGCGAAAGGGCCACAAGAAGGGCTACACGACGGGCTCTCATCCGTTGGCGCGCGAGGTCATCCAACCAGACGAGCTCCCCAGTGCCAACTACAAGAGGTACACGGTCTGGCGCAAGCAGCCGATGCGGATTGTGGGGATGAGCGAAAGGGTGTTGGTGATTGATGGCGAGTACATTCACATTGTGCCGGCCTCTGGGGGCAAGGCCGTTCAAGAAGGCGGAGGCAAGACGACGACGGTGCATTTCAGCAACGTGATAGGATGCAAGGTGCCTCGGAAGCATCCCACCAACGTCAAGGTGAGCTACTGACTGACGCCTTTCTTTACTACTACCCTTTTCTCCCTCTCGCGATGGCTTCCCGCAGCATGTGGAGTTGTCTGCGTGGCGGGCTCACTCAGCCTCGCTCTCGTTTAGATCTGCCGGCTAACCACTGACTTGTCCAAAAATAGCTCGTCGTTTACAAAGCCACAGAGAGCAAGCGCTACGATTTCGAGGCTCGAGGAGCGGATGAGGCTGCCGAGATCGTGGCAGAGCTGAAAAAGGGCATCTCGCCTTACAGGGAGGTCTGATTGCGTGTTGCTTGGGGGGGCGTTTGGAGACTGGAGTTATCCATATGTTTTGGAATATGAGGGCTGCTGCAGTGGGACGTGCGAGTACGCGGCCAATGGCTTACCGTAGGTAGCGGTAGCGTCTGTTTTTTTTTTTTTTCTTTCTTTTTTTTTCTATCTTGCTGCTGCACACATTGTGTAAATGGGTTGGGAATTTTGTGTAACGAGTCATACGAAGCATGCGAGGCGAATTGTACACGCGTTCACGATGTCTTGGTAGCGTTTCCTGCGTAACGGAATGACGAGGCGTGGCTGAGATTTCCATTAGCAAAGTTGACGATGGCGGCACGTAGAAACTAAAGTAGCCGCAGCTTGGCCCGCTGCGGAGCATTTCTTGGGCGGGCCGGAATCTTTTTTAGAGGTACTTTCAGCGCAGGTACCGATCGGTATTACGTACGACAGGGATGATGCGATGACACCCTTGGGGGGAGGCTTGTAATGTCGATCGAGGAGTGAGTTGTTGGTCAGATGCTCGGGTTTCGGATTGATTGAGAGCTTGATTTACAGACGAGGGGTTTGAAATGATGTAGATGACTACCTACCTATGATGATGTTCACTACCTATGTACTAGTAGATTGAGCGGTTCATCATTACAGAGCTGGAAGCAGAAGGTGGTTGGTCCAAGATGTGACATGGAATGTTGTGTAAGTGCATCCAAGTTTGATGAGGGCCGTTTGATCGACACGGCCAAGGCCGACGAGTTTAATGGGCAGTACCATGCTAGACGTGATGATACTCTGCCTACACTAATTAGCACTTATGAAATGGGGAAATCAGTAATCACATGGATATCAGTGCTGACCAGTTACTATATGGTGCACCTTGTTGAATTCCACGACATGCACGGCTTGCACGGCTCCTCAAAGCACGAGCGGTGAATACAAACACAGCTTGCCACAAGGGATGGCAACAATCCCGCGTTGCTCGTGCGAGGGGGCGGCGGCATTATGTGATTTCTTGGGCTCCGAGGCAAAAATGTCTCGGTTGAGGATGCCGCGTCGTGGCACGAGAATGCCCGGCCACCCATGAATGCGCAGCTATGAGACATTGATGCCGTCTTGGATGTAATTGATGCCCGGGATTTTCGTGGTACAAGCCTTGGAGTCGACCATTTCGTTTAAGATTGCGGCGTCGGTTTGTACTACAGTACAGGCGTGGATTGGCCACTCGTTCAACGGCCTCTTTCAAGACACGCCTCATGGGGACCAGAGTCAGTGTCATCATCACCATGACAGGCATATGTCTCTCATGTTTGAGCCAAGGTCTCTTGTTCTGCATCTACCACGCCCTTCTCAAGAGCTCAGATACACTATTACCACAGCATAGTCATCATGGAGGACCATTTTGCGTTTACGGATACAGGCGCTGCAGACAACCCCTGCTGCAGCCGGGTTCTTGCAGGGGCCGGTGAGCTGGACGATCCACACGATTATGATCCGCGCAGGCAATTCTGGCATCGTTGTCGCGATAAAAGCCCGCCAGTGACGTAATTTACCTAGACATCAGATGCGTCTTGAGACTTTGAAAACCTGGGTCCTTTATGAAACGCGTTTAACTTGGGCAGAAGAATACTGCGCTTTACATAAGATACTAAAGCAGCAGAAGAGAAGGATTGCTACGAGCATATCAAGTGTGGCTGAGCAGCGGCTTTTGAAACGGCAGACTACATGTGCATGTACTCGTACGAGAAGCAAACAAACACAGCAACCAACACAAACAACATGAAGAGTCGAGTGATTCATGTCGCTCAACACACCCAAAATCACAAAACAACTGCTAAGCGCGGGCCCATGCAGTGTGCCGTAAAGCCGGCCTCTTCCAGCAGCCTCCAGCTACTATAGTATCTATTCTGTAACAATGTTGAAAACCAACGGAATGAATCCTCCTGAAATGCTCTCTCCCGTCGGGAAAGGCGAAGAAGAAAAAAGAAGGAATCCTGCCACACCCCAAACTTCTGCCCAATCATCACCCAGCCCCCTTTCGGGTAGGTACTTGGCCAGACCATTGCTCCAATCATGCCAGAACTTGCAAAGAAAAAACCTCCGAGACATGGAAAAGCCGCCCTGCGTCGAATCCTACGGCGGCTGCTGAGCTGGCACACGGCGCTTTGGGGATGCTGCGTCTGGACCGGCGGGTACGGGCATGGACAATAAACAGGCAAACAAGACAATGAGCAAAAATAAATCAAAAAGAACAAATAATTCCCAGAGTAGGTATACGATAGCAGTCGGTCAACATACCGAGTAAGGTACCTATGTTTACTTGCCATCGCAGTACTACCAGTATTATTGCTCGATTCTTCTTGAATCGGGGTGGCGGTGGCTGGTGCATCAAAGTACCTACGTACTCGTAGATACTCGTCGCTCCCTCCAAACTTGGCTCTCAAACTTGGCTTCTTTCGCCTTGTCCTGCCCCAGACTCATCTTGGCGCGGTACTTGCCCGATACGTACCCTCGAATATTACTGTACCTACCAGACAGGACAGGACAGGACAGGGATTTCCCTCCAGTTGGGTTAGTACCGTACCGTAGCATCGCCCCTCGTTGATCTTATTTTCATGTTAGTCGACTTCATTCTTCCCGTTGGCTGCCAGAGGGTGTGAGGTACGAGTACATATGATGCCATACGAAAAACACATCACGGCACGGCACAGAGCATGCTCTGGTTCTTGCTTCTACGGCTTGTCCGAGTCCCCTCAACGGCAGCTTCACATCTCTTCCCCCAGAAGAATATTGTTATGACTTGGCGTTAGACCAGCACTGCACCTCGCTTCAACATGAAGCACATAGCCAGCTCTCCATCGCCAATCGCAAACCCTCGTAGGATTCCCAGCCCTGTCCAGCTACAAAACACTTCCATCCATCTACATCTAGCTCGCTTAAATCTAAAATCCAATAAGCAGTCAAAAAAAAAAAAAAAAAAGAGGCCAAAATCGAGGCCCGATCGCTCTCGTTCCCATTACTACCTCCCACCAAGAAAAAGAAGCTTACAACGGCCCAAACCAAGGCCCTCCCATGATGCACTGTAGCATCCCGGATCCACCAAATTCCCATGTCTCATCTTGTTCTTCTTCCTTCTCCCCCCTACTTTTAGCTGCCCTCAGACTCTCCACTGCTCCAAGCCCTGTTGGGTGTTGGTGATGTATGGGGATGGGCAGGGAAAAAAAAAAGAGGCTACCATAATACACCGAATCTGAGCCACCTGCTGTGTGCTGTGTTACATCCCTCCCCTCCACCCCCCCGTGAGGCAGCCCAGGCAGTTTTCCCTTGGTCTCTGTTTGTCTCACAAGTTTTACAGAAGAAAAAAAAAGGGCTGTCAAACGCAACCCCCTCCAGCTGGTTGCACTTGTATAAAATCTCTAGCCTTTCCCACCCGCCGTTTCCAACTTTCCCTTTTCTCTCCACATTGTCCACATTACAAGCCTAGCCAGATCTCCTCGATATCTACTCCGTATCCATCCTTGCAACCCATCCATCTCCTGCAGCACCGAACATCATTTCCTGAAACTTTGGATCTATCACGACAAATCTTCCTTTACACATCCATCATGAAGTTCTCCAGCTTTGCCATCCTCGCCGTTACCGCCCTCGTTCAGGTATGACCAGACTCGCTCATCTCCCTCTCTCCCTCTACTATTCATCCCCTTCATATCAACATACTCTCATATTCATCCATCCTCAAATTCACAAAACCCAATCCATACAAACACTATCGAAAAGTATCACAAACTAACATCATCTCCAGGCCAACCCAGCTCCCTCTCCCGCCCCCTCTCCCGAGCCCGGCCTGGGTGACCTCTTCGATGACGCTTCCACCTGGATCACTGGCAAGGCCGGCGACGTGAAGACCTGGCTCTCCGGAAAGGCAGGCGAGGCCTCTTCCTTCGCCAGCCACGTTCAGTCCAAAGTCGACGCCAACGAGTCCAAGGCCAGCGCCGCCGCCAGCGCCATCCGCTCCATCTTCGACGATGGCCCCTCCAGCGTCATCGCCAGCCTGACCTCCGAAGCCGGCTCCAAGTTCAGCTCCCTCAGCAGCGTCGCCGCCACTGCCACCGGCGAAGCTGCCTCCTCCGTCAGCTCTGACATCTCCAAGCTCAGCGCCTCCCTCGCCAGCAAGACCAGTGAGGCTGCCGCCGCCGCGGCCTCAAAGTCGCATGACGCTGCCCCCGTCCAGACTGCCTACCTTGCCATGGGAGCCCTGATCGGCGGAGCTGCTGTTCTGGCCAACATGTAAAGGTCGCGGATGCTATCATGAGAATCAAGCCCGCGGAAATGGAGAGGCATAGCGGAATATACTAGAGTGTACTTCTATCTGGGAGGCATGGGAACAGAAGACATGGGAAAGGATGGATAACGAAATACCCCAAAGTTCGCGAGAGCACACATGGCACACCTTTGTTGAGAGAGCTTTTTCTTGTTTTTCCTAACTGTTTTGTATTATCTTGGCTCTCGCTAGGACGCATCTTTATGAGTAACGGTCTGAGGCTGCATTAATTGGCGAATTTACTAGTACTGTCATTTCTTGATTGATTCACCTCAAAGTACCCGCTCTTGCAACCGGTTGCTCCATAATGTGATTTGTTCAACCACTCTAAAAAAGCACCATGAGCTTTATCCACTTTGGCGTCCATGGCTCCCGATAAAATATCAATTTGGCAAAAGAGCCAAAAAAAAAATTTGCTTGACCGAGACAGGGGTCGAACCTGCAACCTCCTGATGTACTAATCGTAGTCAGACGCTCTGCCATTGAGCCACACGGCCTTGTTTGATGTAAAGCGACGGTCGCTATTCGCCTCAAAGGACTGGTGGCTTCGCAGGAGTGAATCGTGTCGTGTCTGTTTGAGAAGAACTTGGCTCAAGGCTTCTTCGTCGCTTGTCCCCAAAGCCTATCCACAACCTGGAAGATGGCGGTTACATCCTTGATAACGTCGCTGCCGCTTTGTACGCCGAGTTTTTGCTGTATCTTGTCGGGATGCCAACGCACTCGTTCCTCCTTTAGCTTCGCAGCAAATTCCTTCTCTCCAACATCCTCTAAGCCTATGCCGTGAAGGAAGAACTCGCGAACAGCCTCTTCGTTTACATCCTTTCGCTGCCCGCCTAACACCGGCCAAGCAAGAGTGTCCAAAGCTCCATCCCATTTCGACCAGGCTTGCGTATACGCGTCCCATCCATCGATCCAGCGTCTTCTCCGGCGTCGTTCTTCTGCTCGGCGTCGGCTGCGGTCCATTTCCTCGTGTAGTTTTCGGCTTTGCCGCTCTTCTTCCTTTCTCTTCTTTCGCTCTTCTGCGCGCCGCTCTCGCTCCTCTACAAGACCAGCGTTGGTTTTCTCCCACATCTTTTGTCGAACGTAGGCTGCGTATTCCTCCTCCGTCATCTTTTCAAGCTCGCCTGCTGGTCCGACCTTGTCGTCAGAGTAGACGTGGATGGGTTGGCCATAGACGCTTTCCCAGTAAGCGGCACCCTCGTCATCAGCCATGGCATCAAAGAGCGATTCTCGGAAGGCGGCGTCTGGGTCAAGAGTCGGGGGCTCGTGGGGATTCGGCGGCGTGAGGGAGCGGTATCGTCGCCGGCGATGGCGATGGTGATGGTGATGATGCCGATGGCGACTGGATTCATCGTCTCGCTCGTTGCTGCGAGAGCGGCGACGACGCTTCTCGCCCTTGAGCTTCAGCCGCGACCGTCTGGGCTTTGTCGCATCCATGTTTGCATCGTCATCACCATCTTCGGTTGTTGGCTTGACGTCATTTGATGAAGCAGTCCGTGGATTCTCTCCTCGGCGTTTCTCTGGTGACTGCTCTGGGTTGATGGATGAAAGAATGTGCCGCCTCTTGGGAGACGGTGGTTCATGGCTCATGACTGGAGCCCCATGGCCGACATTAACCAAAGCTGCGCTGCTTCAGATGTTGTTTCGTCGAGGTTGGAAAGGGACAGAAGCCAGGCCAAGCATGGAAGCTAATTGAAGGTCCCTGCCAGGCACCAGAGGCCCCTAGGTAAGTGGGAAAGTGGGCGTGTGGGGTACAAGCCATCCGCCCCGATCTTATCACTCGTTATGTACACAACATTTTCATTTGAAGAAAGCAAAGGCATTAGAGAAAATGGTGTATCCAAACTAGGATGCTTAGAATTGATGATGAGGCGAAGTATGTAAAAAGAAAGAAAAAAATAGCCTAACAAGCATAGAACGATATCCGTTCTCCAAATATTCCACGTATTCCTTCCTCTGTTGCAATCACCACTTGACACTCTACTTATAGCTCCTCTCATCTACAAGAGGCAGACAATATCAAACAACAAAATTCTATACCAGTTTCAACCAAATCTCCGGTGCCATTTACAGTGAACGTTTCCTTTTACAGTACCAAGCGGTTCGACTTACCTGAACAACTTTCGGACCCGCTCGCCTATCCGCTTGAACACGGCAATGCTGATGCCCTCCTCCTTGTCCTTTGGTCGGTGCTGTTGCAGGAAAAGCCACACAATCAGCATCACAACACACGAGGCGAGGACGATGGGCTGTAGCGTCTTGACACCCTTTGCCTGTGCGATGGCACCGACCGCGAACGGCAAAGCAGCTGAGCCAGAGCCTCCAATGGCTGTCGCAAATCCAATGGCGCTGATGTGGAGGGAGCGAGGCAAGACTTTGGTCATGAGGACCACTGCGGTAGGGTACATGGGTCCTGTTATAAATCAGTATACATGTCCTGTATATATGAGTGTGCAGTCACAGCAGAGGGGAGACGCACCCAGAATCATGCCCAGCAAGGCAGATGCCACAGCAGTCACAACCATGTTGGGAACAAGCCAAAAGACGAGCTCGATGGCAATGGCCAGTCCAAGGTACAGAAGCATTGCCCGAAAACCACCGACTCGAGAGGTGACGAAACCCAACACCAGGCGCCCAACCGTCATGCCACCCCAGAATCCCGTCGCCGTGGCACTGCCGGCGAACGGAGAAGCGTTGCGGACTTTGGTCATGAAGACGACGATCCAGCCACCGATAGAGACCTCGGTACCGACGTATAAGAAGATGAAGAGAGAGAAGAACCAGGTCAACTTGCTCTTCAGCGCCTCCCGTGTTCGTCCCGATGTGGCATTCTCGCCGGCCTTTTGGTGCGGGTTCTCGCTCAGGTACACTTTACCTGTCTGGGTCCAGAATGCGGTTGTGCTGGCACCCAGCTCGAGTGCTGAGGCGCTGACCTGCAAGCATCAATTATAGTCAGAAATGTATCCATATTGAGCAATCTTGCGTCGGCTTCATACCATGATGTAGTAAAACGTCCACCAACCACCACGGCCATGCGAACTGATGGAAGTGGCAATCAAGGGGGCTACCGTCGCCCCCAGAGCGTAGCAGGCCTGCAAGACTCCAGAGATCTCGTGTGAGTTCGCCATGTTGCCGATCCAAGCGCTCCAGGCTGCGTCGATAATGCCGTTGCCGAAACCAACCAGGATATACATCACAACGAGGACCGGGTACGGTGGATGAAACGTTATGACGAGGTACGGGACGAGACGAAATAGCGGTGCTATCATGCTCACACCTCGCTGGCCAAGACGAACATGTAGCGGGCTGTTGACCAATGCGGCCAAGGTGTAGCCAACGAATGGGGACAGAAAGATGAGTGAGACGACTGTGTATGTCAAATGGTAATACTCTTCCAGCTAAAAGCTTTGTTAATGTTATCTATTAGTATTAACAGAGCCCGACAGCGAAAGCCATACCTGAGGAACCAAAGCCTACAAGAGTACGGGCAATTAGCAAGTTGAATGTAGCAACGCACACTGCAGTTGAGGTTTCATTTTACTTACACCATAGGAACCATCGTTCATGCCCAATACGAAAAAGGCCCAAAAGGTTGCAAGGACACGATATCTGTTAATAGGCGGCGAGTTCCATTTCACCTTGGCCTCGAAGGCATCCTCAGGAGCTGCAGAATCATCACTCGCAATGGCCGGTTCGAGAATCGGCGCATCTACAAAAGGTTTCTCGGAGTCATGGCTGCCTTTGAGGACTGCCTTTGGCGGCAAGACACTGAGCGGAATCTCCTCTGCAGTGTGAAGGGTCTCGGTGATGGTGGACGTTGCCATGCTGAATGGACAGCAACAACGGAAAGCGTAGCTAGATTGGAATTGTAGCCAGGAGATGCTGTCTCAAGGACTGAATGATGGGACGATAGTTCTCCTAGGGACTCTGCTCGTATTAATACAGTGAACGATGGCGGGGTGGGCCTTCATCGGGATCCAATCGGATGATTCGCGAGATCCGGCACAAGTGTTGCTTTTCAAGTTTGACGGTGAATCGGATATTTAGAACAGCAGCGTGGGTTCCCCTACAACTTGCAGCATTACCCGATTCTGCTCACCGGGGAGCAATTACCAAGCAGCAGGATTCTAGCGGCGATCTGGCGAGTTAGTCTTGTTGCTACGGCTCCTGTTTCCACGTAAAAGACAAAACTTGTCAAGGCCAGATTCGCCAGAGGCGGTCACAAGGGCAAGCCTTAATATGGAAGAAAGCCGGCACGCAATCTTGATAGTTCAACCCATAGGGGCAAGGGTCTGGTGCTAACTGGCTAGCGCTTTTGACGGTATGGAGATCCAATCACACAAATGACTTGTTTGAGCATCCAGAGTTTTCCCATTGGTGGCTTATGTACAATAAGCAGTTCGAAATCCGACTTGGGATTTGATCCTTTGTTGATAGAATATAGACTACTCCGTACCGAGGCTGGAGTTCGGGGAGCGGCCGATCGGGGAATGTCGGGCATCCGCATTGACCACGAGGCTGTGCCGACATGGAGTTTTAAGCTTCTACCGTAAAGAGTCATCCTTTGTTCTGTGGGGTGTCTCTCAAGGTCCATCGCGGTTGTGGAGCCGCTCGATGGAAGCCAAAATGCCAGATTCTCAGTGAAAAAGAGCGTATTAACGGATATTCCGAAGGATCATCATGGGGATTTGGTTTGTAATGAATCGATGAGGGTGATGACAAAGTGTTAGGATGAGTCAATGTAGAGTATCATATGGACAAGATGGGGTTGAAACAGTGGTATGCATGCATAGGGATCCGGATAACTTGGGACTTGTAAGGCGTTGATTTATTCAATCATCTCTATAAATTCATAATTCTGATATTAATGTTTAGAACAGTACGTAAAGAATTGAGTTGATCAAACACTCAAAGTACCTAGTAGGAGGAGTACAGATATTCCAATGTTCTTTGGAGTGTCCATTACATTACACTATGAAGCCAATCTCACTAACAAATTGCAACACGCACCATCTCAGCTGCGCCATGCGTATTTGTAAGAATTCCCGACAACATGAATCCCATTACCCAATGTCAATTCTGATTCGTCTGTAACATCTCCGCAACCGACAATTATGAGTACCTACTGTAATCAACTATCCAATTGATGTCCAGTGCCGGTCCCAGGCAATCTCCATCTCCCTAATCGCCAGAACCCTTAGTACTAAGCCAGCTAGAGGCGGATACAAGGGAAGTGGGGCCTCGCTGTGGCTTTGATCAACGGGGGGGTTTTAGGACACGAATTGGCTGATCTAGGCCAATCAATCGCCTTGTGCACAGAATCGCAAACCGAAAATCCAACCTCTGCCTACCTACTCGTACGTCGCCTCTGCCGTATCGCCTCTTTTTTCAACATCCTCGCGTCTCGTCTCGTCTCGTCTCGTCTAGCACGCCCTGCTTCTAGAATCTCGGCGGCTGCATCCCTTCTCCATCTGCAGAGAGAGAGAGAGAGAGAGGCGAGCGCTGGTCCGGGAGGCCATGCCGCGCAGATGAGCCTGCGATAACAGAACCCCCCTATTCCCACGAACAAGCTCAGTTTGCGCCGGCTCGCTATTCACCATGGGCGGCCTACTCTTACTTGTTGGCCTATGCGTAAGTTGACTCTGTTGATTCTAGGTCGCGTGGCGTGCTAACTGTGGCCGGTGTAGATTGTCATGGCAGTGGCGTATGCTGCACCCCTACCCAACAATTACGATTACGACTACATGGAAACACATGGCTGATATATAACCTCATGGAACAGTTCATTTCTCGCCGGAGCCTTGCCATTATCCATGACACTTTCACAATCACAACTTCGATTGATATCAAGCATTGGAGTTGGAGTGCTGGTTGGCACATCTCTTATAGTCATCATACCCGAGGGCGTTGAAACTGCTGTAACGCCCGCAGAAGCCTCGCACCTTCACAAAGCGCGAAGTTTAGTGCGCAGGTCCCCGTGGACCCTCGGCGTTGAGCCACGCGACATCATCGAGGCTTTTCCCGTTGTACGAACGACAGTCGCCCGAGACACGATCCACGACGACTTGGCCAGCATTTCACCGCGAATTGAGGTTACGGAGAATTACAGACCTACAAAAAGACAAGGCGATGAAGATATACCAGAGGGATTACCTGAGCCTATCCCAGAACACGATGAGCACGAGGAACACGAAGATGATGGGGCCGGCGCAGAGCAGCCGCACGCTCACGACGTACCAACGCTGGAAATTGGCTTCTCGATGATTTCCGGTTTCATTCTCATGTTTCTCATCGACAGACTTCCTAGGCACGCCACCGAGAGCCTACGGTCTACGCCGGAAACTCACCATATGAGTCTGGACGACCTTGGAGGAGGCGACACGGCATCCATCGACGAAGAAGCAGACGGCTTCCTGAACTCCCTGACGCCAAGTCCGCGAAGAGCTCGCAGTTTGGCGACAACCACCGGACTGGTGATTCACGCTGCAGCCGACGGCATTGCCATGGGAGCATCCGCAACTTCATCCAACCTGAGGCTGGGCTTTGTCATTTTCATTGCCATCATGATCCACAAGGCCCCCGCAGCGTTTGGCCTAACGTCAGTATTGCTGAAGCAGGGCTTGTCAAAGCGAGCAGCTAGAGGTCATTTGGTCATCTTTAGTCTGGCTGCTCCTGTAGGCGCTTTGACGACATGGCTTATGATTACACTGCTTGGTGGCGACCATTTGAAGGGATATTCAGGGCAGTGGTGGACCGGCATGTTACTGCTGTTCTCAGGAGGAACATTTCTGTAGGTTTTGTTGTCAAGGGTTCTAAATCAGGGAGAAGTCAGCTAATGATTGGTAGGTATGTCGCCATGCACGCCATGCAAGAAGATGGCGGCGTCCATAGCCACGACCACAGCTCTGGGATGAACGGCTACTCGGATGGAAGCCCGGCACACCAGCGAAAGTCCAAGGGTCCTCAGATGCGAGACACAATAGCTACTGTCATAGGCATGTTGGTTCCTCTCCTTGCTCAGATGGGCCATTAGATGCTGTGCCCAATATCACATACTACTACCACTAGAGACTTGAAGATGGGATGAAAAAGAAGAGATGGTTCGGATTTTTTTTGGTTTTGCTTTCACCCCCTTTTCTTCTTCTTAAATCTCTTTTTCCTTTCTTTTTTTTCTTCTTAAGACAGCACTACTGCGAGTATTGTTGTGGGATGATCTACCACAGATGTAGACGGATTTGCGGATGGCTATAGAATTGCACATTGCAGGGCGAGACATCTAGTCGCTGTGATGATGATCAAACACAGCATATAATTATATAGAGTACGATAGATGTCTGGCATATCTAGCTGACGAAGACAAAAAGTATTAGTGGTTTTGGTCAATTGAATGAGAAAAAGATGCTCGTTAATGCAAGTATGCTGTGTCATTGAGCATCATGTGCTTGATATGATGTGTCTACAATCTCTTCAAGTAACCCAAACCATTGCAAATCACGCCATAACATAAAGCTGTTCTCGTGTAAAAACGTGGCCAGCGCATTACACGCCAACTTTATCCATGAGCCCACTCATTCAACATCACATCAGATTCATGCCCAACGGGGTCAATGCAGTAACACAACTTCAAGGCCCCCCCGTCTGGATTGGCCAGTGGACAAAATGACGTAGCGCAAAAAGGATGCATCCAATTTGATGTTTTAGATGCGTGCCTTTGCACGATGCACGCACCGCCAAAGTAACGTTGTGGAAAGGAAAAATTAATCTCTTACGGAGCAACTGATTTTCTGTGACCAAGTGGACATGCATATGAAACAGCCGCAAGTTGGGATGAAGAAAGGACCCCTGCCGGACGGACACTTTTTTTAGAGGTCAAGATGGGTCTGATGGGGGTCATGTTGGTGCCGATGCCGATGCTGATGCTGGACATTTAGCGGCGAATATTTTTGTAGGGATTCCAGGTTTTTTCTTTCTTTTTCTTTTCTTTGATCCGAGCTAGGATTGAATGCCCAAGTGAAACGAGGCCACGTTGAAATGGAGAAACTGACGATCGGATTTGTCAGGCCAGGGACACGGCAAGGCATCTACTAATACGGAGTAGAGGTAAGAAATACATCAATAGTTGGGTAATGGAACATTGACCAATGCCCCTCCCGCTGAAGGATTTCTTCCGAGCTGCAGCTTCGTGTCTCGTATAATACATGTAGGACTAGGATTGGGCGTTACTTGAAACGGATCAACACCAACATGAACCTAACCAAATCTTCAGCAACGGGCTTTAGGCACATGTACATACATGATGTAGGCTTCTGTGCAACCTCGGCCGCCATGGACTAGACGCAGGACGCAATGGTCAGATGAGGCCACTGATGCGTGTATGTACTGTAGTTGGCAGTTCTGTATGTGCCCAGCAGTACCTAACCTCATGTAATGTACGAGTATGTACTTTTTGATGCGTCAGTGAGTTGCATGTCCCGAAGAGATGAGCTTCCTATCCTAATAAGGGCTCGGTCGGTGCTCCGCAAAGGCGACATGGTCAGCATTCCATCCGGTGGTGTGGGAATGGAGACGGCGAGTAAGCCCGGGCTGCCCCTTGAATAAGGCAATCGACCGAGATTCAGCCATCGACGGCGGTTTCTCAGCGCCCTTATTACTGTACTACTACACTGTAATGTTGATGGCATTCTGTCGTAAGTGGACAAAGTGACAGTGCTTTGTGATCAATGCAGTTCTCGTCTGTCTCAGATCTCTTTTTCTTTGATCAAACGTTTCGCTTTGTTACGTGAGGCTGTAATATGAAGCATTGACCTCTTACATGCTTCCCGGATACCCCCCATGTGCAGTGCCTAATACATTATGCAAGCATACGTGTGGCCAGCCAGTGACGAGCATACACATCACAAGCACGCATGTTTACTTGGGCTGGCTTTGTACAGCTGTTAAGACACGGGCGGTTGAAGCGGCAATGAACAATGAGCACTCGGAATAAAGAGAGAGAGGGGAGAAAGAGGGCAATGCCGAGAGCAATATACTGTCTGGCACCTTTTGGCCTGGAATATGTATGTATGGGGTAGCTGGCGAGTCTGGTGACCACAATCAGCCCAGGTGCATATGTGAGCGTTTTGCATGGCCCGGACAGGCACATGTACCGTCAATACTACTCATACATACCTTACCTATGCACCTGCACATACCTTGGTACCTCAGTATTACCTTCTACCAGCAGAGAGTGTAAACTAGAAGCCCGATGAGCATCAAAAGACAGTACAGCAGAGACATTGAACGGGGCGCAGTGAAAGCCTCCTCCATCCCGTCCTACATCGGGTACTCCGTAACGTTAAAAGGTTCAAACTTGACCTCTTTGGCGCTGCAAGGGCCTCCAGGGCGTCCCCCCTGCCGGGCGCTGGGCCAGTCAGGCGCCGCATCCGGCTGAGTAGCCGCTGTCTGCGTCTCAGTCCAGCAGTGAACAGCGACACAGTGCTGCCCCTAACGCCTGACGCGCATGGGTCGTTGCGTGCTGGCGCCTGTGTTAGCGAGCAGCGTATCTTGTGCCGTGCCTCCCCCGAGCTGCGCGGGGGCATGTGCCAGATCGGTACCCAAAGCGCTAAGACCAGACCCAGCAGGTTTGGCGCCATGGTCATGCTGATGATCCACCCTCACCTTCCGGGTACATTGGTCGCTGGGAGACGCCTTGTACCGGTACGAGTGCGCACGGCATCGCACCGCAGCCTGGCACGACACCCGCGAGGTACAGTACCACCCGCCTGCGCCCGCTGCGACGACGCTCCATGTACCTGTACCACCGCCGGGACGCCCAAAGTCGGTTCGGTCTCAGGTAATTGAAGTCACCCACCCGCTGGAACTCTTTTCGCCCTCCCGCTCACCTCTTCCTCAACTTGACCTTTTGGACGACAACAACCAGGTCGAATCGTGCCTCCAGGCCTCGTCTCTTTCCAACCCCGACCGATCCGACGCCAGAATCCAACTGCTGCGCGCTCTCCCCGGCTCTTGCCCGAAAAGACACTACGGGGGCCCTGCCGAGCAGATCAGGAACCAGGGATTGTCCTGTCCTGTCCCAATCCCTTTCTTAGGCGGTCGACGCTCGAATCCACCACTCCATTTCATCATCCCTTCGATAGTTCGGCACTGCTCCGTCATCCAGACCGCATCGTCAGGGAGTCCAGCAACGCGCGACACGTCTTCCGGGGCTCTCATTCGCCCTAATACTCGTAGTGTGCTCGTGCGTACACCGGCGGGCTTCCACTCGCTTTTGGTCTTCTGGACTTTTGGACCCTTTTGGTCCGCTTCTCCCAGCAGACATTAGGAGGCTGACCCATGTCCTAAACTATCGGTATGCTGCTCTTGTTCTGCTTCTGCTTCTGCTTCTGCTTCTGCTTCTGCTACCAGTTTTCCATCACTTGGCTTGCACTAGTCGTGTACAGTGGTATTCCCTGCGTTCCCTTGGCACTCTCCCCTTTCAATATCTGCTTGGTAATATTGCACGGCGTTGGATTTGCGGTGCCAGTAATGCATCCTTCACTGCTTAGACAGCAAACAAACCAATAATCATTTTCAACACGCTTCATCCCCACCGACATCACCTGCGAGCCGCGTACAAGCACGTATAAGCTGACATTCGCCTGGTGCCAGGCTAGAACTCGGCCAGGGCCTTCTTTTTTGCTTTCTCCATACATTCCGTCATTCGCCTTACACGTCCGAAACCTCCTTTCCTACTCTTATACAGTCAAGCTTGTTGCAGTTTTGATTCCGAATTGGCAGCATACTACTCTCTTGGACCATTTACCCGGGGCGACGACTGCGACGCCGCTTCTTGCTTCGCTAGACGACCATGGCTGGCTACGGTAGACCGATGAGCTTTTCCGAGAGGAGAGGGAGCCTGCTGAGCGAAGAGCTGACGCTCAACACCAACAACTCGCTGCTACATCGAGTCGAAAAGCAGCAGCGCCAGATGAGAGGGCCACCAACGCCGAGCATGCCCACACCGGCCGCCGACTTTGATCAGCAGCTGACGGGGTCGGCTCCTGATCCGCCAACCCCAGCCGCGTCTCCAGGACCTGCGCACTGCCAGCCGGATTGGAGCGATGCCGCCGACGATGAAGATTTCTTCCTCGCCAAAGTTCGACATCACTTTCAGAACTGTTCTGGTCCTCAGCGAACGAGAATCTTGGCCGATTTGTTGAATCTCTGTACCAGCCAGCAGCTCAGCTTTGTTCACCAATTTGTCAGCCCGTTGTTGAAGAAGGACCCATTTACCAGTCTTCCGGACGAGCTGTGTTTGCGGGTACGAATTTGCAGCCTGCGGCTTGCAGATGCATCATTTTCCCTCTTCTCTTTAATATCTCTCCGCTGACATCGTCTCAGATATTGTCATTCATTGATGATCCCAAAGTTCTTGCGCGAGCGTCGCAAGTGTCTAAGCGGTGGCGGGATCTCCTGAGCGACGACATGACGTGGAAGAACCTTTGTGAGAAACACGATTACGGTCGTCGCTTGTCAGAAGTGTCGCCCTCGGCTCCAATCATGACAACGAGATCATCGGCCTACGCCATCGACATGGATAGCGAAATGTCCAGCAGTTTCCCGGGCGCCCTCCCCTTCGCCTCACATGCCTCGAGTTCAATGAGCTATGACAGCAGGAGGCCCAAGATACGCTCATACAAGTCCCACTTCAAGCAGAGATACCTGGTGGAGGCAGCTTGGCGGTCCGGCGGCACGAGCATCACCCGTAACATTACACAAGAAGGAGGCGTGGTTACGAGTTTGCATCTGACGCCAAAATACATCATTGTTGCTCTCGATAATGCAAAGATCCACGTCTTTGACACGGATGGCAACTCGCAGAGGACTCTGCAGGGCCATGTCATGGGAGTCTGGGCCATGGTACCTTGGGGAGACACCATGGTCAGCGGTGGCTGCGATAGAGACGTGCGCGTTTGGGATTTGAAGACTGGGTGAGTTTGAGACTGCGAATGGCAGCCGAATCACGCTCTGTTCTCCTTGTGATACTAACCTCATGACAGCGCTTGTCTACATACGTTGCGAGGCCATACATCGACTGTTCGATGCCTCAAGATGGCCGATGCTAATACCGCCATCTCCGGTTCTCGAGACACCACTCTGCGCATCTGGGACATCCGCACCGGTCTTTGCAAGAACGTCCTTGTTGGACACCAGTCTAGTGTACGGTGCCTAGAGATCAAGGGCGACATTGTAGTATCCGGTAGCTACGATACGTTTGCCAGGGTTTGGAGCATTTCAGAGGGCCGATGCCTGCAAACGCTGCAGGGACATTTTAGTCAGATCTATGCTATTGCGTTTGACGGCAAGAGGGTGGTGACTGGGAGTCTGGATACTAACGTTAGAGTCTGGGACCCCAAAACTGGGTAAGTTATGCTCGTCACATCAGTCGTCGTTTTAAGCTAGAGACTTTATGGCTAACCACGTGTCTCTCACTATTTACAGAGAATGCCTTGCCATTCTTCAGGGCCACACGTCTCTTGTTGGGCAGCTCCAGATGCGAGGTGATACTCTGGTGACTGGAGGCTCTGACGGCTCAGTCAGAGTATGGTCTCTGGAGAAGATGTGCCCCATCCATCGCCTTGCTGCCCATGACAACAGCGTTACGAGCTTGCAATTCGACGACACGCGAGTTGTCAGCGGAGGAAGCGACGGCAGAGTCAAGATTTGGGACCTCAAGACGGGCCACCTTGTGCGCGAACTGATTGCTCAAGGCGAGGCTGTTTGGCGGGTTGCTTTTGAAGAGGAAAAGTGTGTTGCTTTGGCTTTGAGGCAAGGTCGCACGGTCATGGAGGTGAGTTATCACTTACAACTGGGTTAAAATTGGCCCAGAGTGCTAACTACTGATGCTGGAACAGGTCTGGTCATTCTCTCCTCCGGAAGATGTGCTCTATGATCGCCCGTTTTCGCTTCAACAGCGCGTTCTTGAAGATGATCCTGACCGCCCGATGAGTGCCATGGCGTTTGACTATCGAGGCGGCGACGTGACAATGGCGGGTTTGAGCCGAGACGATTCATCTCGAGATATGCACATGGTGGATGCCGGCCCATCAACAGCTCCGCTTCAAGGGGTGACGTTCTTCCACGACGATTAATCGACACAGCTTCTACAAAAAGCTTTGTTTTAATGCGGCCTCAATCGCCGGCGCAATGATGGCTACGGTCCAGGACTTTTGCTGGGAGAGACAGAGATGAGACGAGAATCACACAGGATTCATTAATGAGGCAAGGGCTAAGCTGATTGGAGCGGCTGGCTCGCCCTCTTTGGCTTTTTATATACTTGGCGCGCGGTTTAGGCTATAGATCGCGGCGTGGATCTCGTGGGAGCATTATTTTTTTCTTTTTTTTTTCAATGGCGTTGCTGCGTTGCTGCATCATTCGGTACTTCATGCATAGCTGGGGGGGGGGATTGCTTCGCGTCAAAGGGCATGAAGCTTGGGATGTTTATCAGTTTGAAAACGACAGGGTCGTGGAGCTTTCCTTTGCTGAAGATTGGGTTTTATTTCCTTTTAGGATGAGCGCCAGCGACTCGGGATCATGGGCACTCAAGTATTGCTAGCGATAATACCAGTGAATATAGGATTAGGTAGAAGTAGATTCGATTCGACAGGGGGGAGAAGGAGAGGGAGGGATCAGATGCCAGATTTGATAGCCTCTCGAGATTAGAATATGAATATGCATACCCGTCTATTTAATCAAGGTAGCGTTAGCCCGAGCCCCAGGAATCGTCCGTTCTAGGCCAAGCTGAAGGTTCCGAGCCGATTTGAGTGGATATTACATGTATCCATCTGTGTTGTAGTCCAAGAGTATGATTGACGTCATGATTCCCGAGCGTCATGTTTGTTTCGATGAGCACGGTGAATCTGTGTCTAATAATTGCGTCACCATGTCATAGATCAAATTGACTACTCTGCACTGACATCAGCAATTGAATTGCCATTGGATGCGAACACATATATCTAGGGCTGCCTGTTATAAGTACCTAGACAAATCACAGCACCCATCTTCGTCACTCAATTTCAACCTCACTTCATTCATCACTTCGCCTATCACTTCATCCACAGATCCAATTCATTCACCCACCGCTTTCATCATCCCATCTCCAACATTTTCAACATGATTTCTGCAAGATCAGCCGCCAGACTATCACTGTCTCAGAGCAGAGCAGCTCTGCGAGCCCCAAAACGCCCCCAAATTCGCTTCCAGTCGACCTCGTCTACCTCCTCATCAGCAAGCACCGCAGCTTCCAATGGGTCGTTTGGAACTGGCCTTTTGGGCGGCGTGGCCGGGGCAGCACTTTTCTACGGCATCTACTCCTTCACTCCAGCCGGACGAACAGCGAGCAAGTTGAACAAGACGGTGAAAGAAGCTGAGAAGAAGTACCAAGAAGCTGCCAAGAAGCTGCAGGAAAACACTCCCAGCGCGTCACAGGCAGTCGATTCCATCAAGCAGTTTGCCTACTCCTACGTGGGCTGGATACCTGGCGGCCGCGGCTACGTGGATGCGGCTTTCAAGGATTGGGAGACTGTGAGAAAGGAGCACGGCGAGGAGGCGGATAAGCTGGTCAACGATGCGTACAAGCAGTTTCAGGACATTTCCAGGTCGGGCCTGAGCCTTGAAACAGCTTCCCGGGCGTTTGAAGTCTTGGCGGACTTGGCGAGCAAGATTGCTAGCCTTGCTGGAGATGCCCTTTCGGATGTTGTGGACAACCATCCGCAGCTGAAGGAGAAGCTCGGAGGCAACATCGATCAGCTGAAGCAGATGGGCGAGCAGTACGGCCCAGAGGCGAAGAAGCAGGTGGACGAGACTTGGCGCCAGGTCAAGGACATCTTTGCCGGCGGATTCAGCGCCGCGAGCCTCGCAAAGGCGCGGGAGCTGATTGACGACAAGGTGAAGCAGGTGCAGAAGCTGGGAGACGAGGCTTGGAAGAAGGGCCTGGAAGAGGCCAAGCCGTATCTCGAAAAGAGTCCCAAGATTAAGGAACTACTCGAGAAGAATGGGGATGCTTTGAAGAAGGGAAACATTGGAGAGCTTTTCGGCAAGGTGCGTGACGCGGCCAAGTCTGGAGATGTGGGTGACTTGGAGAGCTACATCAAGGAGGCTGCGAAGAAAGTGAGTGACAAGGCCGACGCAAGCGGATGGGGGTCGTTGAACAAGTATATGGACAAGGTACCGCAGGGCAGCGAGATCTTGAGCAAGTTGGAGGAGATGGGACGGGTAGCGGAGGAGCACAAGGAGGAGGGGGAGCAGTTGCTCAAGGAGACGTTGGGGGATATTCAGAAGGTTCTTGAGGAGAAGGGACAGAAGTTGAAGGAGATTGTGGATTCTGAGAAGAAGAAGCAAGAGGCAAAGAAGCAGTAGGGGTGCATGAAGATTGGGTTAGATGGTGTGGTGTGGTGTTAGTCATTTGATGTGTATAATAGACGTTATCTGGGTTGTGGATCAAATGACGAGGATCGCGGCCTGCAGTGGGTTTCATCGGTCGATAAACCTTGGGGACGTGGGCCATAAACAGTAAAAACTATAAACTATATGTTATAAACAAAGGTTCAGATCATGAAGTCTGTTGAAGCCTTTGAGCACTGCCATGGCAACAGAAAGCCATGCAACGGTGAATAAGATGAACAGGTACTTGATCTACCATGCAAGCTGCAGCCCCAGTGAAAGTACTTGCCTAACAGTGTGATTCAACTAACCCGTGACAGCAGCGATTTAGCCTGCTGATCCTCCGGAACAGACAAAAGACGCACGTTGCGCATTCCTCGAACAAGACTGGATGCTCATGTCGCCGAAAATGTACCCACCGCTCAACCATGTTAATTTCCATCTCCTTTGCATATGCCGTTGTCTTTTCATGTCAACTTGCGGCAGATCACGGCGGCGGCATTGTTCCGTTTGGTCGGATGATCCATTTTCTAGGGGGAAAGCCAAAGCAGCTGCCGAAGGCTATCACATCCCCCCCCTTTTTTTCCTCCTCACTGTGGTAGACCTTGCTCGTCTATTATAGCATTCGGTGGCTGTTTCTGATAGTTTCCCCATGGGCATGGCTGAATTATAAATAGTGTTGCCGTCCGCTGGTTTGTTGTGAGTATAAAGAAGGTTAGGGACGTTTCCCTGGCAATCCCGAAACTTTGTTAGATATATTTTTATATAAAAGGAGAACGTTGAGTGCTTTCTCTGTTTTCTGTTTTGTTAAACAATTCTACAAGAGACATACACAAACAAACAAAGAATCATCATGATGCTTACTTGGTCGCTATTATTTGCTCCTGTGTTGGCGATGCCGACGAGGAGACTTGTTGCCGAGCCGAAACAGGCTCAGCTTATACAAGATGATGGGCTTTTATCGAAACCGCTGAGTTTTACTCGGAATGGGACCTTTCAGATATCCATCTTTGAAGATCTTCATTTTGGCGAGAGTGAGTTGAAGTACGCGATATGAGCGCAAGTACAGCCAACTAATGATGCTTCTAATAGATGCTTGGGACACTTGGGGCCCTCAGCAAGATATCAACTCCGTTGAGGTCATCAACAAGGTGCTCGATCGAGAGTCTCCTGGACTTGTTGTCCTAAACGGCGACCTCATCACCGGAGAGAATTCTTTTCTAGAAAACAGCACTGTTTACGTCGACCAGATTGTCCAGCCACTTATTGACAGACGTCTCACATGGGCATCGACATATGGCAACCATGACTACAGCTTCAACATCTCTGGTGAGCGTATTCTGGAGAGAGAGCAGCGTTGGCCAAATGCCCGAACAAGCAACATGGTTCAAGGACGAGATGCCGGTGTGTCCAACTACTATCTACCGGTTTACGCCGCAGGGTGCAACGATCTTGACTGCGCGCCTGAACTTTTGCTCTGGTTCTTTGACAGCCGCGGCGGATTCTACTTTCAGGAGCGCCATCCGGATGGGAGCATGGTCGGCCAGCCAGACTGGGTTGATGTCAGCGTTGTGAGATGGTTCGAGCAGACGAGCCAGCAGTTTGTGGCCAAGTTTGGACGAGTCATACCGTCGTTGGCGTTTGTCCACATCCCGACCGAGGCCTCACAGGCTCTACAGGTCCAAGACGGGCCAAACACTGTTAATCGGAATTACCAACCTGGCATCAACGACGACTATCCAGTCGCCCAACAGGCACAAGGATGGTGCGCCGATGGACGCGACGATGGGCCATGCACCTACGGCGGACAAGATGTCCCTTTTATGAAGGCCATTGCTTCGACTCCAGGTCTCATGGCCGTCTTTTCAGGACATGACCATGGCGCCACCTGGTGCTACAAATGGGATCGGCTCGTCCCAGGGATGACAGTGGCTGGAACCGGCGTCAACCTCTGCTTCGGACAGCATTCCGGATATGGAGGATATGGCAATTGGATCCGCGGATCACGGCAGGTCACCGTGGACCTCGAGACTCTTCGCGACAATTGGGAGGCGAAGACGTGGATTAGGCTGGAGAGCGGCGATGTGGTCGGCTCGGTGTCGCTGAACGCAACCTACGGGAACGATTGGTATCCTGCGACTCCAAACGACAAGACGTTTTGTCCGACGTGCAATTATTCTGTTATTACTCCGGGGCCGGGATCCCTTCAGAAGAAGGTTCGTCCTGTGCGACGCCGGATTTGAGTGTTGGGGGAGGTTTATGTGATTATGTTATGGTTTGGCTGTTGTTGATTTTTTGATTTTTTTTTGTCTAGGATGGATTGGATAAATATGAGTTTTTCTTTTCTTTTTTTTTTATTCGAGTTTTGTTACAATATGGGGTTGGTTTGCGTTTTCTGGATACTACTGTTGCATCTGTTGCTGTTACTACTAGGTTATTTATATTATTATCAAGATTTTATTCGAGTGTCTTGTTCCATCACTATAGTTCTCTGGTACCTAGTATGACCACTTGTCACCGACGTGGTTGATTTGAGATACGGGATGCTGAATAGCAGACTTGTGATGCTGGCTGGTATTTCCCTAAATTTACACCCAAGATGAGAGGGCAAACAAGATTATAAGAACTAGTCCAGCGAAAGGCTATATCCCAGTGTTCGATTCGATGAGGTTATTATGTGTCATAGAAGTATTGAAAGTATCAGTAGGTTGCATGCAAAGATAGATTCACTTATAATTGTGCTCTTAAAGTTAAATCTCACGAACAAAGTCAATCGGGTTGAGATTGTGGTGGCGCATGGGGAATCTCGATAGTCTTTAGTCTTATAGTTCAGTTAGCCTTTGGGTCTCTTATCGCAAGACTCTGGGCAACTTGTTGTTGTTTGGCTTTGTTTAGGTTTGTTTTCCTTTTCTGGGCCGTTAAATACAGGATGATACCCCTGCCTCCTATCCTGTTGCTTCTCTTCTGCAATTACACACTTTCAGAATATACCGTTCGCAACCCACTACACTCTGTACCGATATCAATCAATAACTAGGCTCATACAGAGGCTACTTTTCACACCGATTCGGTGTTCATCTCCTATCATTCAGCAAGCTACAATGGCTCCAGGACGATTCGGCCGCCGGTTTAATTTCGCCGCGTCTCTATGCCCTCGCATGACGGAGCCGGACACTTTGACGGAGCATATAAGGATCAAAGTCGGAGAACATGTCCGTCGCGGGGACTATTCTGAAGTTGCAGGGTATACTCAGTACGAAGAGTATAACGAACACGATGGGTATACTCCAGGCGAAGAGAACACTCAATACGAACAGCATACACACGACGAAGAGTACACTCAAGACGGAGTAAATACTCGTCACGAAGAGTATACTAGAGACGAGGAACAGAACGAAAATAATATTCGTGTTCCAACTGATGGTCCAGATGATGGAGAAGGGGGAGGACGAGGACGAGGACGAGAACAAGAGGCCGTCTTCAAGGGCGCATATGGATGGTACACGATTGGGAATGAAGATGAGAAAGATGTCGAACGTGGCCTGCTTACACCCCAAGCTGTCCCCATGGTCGAGAAGCGCAAGGTCTTGACTTGCACTCGCGCCGAAGCATTGGAGATGTACCAACCCATCGAGGAGAAATTCAAGGCAAGCTATGGGACTGCCGACGTCCGAATGGAAGTCCGACACAACTTCACCGAGCAACTGGTCAGAGTCCTCCCGCCGTTCGAAAAGAAGATGGTCAAGATGAATGCAGAGTTTCACGGAGCCAAGGACGTCATTCGGTGGTTCCGCAATGTCGATATAGACGATGATCTAAAGGAATATAGCTGGGAGACAACGTACCGAGTTCCCCGTCTGACTCCCAAGCAAATTGACGACACTTGGGAAGATCTGCATCACCTCGCATACCACAGCAGCGTATACTTGATGAGCCGCATGGAACTTAGGACTAGTGTCTTGAAGATGCTTTTCGACGAGCAGACGAAGCGAATTCAGGAGTTGGAGGAAGAGCTCGAGTGGAAGAATTCGGTGGAATTTGGTGTTGTCGAGTTGAGGGAAGACTTGGAGACATTGAGCGAGAAGTCTGCAAAGCGTGGGAAGAGGTCTTTGGTGAAGGATTTTGTTAAAAAGGTATTTTGCCATCGTGGATAGATGCAGGAATTTGTTAAAAGGACAGTTTGCAGTCATGGATAGATGGAACAAGTCTCTGGTTTCGAGGTTATAGGAATAGTTGGGTACTTGGGTAGTTGGTATTAACAAAAATGAGAATTAATATATTTAACAACCCGTGTCTATCATCTATCAGGTGAATGCAAGTGCATCACAGCTACCCTGCACTAAAGTACCATTATTGGAATCTAGCCCCATTTGGTGGTGACATCGCATCGACTGCCGCGTATCGATAAGCTCCTCCAGACATCCGCTCTCGCTTCCTCTCCCAACCGCAACTCAACTTCTTTCCTCTTCACCAACCGGCCGCCGCTCATTCAGTTTTGAGACTCGAACCCGAATACGAAATATATCATACTGCACCGCTATCCATCCTTCACACCTGCGGCCTCCAAGATGGCGGACCACGAGAATTCCAGCATCAAACACAGTGACCACCTGCTCTTGGTAAGCTCATCCTCGTAGTCACTGCTCCCCATCTTTCAAAGCTTCCTCTGCCTCTGAATAACTCCCGATTACTGATGCATCCGTCTCTCTCCCAGGACCAACCCCTCCTACGTCTCCCCCACGAACTTCTCCGCAAGAACTTCCGCGCTGCACACTTCACCATCGAGAAGGACACCTCGTCGCTCAAGTCCCTCCTCAAAGAATCGGCGACCGCGGCTATCGCCGGCAAAGCCTCACAACAAGATGTTCTGAAGAACCTGGACTCCATGATTAGTCGTATGCGAGGCGTCAAGCGCAAGCTCGGCGCTTGTGCCGAGGAAGAAGCTCGCTTGCACGAGCAGACGGCGGCGCGGATCCAGCACCTCAATGAGCTGTACACGATGCAGAGCGTTGACGATGTCAAGTACGAGGCTTGGAGCAGGAAGCGGCTGGATCGATTGTTGACCGACTACCTCCTGAGACACGGCTATAACAACAGTGCGAAGGAGTTGGCCAGCGAGAAGGGCATGGAGAATCTGGTCGATGTCGAGACGTTTGTTGCCATGAGCCGGATTCGGGAGGCGCTGCTGAATCAGAGCGTTGTCGAGGCGTTGGCTTGGTGTACGGAGAATAAAAAGGAGCTGCGCAAGATGGATGTAAGTCGTGCTGTGCTACCATGCTTTTATTTCCCTGTTGATACATCCATATACTAACCAACGTGGCAGAGCAAGCTCGAATTCATGCTGCGGCTGCAGCAGTACATTGAGCTCATCCGCGCGCATTCAGACAAGGAGGCCATCGCCCACGCCAGAAAATACATCATGCCCTACTGGAATACGTACCATAAGGAGGTCAAGCAGGCATGCGGTCTTCTGGCCATCCCCCCAGACGGCACCACTACCGGCATCTACAGCGACCTCTACAAGGCCTCTCGCTGGAACGAACTCGCCGATGTCTTCACCACTGCCCACAACAGCCTTCTCGCCTTGCCGTCCGTGCCACTGTTGCACGTTGCCCTATCCTCGGGACTGTCGGCTCTCAAAACACCGGCCTGCCACTCGTCGAATCCGGACGACGCCTATAACGAGGCGGGATCCTCTACGTTGGGCCACGGCGTTTGTCCCATTTGCTCGACGGAGCTCAACGACTTGGCTCGGAATGTGCCCTATGCGCATCACACGAAGAGCCACGTTGAACATGACCTCTTCTTGCTTCCAAACGGCAGAGTGTATGGTAAAGAGCGTCTGGATGACTATGCTAGAAAGTCGGGCCTGCCGCCTAGCATGGTCAAGGATCCCATCACTGGGGAAGTTTTCTTTAACGAGCTGCTCAAGAAGGTGTTTATCACTTGAGTTTCCGTGCTGCTTTTGCTATTAATCTTTCACTTTGTGTGTGTGGATATGGAGACTGTCGTTTCTCCTTTTTTTTTGTTGACTTGGCATGATAGTCTTGGGCATTAGGAAATGGGTTAGTTGGTTTAATGGTTTTTGTTCTTGGTTGGTACTTTCAGATTCACAGCATGGGCATTTGATTGCGGGACTGTACAGCTTTCTTCTTAGCTTTCTTTTTTTGGTCTTTAGCTAGGGCGTTGTGTTACTCTAAAGCATTGCTGTTGAGTATTCTTGACGATTTTTTCAATCATCACCTCTTTTTGTCACATCATGTTTCACCGTGCCGTGATATCTCGTCATCGTAAAAGGCAATGGATAATAAGGGGCAGTCAATAAAAGCAAAATGCGTTGAATTTCCTCCCTTGACCCTCCAAGAGTACCATACAATACACAGAACACGCATACCATGTTCCTTGACCCAATTCCTTGAACGAAAAGATAAATGAAATGGAAAGCTCCCTTAATACATCCACCACACAAACAAGCCCCTCCCATATCGCAAAAAAGCAACATGGCGAATTCCACCCTCGCCAGTTTAGTTTCTTTGTATGATAGCATTCGCCTCTTCCCATTCTTTTGTTTTTTTTTATCCCCTCCGTCTCTCCCTTGCAAGAGTTCCAACTACACAACCATAGAGAACAACCTCCCCCACCTTTATTTTCACCATCAAAGGAAGAAGAAAAACTCCTCAATCGCCACACCCCGTTTTTTGTTATTTGAGTTTGCTCCCGCCCCAGAATTCCAACTCTACCATTTCCTCCGTTCCCATCCCCACCTTTGCTGATTTCAAAAGGAATACAAGCGGGGTGCGGATAAACGCAAAAAACAAAGTAACGAGGCAAGGCATGAAAACGAAAAACCGTTTGCGAGGGTTGATAAGTAAGCCTGTCTAACGCCTCTGTCCACTCCCTGCTCTTCTTCTTCCACTTCTTCTCCTGCTTTTCGTCTTCCGGGCTACAATAGTATAGTAGTGAAAGTCGAAAAGCCTTTTGGAGAACAGAGTAGAAGAGGGATTGGAGAGTGAAAAGGAGATATAAAGAGCTGCTATACGCACAAAAGTCCCAAAACTAGGACGGATAGGATGTAAAAGCAAGGGGAAAAGAGAAAAAGGAGGTCATCATTCAGTTATAGGATGACATATGCGCCCAGGCAGGACCCTATCTGCCGTTCCCTCCAAATGCAAAATTACCAAAAACGCCTCCTCCTCCACCGGGAGTCATGGGCCCCATATTGGGCAGCCCGTTTGTGTTGTGGCTCTGAGCCGGAGTCGTTGCGAGATGCGCGGTGCCCGTGTTGGGAGTGCTGGGAGTGTTGCCGTTCTGATCGCCGCCGTGGCCCATCATGGACATGGGGATGCCGATGTCAGGGATGCCCAGGCCCCAGACCTTGCCGAGATGGTCGTTGGGGATATCGCCGGTGAATATTCTGTCGCGCATCTGGAAGAAGACCTTGCCGGTGAGCAGGGAATCCGAGCCAGCCTGGTGAGCAGACCCGATGCGCTTGACCTTGAGAGTTTCCGCAATATTCTCCAGGCCCGACTTGTGCTCAAACTTTTGCAGGATTTCCGTGGTGCCAGGGTCGGTGGGGGTGAGCATCCCCGAGTTGTGAAGCTTGATGGCGAACTTCATCAGATGCTTCACGTCGTATGTCATGGGGAAATACAGCTTCATCTTGTGGTCAAAGTCCACCTCGTCGTTTGGAAGGGGGGTGCAGATGAGCAGCTTCGTGAGATAGCCAAAGTCGTAGCCACCGTGGAAGGATATCCATCGGACGTTATCGAAGCATACCAGACCCGACGGTATTAATAAAGAGGCAAAATGGTGAGGGTCGATGCCGTCACGCTCCAGGAGGTTGAAGTCGATGCCGGCCTGCTGGAGAGACTCGATCGACTTCTCGTTGTACATGTCGTCTTTTAGGGAGAATTTGAAGTTGAACTGCCACGAGTAAGGGAATGGGCCCCCGTTAAGATGCCGCCTTGCTGCCGCGCTGAGGCCCAGCTCAGGGCCCGGTCGTGCTGGTGGTGTCTCGCCTTCTTCGTTGAACAGCGTGATGCCGATTTGGATGACTTTGAGCATATCCACGTTGGTCCGTAGACACTGGTAATGGTAGTCACTCTTCCCTCTGAAACCACCCATGGGCCTTGCTACAACGCCAGGAAATTCCGTGTCCTTTTTTTGCGATTACCACCCCACTCGGTCAGCGGGATTGATCCTCCATAAGGAAACAGAAGAAAAAAAGAAGGGCAAAAATCATCATCAAGAGCAACAATGGGCTCGCAACGCCTCAAACAAGACAAGACTCACCATGGCTACATAAGGGTACTTGTCAATGATGTCTCTTAGCACGGCCATCTCCTCCTCGAGGTTGTGTTTCCAGACTTCGCGTATCCGGCCCTTGTTAGCTGGCTGCGACCGCAGTGTGGGATGGTCCATCAAGGCATTGTGCTGCACCTGGCCGCCATGCTGCGGCTGCTGGAGGGCCGCCCCTGGCCCATGCGCGAACCCCATCCTTGCGCTCTGGCTGCCAAAGCCCGTGTCGGGGAAGGCGGCGCCGCCATTGAGGGCTGCGGCGTTGAACGAGTTGATGTTGTTCGGCGTGAAGGGGTTCAGCTGGGCATTGGCATTGAGATACTGGTTGCCTAGAGGCCCTCCCTGCGGCTGGCCGTGAGAGGGGAAGCCGGGCTGGTGGAAAGGCGCGCCGACGCCGGGCCCGCCGCCGAAGGCCCGGAGCTGGGGTGGCATGAGATGAGGTGCTGGATACTGATGATGAAAGGGTTCAGGGTCGACGGGGCCGGCGTAGTAGCCCTGCCGAGGATTGGGAGGCGGGTAGCTGTTGTATCGTCGAAGGCGGCCGCCGCGTCGTCGAAAGTTGTTGTTGTTGGAGTGCTGTCGTTGCGGAGTAGACTCGGGCTGTCTCTAACGTGACGAAGGGGGGGAATATCTCGAATTTCCACGGCCTCTTCGGGCTTGCATTGGGCACGAGGGCTGGGCGCAACAATGGCCTAGGCGGGCGGCAGCGGCTCTCAGCTCTCGGTTCTGCGGCGAGGCTCGTGACTCGGGTGCTGCGGTCGAGACAGCAGACGTCGTCGCGGGACGGTAGATATCAGATAGTGTTGGGTAACAGATAATTGCAGTGTACTGAACAGGGCTTTCTCCGCCTGCGGCTCTCTCTCTCTCTCTCTCTCTCTCTCGCTCTTTGGGGGTTTTTTTTTTGTTCGTTTTCGTCTGTTGCCTGTGCGCACGCCTGGCTGATTAGTCCGTAACAAAATACTCGTGCGGTTGATTAACGCTCTGTGGATGTTGCAGAGGGGAAGATGATTATCAAGATAAAAGAACACGATCGCTGGTGTTTCGTTCTGGAGGAGGTGACGGAAGCGAAAGCCTATCCTAATAGCCGGAGATGGCCCGTGCACTACATGCCGCCAGCAGCCACCAAATTCTCGGCCACCGCATTATTCCGGCCCCAGCATCTTGACTTGGCTGCGGAACTTCCAATCGAGCCATCCAAACGGCCTGTCGAGATCAGATTGCAGGCACCCTCAATCGGCATCATGCTGGCGACAAGGTACGGCGATGATGTCTCTAGCTGACGCTGCTTTTGCATCTACCGGAATGGCTAACCATTGCGCCCTCACAGAGCACTCCGAGCGGCCCACGGGCCCAAGCCCAACATCACCGGCTTCAACATGCGAGCCCTCAAAGAGGCCACTGGCCAGCCCCGATACGACCCTTGGGAGAGAGCGTTGGTCTAACCCTTTCAAGTTCCCCTCTGGCAGACTCCCCCAATTTAAACAAGAGAGAGACAAAGCGCCAGAGAGCAAGAACATGGACGAGTGAAAGCTAACTGGGGATATCATCGCACAGCGAGGCATGGCGATACAAGGGCACCTTTTCCAGATGGAACCGATTCAGGAGCGGCTTCCCCGGCTTGGGAATCGCGTCTGTTGCCTTCGCCGGATACTGCGCCTACGAGTACCTCTTCCTCGACGACGGACACCACGGCGAGGGACATGGCGAGGGGCACCATTAGAGCGTCTTTTTTTGCGAGCGACGGTTGTCAGGAGATGCGACGAGGGGTTTCTGAGAACAGCAACTTGTGTGTGTGAGAGAGAAAGAGAGAGGAAATGTATATACATCTCTCAGAAGAGAAGAAAACTCTGGCCTGGTCTTTCGGCGGGCAAAAAAAGAATCCAACACAAATCAATATAAACTCAATTTAGAACATGGTGTAGCGAAACTATGCTAAAAACAACACAATATTAGGTATATGCCCAGCTGCACAAGAAGATGACTTTTTTTTCTATGCGAAGACACAAATTGTAGTGGGCTTGACTGCCCAAACACATCAATGGATATCATATGTACACTTGAAGCATGAACCCCTTCCTCTTTGAATGAAAAAAAAAAAAGATAAACAACATTTGAATTCAATCATGTTTCCTATCATAATTCTACGTCTCTCATATAAACGCTAGTTTTCATTCTTTGCTTCCGGGATATGCTCCGCAGCTGGAGCTCCCTCTTCTTTTTGAGAGCTCATCCCAGCTGACATGCCTCTACCGTATACCGCGTAGGATGAACGAAGGGAAAAAGGGGGAGAAAAAAAAAAGATCAAGAGATTAACAAAAAGAAAGTCGAGAAAAAAAAAGAAATATGTCATCATAAAAAAAAAGTCCGACGCCAAATTTCATGCCAGAACATGGTTGATAACACCGGCTATTTGCGAAGAAACACCCAGACATGCCAAAAACTTAGATATGCAAGAGGTCGTGTTATTGCCCGACGCCGTTGACAACGTCTAGGACTTCTTCGACGGCGGCTTCCAGATCGCCGACCCTCTCCTTGAGAGTCTTGTTCTCGGCTTTCAGGAGGCCCACCGTGTCCCAGGCGATGCTGGCATCCTGGCCCTGGCAATTGCGGCACCCGTTGATGTCCTTGTTGGGGTCGCCAGAGATGCCCTTGAACAGCTTCTGGAACGTGGACATTTGCGGCGGCTGAGAGTTCCGGAGTGGCCGAGGGGCTGCGGATCCTCCAAAGGTCGATGTCCTTGAGAGAGGGATGGGCGGCGCAGGACTGTCTACATCGGATATGATGCTTAGCGCCGTGTTGGTAGGGCTGCGAGGTCGAGAGAAGATGCTGGCAGCTTCGACGCTATCCTCATCCGTCTCGAAGCTAAAATCGGTCTTGGAGGTCTCACCGCTGCGCCTCCATCCTCGCTTGCGTTGATCGTCTTCGACGCATAGGTCTTCTGATATCGATCCTTCAGATGGCGTCAGGAACTTGTCTCTGGCGTTTGCCCGCTCTTCCATCCTCAGCCTCTTCTCTTTGTTCAGCTCCTCCATCAGCGCCTGCATCACATTCTCAGTGTCGGCCAGCTTCTGAGCCATGCCCTCCAGTTGCATCTTGAGATGTCGTGTTCTCGTGTCGGCCTCGGCCTTTTCGTCATCCATGGCCTCCTTTTCGGCCATCAGCTCCTGGATCGTCATGTTCTGGCGGTGGTAGGCGGTTTGGAATTTCTTCAACAGGCCGGTCGCCGTCTGCTGCAGGTTCATAAAGGCTGACGGCGAGAAAGCCTGTCCATCGGGGGGGCTGCCCTTGGGAAAGAGAGACGTTTCGATGTTGAGGTTGAGGAGCTCGTCGTTGTGCGCCACCACGGTGGGCGCAGGGGCGAGAACCTTCATGGCCGGCATCCTGGAAGTAATAAAGGAGAGGGCAGAGCTGCGGGCGGGCGAAGAGGCGGTATTGGGCCTGCTGTAGTCGCTTTGGTTCGACGCGCGTCTATCCTGACCGACTTCTCCAAATGAAGTGCGACGCGTTGCAAGAGGCGGATTGGGGACCTGAGGATGCGAAAAGGGTGTTGAAGGTACTGTTGATGATGTTTCGGGGGCTTGCCCAACTGCTAAAGGAGTGTTGCTAGTAGTAGCGGTTGCGAATTCTGATCTCGACCTCGAATGGCCTCTGGGAAGCTTGGTATTGTGCCTCGGCTTCAGAAACGGCGGCAAGTCGGGACGTCCAGCGTTGTCTTGATAGGAGATGCTAGTAGATTGACGGAGAGGAGATTGATGTTTCGGAGGAGAAGCTGGTCCCACATTGAGCAGGGCGTCTCTTCGGTCGACGGAGAGGCGAGGATTGGGACGAGGCGTCGGGGTCGCACGAGGTGTTGATGGGTAATCCAGGGCCAAGCTTAAGCTCGGTGAGAGAGGAGGAGTCTGAGTCTGAGTCTGCTCATACCCCTGGCCGGGGGTTGCAGTCGAGCTGCCCATTGCACTTTGTTTGGCGCGGTGTAGAAAAGTAGTGGAGTGGAGAAGTGGACGGAATATTGGACCAGACCAGCAACCAGCCCCCCCAGTATCTTTCGCGATCGCTACCGATGCTAGACGCCACAGCGGACTTGTTTCTTTTATTCGTTTGAAGGATTTCTTCTTCTTCTTCTTCGTCACTGTAACTTTGATTCGATATAAGAGCTGGATTGAAAAGAAGATGTTGTGGTTTTTTCCCGTCTCGCCTGGGAACAGGAGGGAGAAACGGGCCTCAGTCAAGGGTTTAGGGGAGCTCTGGATGATGGAAGCCTCAAGGAACCGGGAAACGTGACCCCGATTTTTCTTGCGGTCCCTTTGAATCCGAGAGTCGGCGCAAGTTTTCGACGTCGATCCCGCGTCCGCGAGTTATTCGCTCTTGGCCAGCGACGGACTCCACCGGGGCGCAATGCAGAGTGGAAAGCGGCCGAGCAGAGCAGAAGCAACGTGTGCGCGCAAACGGATGCAGCGTGTACCTGAATGTAATGCGTATGCAAACCTATGCAAACGTACAAGCAGAGCTGCAGGTCGGCTGCAAGCGCATGCACAGGATGCTGTGAACGGTGTAGCGGTCACGCACAACTCGACTCATGCAGCAAGACTCCAGTCAAGACGTCCAGGGGGGCCTCCTTGTCTTTTTCTCTTGCCCGTCAGCTGTGCAGCACCCAACGGGTCCGTTGTCCTCGCGACCAAAACAGAGTCTGTTTCTGTTTCACTGCGAGAATGTCTCTGCGTCAAGGCACTTGGGCAACCTGTATGTCTCAGATGCGTGGGAGCAACGGCATGTGAGAGGCCCAGCTGGAATGCTGATACACCGGACGTCGGCTCTGGGCGGCCCACCGAAACGGGCAGCTCGAGGCTAGACTTGCGATCAGATGTCAAGCCTTGCGAAGCTAGTTCGGCGTACCTGCGAGCACGAAGCGTGCGGGATGGAATGCAGTTGGGCTCCCCAGATTTGTGCGTTGTCTGTCTGTCACTCGCTGGCTGTGGTGGACGGGGATCCGCAACACAAACGCGGGCTCTGGTTCTGGCCAGTCGGTGAAGCGACAGCACGAGTGCCCGTACCTGACCCAGGCAGCGAGCAAAAAGAAGCAAGCAAGGAAGCAAGGTGGATGCAGTCAGCAAGGCAAAGCGAGACAAGAAAACAAAATGACGGATGGCACAGCACAGGGACGAGTATGCAAGAGTACAGTTGACGTGGATGTGGATGTGGATGTGCAACGTGGACGTGGACGTGAGGGGAAAGAAGAAAAGAAAGTTGGTTGCAGATTGTGATGGATAGCAGGGACATGGGCAGTCACATTTGATCTGTTCTCTGTATCCCACAGGCCAATTGCAGCTACAGCAGGCATCGCAACGTGGCGGCCTTGCGCGCTGCATGCAAAGAGATCCGCGCCAAAAGTATGTGCTCCAGCTCCGTATATCCGTATTGATAAACCACCGGCCACCACTTGTACTTTGCCGTGCCTTGTTTCTGCATCTCGAGCCCATCGTGTGCCTGTGCCGGTCCGAGGCTGGTGGATGGTGGGTGGTGGGTGGTGGGGGGCCGTTCTTCAGCTGCCGGCCAGTCCGGAGCAGCAGCCAGCCAGTGCGTCGGGCTCACTAAAGCTCACTAAAAGTCGCTAAAGATGCAACTTGTATTGGGGTCGAACCATATGTGATAGGCTCGCTCAGCTCTCATTTCCATGGCCGTTGCAAAGTAGAGTGGCTGGGTAGCCTTGATGGATGGCGAAAATAAACTCTTACGATGCTCATTAATGCGCGAAGCTGGCATCGAGTTGCTTCTTTAATAAGGCTAGACGTCATGTTGAGACTCTATCGATAGGTACTTTGGCTGCAGACATGGAACATAACAGGCGCCACAGCAACGCATCCTCTAGAAGAGCCCAATGATGGCTACAAGATGTTACCTTGGTAGTAATGATTCAACATGGAACTTGCTATAGGTACATAGTGAAAGAGTTTATGAATGATCAAGCACTGATAATAAAGATAGCACGCACATGCACGCTGTAGATTTGGGTGAGGGATCTCGGTTATTAAGCTTCCAAGTTGTATATATCCATCCACTGGCATATATATCATTTACAAAAGCTTCTCTTTTATAGGGAATCAACCATCAATCGTATCTATTCCACTGAGCCCAAAGAGTGATTCTTTCCTCTCTCCAAAGATGACGTCTCGTAACTCTGATATCATAGCTTCTCTGAGGTAGGTACGTGCTGTCATCAACTGCACAAGGTATCAAAACCCTCCTCAGTATCAAACTCCTTTGTACTTACATCCACGCCTCTCATCGACTTGCAATCAAACACTCCATATCCAACAAAGAGAAACGTCTCCAATCATTCTCATTCCCACCAAGGCTTCTTTCGTTAATATCACCACTACGGGCACCCATGATATACAACTCACTACAACGACAAATCATTCAGACAACCTCTTTTACACCCACATATCCTCCTCCTCCTCTACTACATCATCATCATCGCCATCCTCTCCGTGATGCCTCGAGTTAAACAAACCCAAGCATCAATACGCTTCCACTCCTTCTCAAACACCCTCCTCGCCTACTTCGTCCCCATCTGGTCCCTCCTCAACCTCGCCCTCGCCCTCCTCTCCACCGCCGCCTGGGTCGCCGCCCGCTCCCGCATCCTCGCCGGCCCCTGCAAAGACTCATCCTACGGCCAGAGCGGCGGCTGCGACTTCACCCGCTGGGGCCTCTACTTCTTCGTCTCCGCCAGCGCCAGCATCAGCACCTTCGCCGCCATCTTCATGGCCTTCACTTCCATCCTACGGCCCAGGCCTTCCGCCCTCGACCCCATCTGGGTCTTCCGCGGCGTCTTCTTCACCCTCATCCCCCTCATGACAATCACCTGGATCGGATGGAGCACCCCCGACAAGCCCACTGGGATCCTCAAGTTCCCTCGCGAGCTCGAGGAGCAGGCCACGCCGCACGCGTTCCAGAAGCCGATGAGAGGCATCGGCGGTGGCTTCATTTTGGAGGTCATGGACCCGTGGAGGGAGACAATGCCTGCCTTTATACTGCTTCACATCAACTTGTAAGTGTATACCTTGATATATTCTCCTACGAAGGACATAACTAGGTATTGATACTCTTTTTTTTCTCTTCAGGTTCATTGGTGCTTTACTCGCTGGATACTCCACCGCTGTCTGCCATCCGATTGCTCCTCCAAATACTCTTGCTCATGCTTGTAAAGATCGGACGTCTGAGGGCCTTGTTTTTCTCCCGATTGCATAATTCAGATCACAGAGGGCATAGGGGAACGGAAGAAGAAATACGGATAATCCCCGTCACACCAGATCGACAGTGCGTTGTGAGTAGTAGTCTGGGTGCACTAACGGGTGCTTAGGATGTTCGCCGGTGCCCGGATGGTTTCATGTTTCACTGGGGCTTGTGTTGGGCTACGCACGTACATTGTTACCGGTAGTCTGATAATTAGAATCTTCAGCACGCAATCCATCATGAGTTGTCCCATTGCTCGCGAGTAATTGCAAACTGAATCATCCATTATTAGGTTGGTAGTCGTATTCGTATGCCAAGGCCGGACAGCGTCAAACAACTAGGTACCTAGTAGGTGCTAAAGCCCTTCGATCATTGCCTCCTCAGTAGTGAAAAAAAGATCCGTCCTTGGTAGTTTAGCAAAGAAAAAGACTGACTCCAGTGCCCACGGCTTCCGCCTCGGGTGCCGGATGGTCAACTCCGAAATGAAAGCAGATGGTGGTACTCGTACCACTCAGTACCCTTACCATGATGAAGCGCCGTGTCATATCCCTCAACAACACCCGAGCGCCTCTTCGCCTCCAAAACAGTCATTCCATCGTTCCAAATCATGGAAACGCCTTGAGTGGGAAATTAACAGAATGGCAAGAAAAAAAGCAAATTCCCGTATATACCCTGCCAAACCCCTGCGCCTGGAATGTCCTCGTACAGTGCATAATTCGCTTAACCCAAAAAAAAAATCAAAGCGGCGTGTCCGCTTAAGCACGTCCATCAGTGTTCGCCCCCTTTTCTTGTAGTTCCTGTCCGTGCTCATCGCAGCTCAGCAGAGGGAAAGTACCGTGGCCCAGCGAAGCCTCGAGTGATGACTGATTGAACATCGATGTTGCTGCCTGGGTCCTGAGACGAGCTCCACATCTTCAGAAGAATGAAGCGACCCGAGACTGGTGGATCGAACTTGATGGTGCACTTGCTCTTCTTCTTCTCAATGTAGAACCGCGCGTGAGGAGCGAGTAAACCACCGCCACCGACCGCGCGGACAGCTTCTTGGGTGGCAGTAGCATGCGCATCCAGCGCCTCAGAAAGCGAGAAGCTGGGCGCACGGTCGTGACTTCTATCCCTTTGCCTATGGATGATGTTGTGGCGACGGGTGTGATGGAGAAGATGATCGTCCGAGGTGTCCTGAGGGCTAAAGGGCATGACGATATCCTCTGCATCAGAATCTGGACTCTCAAAGGGAAGAGAGCCAATGCGATTGGGGGTGCGATGGAAGCGTGGCCCGTCAAAGCCGTCGTCATCGTCGTCTTCCTCATCGCTGCACTCTGTAGTGACGCGGAAATCGGACATCTCCCTGCTGAATTCCTCAGGCATTTCGGGTAGATGATTGTCATCGTCGTCAGGTCGATATACGTAAGAGGTCCTGGTCCTGGTACTTGTGGTGCCGTCGTCGTGGTGCTGAATAGAAATTATATGGCGAGGCTCTCGCTCCAGGACCAATGCACTGTCCCCTTCTCCAGCTCGTGACCGCTGCCTCGAAGTCGGGCCATATTGGATCTGATATTGAGCCGTGCGATTCAGCATATCGTCTTGGTTCATGGTGATGAAAATCATGCCCTCTCGAACTCTGTGGAAATCGAGTCAGCAACAATGAACTATTTAAAACCCACCAAAGGGACAGATGCCGGACAGAACGTACGGGTGGGAAAAGTTGGTGGCGCATGGAGCCTTGATGACGAGCTCTTTCAGTGTGAATACCGTCGCGCCTTGGTGCTGCAGAATAATATTGCATCTGTTCCCCTTGGTGCAGTAGACTGAATTGTCGTCCTTGAGGATGTTCTCGGCCGCGTATGACGACTGGTTGGAGAACATGCCGCCGTCGCAGCTCACAATCTCCATTCGCAAATGGCCCGGCTCTACCTGTCCGTATCTGCCATATCGGAAGGCCTTGACACCTCCGGAGCCGAGCCGGTCCGCGTCCAGCTTTCGGCGCTTGCTCCGGCGGTTGTCCTCTGGCGAATCATGCGAGCGGAGAGGCTGGGGGAGTGAAGTAAGAGAGGAATGAGTGAGGGCGGAATGGGTCAGGTCGAGCAGTGCTCTGAGATTGGAGTTTGCCTCGTCGAGGGAGCGGTCCAGCTCCTCAAAGTTGGAACTTCGGCCCTCCGTGGCATGAGCATGCGAGCGCGGGAAGCGTCGTAGCGAATAGCGCCCGCTGTACTCTGGGTGGCGCTCTCTGTCTTCGGCGCGGGATGCCAGCCGCTCGTCGAGGTTTCGAATCCGCTCGGCTCTGCGGGCGGCCGTGGGAGTCCACTGAAATCGCGGCGGCGAACGGGGAGCCGCAGCGCCATCGCGGCCTCGCGGCGAGTTGAGGGTGCGCAGAGAGGACAGCGTCGACGGCGGAGACAGCGGAGGGAAGTCTTGCAGCGAGTCTCGAGGCCGCTGGGGATTCTGTCCCGAGCCCGACCTCGACGACATGGCGGAACAGCGACTTGAGCTTACCCAGACCCTGGCGATGACGTCGCCGTAAGACAAGCTGCTGTGAGGTTGAGGTTGAGAGGGTCAGGATGGATCCGGCTCAGCGACAAGGACGGTTGAATGGTTGGGCGATTCGTGGTCGATGCGAGCTGCCGGGGTTGGTCGTTGATGCGACTATGAGGCAGAGGCGTGAGTTGGGCGGTGCTCAAGTGACCCAAACGGCTACTGATGTTGGGCAGTCGGCAAATCCCATTCAGCCACCGAGACTAGGAACGGCACCTAGCAGGGGTTTAGATGGACGAGAGGAGATGTGCTGGGAAGTGGCAAAGGATTAGGTAGGTGGATGGATGGATGGGTGCAAGGGAAATGAGGTAAAGATGGAAGAGATAGGGATGTTTTGATGCTGTAAAGAGCAGAGGCGCCACTGTGGAAGAGTCATCGGCCTGATCAGCTCATTGTCTCTTCGGGGGGATTTTTGCCTCTGCCTTATTGGCGGCCTTGGAGGGCTACGAGAGTACACGGCTAATGGCCGGCCTCAGCTCACTCACCCAATCGATGCTGAAGCTGCTGACGGACAGAGATGGATGACAAAGCATTCGAGTCAATCACGGTCTGAAGATCCGGCCGGTTGAGCGAGGCAAGACAAAGAGGACAAAGAGAATAACTGACGCCTTGAACATGTAAGATTGAAGGTCCAGGTCATCAATTCTCAAATTCTCGGCGTGCTGGGGACGGGCATGTTTGGCGAATCCAACGCGGGGTCGCTTAGTGCTAGTCCTGCCGCTACTGGCTGTACCCTCTGCGTTAGCCGCTGAGGACCAGACAAGGTTGGCCTGGAAGATGGATTGATATTGCGAGCTCGAGTCTAGCAGTGCAACATTGCAGGTCAAGATGCTATCTGGGGCCAATGATACTGGTTGATGCCGGTGATGGCGTCTTTGGACTTTCAACCAGCCCCGCTGCTGGAACCAGCACGAGGATGGTAAGATGCTGTAGTTTAGTATTCGTCGTCGTCAAGTTCTAGAGATACAGTACAAGTACTTGGACAACTTAAATCGACCCTGCATACTAACCGTTGTACTGTCCTCTTCCCCTCAGCTGGTGGAGCCATGCGGATACTTTCTCTCGTCAAGGTTCTCACGAGACACGGCATTACGTTGTATCGTAAAGATTGGAGACTTTAGCTTGACGGTTAGCTATGCATGTAGCCGAACCGACCCCATGGTCATGAGAGACGGGAGAAATGCTTAATCACAGCTCCCGGGACTTGCGGGCTGATCTGAGAATGGCCCGTCATTTTTGGTGCTAGAATAATAAACCAGTGACATCAAATCAGCTCAAATGGAAGACGATGGACAAATTCAACCTTTCAAGCATACCCAGTAGTCAATATCTACCTTAATATCTCACCGAAGAAACCCGGCTAGTGGACTCAATACCAAACATCGAATCCATACCTACTAATCTTTACAGCAACTCCCCATCGACCCACTGTTAAAACGCTACCGCAGTCCAGCAATAGAATCGCGCTGCCACCTCCGTACCTTTTTAGCACACTCTCGCCGTCCCCTAGCGCCACTCCCCCCAGCGCATCAACCGCTGCACGGCTGCACGCAAGGCTGCACGCATCTTCAACCGCCTTGATATCCAACCTGCTCTCTGCATCTGCCACCAAAGTCACTCTGCATCGCATTCGTGTGCATGTCTCTGGAGCACCGCCAGTGCCAGAGCTGACGGGGGATATTTAAACGGCCCCAAGTCCAAACTCAACTGCGTCACTCATCTTGAAAAACCGTCACTTGAGATCCCTCCAAAGCTTCGCAGCCTCGCCTCATTCCGAACCTCAAAATCTCTTGGTCAACCATTTTCCGTCTTCTCACCGCACATCTCATCATTCTCTTCACAAACCGGTGACAATGGAGCAACAGCCGAACAACGGCGTCAGTGAAGCCGGCGCAGCACCCATACTAAACACCAACGGCGGCGCTTCTGCGATGAATCCCGATGCCATGGCAGCCATGATCATGTCCACCCAAGGCTTCATACCAGACGGCTCTCTCGCCGCCACGGCCATCACAGATCCCTCAATCATGGCTCCCATCATGTTCAACAACGGGAATCCCGCTGCTGGTCTCGCTATGCCCGACAGGGCCATTACAGCAGGTAAACTCATCCCCCCTCCATGTTTCGCTGCAAGCTTCATTCATCTCACACACATCCTCTCTCTCCAGATGAAATCGCCCTCTATGATCGGCAAATCCGCCTCTGGGGCATGGCCGCCCAGGCCAAGATCCAAAACGCAAACATCCTCCTCATCACCATCAGAGCCCTCGCCAACGAGATCGCCAAGAACCTCGTCCTCGCCGGCGTCGGCTCACTCACCGTCCTCGACAACGCTGTCGTCACCGAGGCCGATCTGGGCGCGCAGTTCCTCCTCTCCGAGGTCGAGAACCCCGTTGGCCAGAACCGCGCCGAGGCCGCCAGCGCCGCGCTGCGCAAGCTGAATCCTCGTGTCCAGATCCACGTCGACGCAGAAGGGGTCAAGGCCAAAGGGCCCAGCTATTTCGCCGGCTTCGACATCGTCATCGCCACGGATCTCGATCCCGACTCATTCAATCTCATCAACACGGCCACTCGTCTCAATGGCAAGGCCTTTTACGCTGCAGGAACACACGGCATGTACGGCTTCATCTTCAGCGATCTGATAGAACACGACTACGTCATTGAGCGCGATCTTGGAAACGTCGCCACCGAGCCCAAGCAGGAGACGCGCACCAGGTCCATCGTCGACGTCAAGACCAAGAAGGAAGGCCCCAAAGTCATCGAGTCCGTCACAAAACGAGAGCTCTATTCCACCTGGTTCCTCGCCAGCGACGTCGCCAGCCTGCCTGAGGAGTACACAAAGTCCAAGCGCCGCCTAAGAAGCGTGTCCCCGACGCTCTCCTGTTTGCGCGCCCTGTGGGAGTTTATGCAGATCCAAGGTGGCCGTCTACCAGGCAACCGCGAGGACCTCAAGCTCTTCACCCAGATCGCCACGCAGAAGCACAAGGCACTAAACCTCCCCAGTGAGACGCTCAAGCCCGAGTTCCTGCGCAGCTTCCTGCAAAACCTGGGCAGCGAAATCGCTCCCGTCACGGCCATCCTCGGTGGACAACTGGCGCAAGACGTCATCAACGTGCTGGGTCAGAAGCAGCAGCCCATCCAAAACATGGTCATCTTCGACGGCACCACAATGGAGGCCCTCATGTACCCCCTGCACCCGGAGGGCATCCTCGGCGCAAATCTGCTCTCCCTTGGCGGCGCCGTCGACCCCATGGCTCCCAACGGGGGCATCATGATGCCTCCCGACATGCCCCTCGCCCTCGACGCCAGCATGGTCATGCCACCGCTGGATCCGACCGCCCTAGCCCAGTCGCACGGCATGCCCATGGGCATTCTTCCTGCTGTCACAGACGCCGATTTATCCGGGCACATTGCCATTTCTCAGCCCAATGCCGGCCAAGTACCTGTGTCAGCAGTTGGAACTGAACCCGTATCCGCACCTCCAGCTACGGAATCTCAGCCGCAAGCTACCACAAGTGCCAACGATCCGACAGGCGCACCAACTCAGGCGGCACCCTGAGATTAAGCATTCATCAGCGGAACACGGGGAGAAAAGGACATTTGGACTCCATGGTATAAATGATGACGAGATCCACGATATACAAGACGTGTTGAGGCATTAGGGAGGTTTATCAATCAGAAATAAAGAGTCGATAAATCTATACTGACGAAGGGGGGTGGACAGGATACAGAAAACAAATGGATTTGGGCATATTGTATGTTAAGAGTGTACTTTCATAGTAATCGGCACATCATCGTGCCTCAAGAGATCTTTGCAAATTTCACAGCACAAAAAAAAACTCAAGTCAAAAATAGTCATCATAGTGGAATTCTCATCATTTATTCCCTCAACTCCTATAAAAGGAAAAGAAGAAGAAACTATCATCCCATCTCTCCTACCAGAGAGTCCAGGCTACCTCTCATGCAATGCACAGGTAGAAATAAAAAACGTAGAGCAAAAAAAGGAACAATGCCAACACCTCCTCCCATCTATCACAGCCGTCGTCGTAGCATCTAATGATCAGAGTCTCCCAAAATTTTGTTGTCCCCTTCCCTTCCATATGCTACCAGCAACCAGTGTCCCAGATTTTATCCCCTCTCCCCTTCCAAAACCTTCTGCCTTCCCAAGGCACGAGTAGACCACAAACAACGGTCCTTCCAGAGGGTAGCTTCCCTATTCTTCCAGACTGACCGATGGGAAACACTATAAAAAGAGAAATGGGAAAAGGTAAGGAAGAAACTGAGATCTCATATTGGTACACCAGAAAAGCGGGAAATCGAAAAACAAAAACTTGGAAGAAATAATGTCGTTAATCTTTCCGTTACTTTCTGCCCTCATCACAGTCGAGAGCCAACGAATAAGTAGTTCACTGCTATCCGCCAAGAAGCGGTCGAAGCCGTGAGTTCAAAAGCAAAATGGGAAACGAGGAGAGGAGCCCCGAATAAACAAGAAGAATAGATTGCGAATCGAACGCAAGTCGAGGCTTGCCGAAGTATAAGCGCAAAGAATAGGAACGCAATGTTGAAAAGAAGAGCTAAGATTCAGTTCATGTCTCCTCTGAACGCCGACAAAATGCCGAATTAAGTAGCTTTTGGTATCTGGATATTTTTCGTGTCTGCCATATCTTCTTTGAACAGACGTCTTTTTTTTCCTGCATGTCCGGTTTGGTCCAATGACTGCTATGAGGAAAGGGTATAATCGTGGCGATAAATCTCGCAAGAGGGGGTAAAAGGTGGGCCAGATGTGTTCGTTTCTATATACGTCATCCGACGAAAGTGAGTGCTTTTCTTGAAAAGTCCATGGCGTGGACTATTTTCCTTTATTTGCTTACAGCCTCTGACTGAGACGTAGAGTCAAGAGCGGTGGCTGGAGTTTCGGTAATAAGTTGCTGTTCGGCTTGGGTGGTGGCCAGGGCAGTCTCCCTTCGAGCAGCCTTCTTCTTTGATGCTGCTCGGCTTGGTTTTTTAGATGTTGTGCTCTTAGCACGAGAACGACCGGGCGCACTTGATTGAGTAGAGGCGGCGACGTTGGGGGTTGCGGGTGCTTTAGCCTTTCTTGGGCGAAGACGACGTGACGAGGTCGTGTCATCCTGAGAAGCTAAGGCTTCAGTAGAGGCTGTACTTGGAGGAGGAATGGCCGGCTCGGTAGGATTGCCAGCACCTTCATCAGGCAGTGTAAAGGGCTGGTCGAGATCCATTTCAAGAGTCATTGTCCGTCGTGGAATAGGAGGGGCATTGCGTGGGAATAGAGGTGGCAGTTGAGTGATTGGCTCGGCAAATCGAACAGACCAGTTGGGGTGAGGAGCCACAGCCTCATAGTTGTTAGAATCCCCTGGAGCCACTGGTTGACCAGGTGTTTCCCGTTTCTATCTGGAATCATCCCGGTCATTTCCTGAGTCTGCTCTGTCCTGCTTATCAGCCTTGCTTCGCTTCCGAGGTTGATTGACATTCCATCCTCTGATTTGCGTTGGGCCAGAGCTCGGAAGGGCGGCCAATGAGCCCGTTTCCTTGTGGTCATAGGGAATTGTCTTCAGCTCGGGCTTGTTTGACCATGCTCGGTGAGCGGGGACTGGGGCGGGTTGTAGTTTGCGATATTTTCCAGATCCCGCATCAGAAGACCCGGAAGGTGTGGATCGATGACGATGCATCGAGCCGTGGAGCCCTTGTGGCGTCCCGGGAGGGCTCTGGGCCATAGGGCCAGACATGGGCTGCGGGTTTCCAAAAGTTGGAGACAGAATTTGAGGCGCGTAGCCAGGACCAGACGGTCCCATGTAGGATTGCTGTTGCTGAGGGTTGGGCAGGATTCTTTCCGGTCCGATCGACGGCATAGGAGCAAGGGGTTCGGCAGCAGGGTATCCATGGTGGTAGGATCGAGCCGGAGCAGGATTATAGTAGTTGTTCATGGTATGAACAGCCGGCCTCATCATAGGGTCTCGCATCATGTCATCCTGGACAGGCTGAGCCCGGCCCCGAGGAGGTCGGAGGGGCGGAAGGGGTTGAGGTGGGAGTGTTTCGGGGTTTGGGTTATGAGAGAAGGGCATCCTTGGAGGAGGAGCCTGTGAATAATGCTGCTGTTGCTGTGGCGGTAGCGGCTGTTGAGGAGGTGGTGGCGGCGGCGCCTGAGTAGCAGGCTGCTGGGACGACCAGTAAGTACGAGGGTATCCCGTGTTGGGACCCGGAGGAGGCACAGGAGCAGCTTGTGCAGGAGCCGGCGCCGGACCGGGGCCTTCGGGGCCATAGTTTGCCATACGGCTACTTGCGTAGACTGGCTCGATCGGCCGTCCAGAGCCCATGTGCATGTCCCGAGGTTCCGGCACGTTATACCCATAGGAAGTGTAGTAGGGTTGGTGCTGTTCCTGGACAGGAGGAGCCTGTGGAGGAAGGGGAGGCGCAGGATGCTGCTGATACTCCATAGCCCTTGGCGGCGGTGCATGAACCATGGACTGCTCGGGCGGAGGTTGCTGGTAGGCAATGGGCTCTGGTATAGCATGGTGAGGAGGGTGAGAGACGGCGACATGACCGGGGCCGACTGGCTGCACCGGCGGGAGCTCTCGTTGCGGCTGAGGATTTCGGATGTATCCTCCAACAGGCTCAATAGGGGCATGCTGGCCGCTCATGGGAGCATGGCTCAAAGGAGCAACGGGTGGCAAATCTTCGCGTTGGGTTCTCATATCGGATTCCAGCTCGGGCATGGGCATGGGCATGGGCATGAGAGGAGTCGGGGCCTTGATGGTGTGGCCCTCGGGTTCCTGCAGACGAGTTTCGACGTTGCACAGCTCAGCAAGGAAATTGAGGTTGAGGTTGTTGTTCGTCTCAACAGCAGGCGCCCCAGCAGGTTTGGAATCCGTGAAGACATCTCTAATGGCATCATATCTTGCAGGCTTTGGTGCAGGCACCACAACTCGCGTGTTCTCTTCCGCCTCAACAAATGCAGTCGCGTAGGTAAGAACGGACATGGCAGCAAGGCCACCCTGAGACGACTCGGCAGATTCCTCCTCGGTAACGACCTGCTCATCAGTCTCAGGCGAAGTCTCCACGACCTCGGGCTTGGACTCGAGCTCCAAGGCTGCCGTGCCTAGAGATCGGCCGCGAAGTTCTTCATCGGTGTACACGTACTCTGTGACGGCAATATCTTCCAAGGGAATGTCGCCCATCTTGCAGAAGCGCCGCATAGCTGCATTCATCTTGACTCTTACAGGCTCATCAACCACACGACGATAGTTAATCGTCCTCTGGAATGAACGTGAAGCGTGAGAGATGCGACCAGAAGGTTCGGCGATATACACCACGGGCTTTCCGGGCATGACAAACGGCATGGTAGGCTCCGGCTCGTTTGTGCTGTTGGGCAAGAAGATGCCATATTTGGGGTGGAGGCCATGCTTCTTGACGAGCTCCTGGTCGAAATCAGATGGACGCGTGTTGGAGTAGTCATAGCCGTTGCACCAGTAGTCAAAGTGCATGCCATTGCTGTTGGGAGTGTCGAGGTATTTACCTCGCTTGGCGCGAGTGTGGCCCTTGGAAGAGTCGTTGGAGCTGTCGCGGAAGCCAATATCATGGTCATCAAACCAGAAGAGCCGCGGAGCGAGAAGGCGGCTGTTAATGCCCTTCTCTTTCATGGACGGTCTCTGATTGTACATGCGGCAGCCGTACTCGTCAGGCTCCGAGATGTTCTTGGGCAGGGGTGGGCTCTTTTCGCGAGCTGACTGCTTGCCGTTGGACTTGACGACAGCAGAAGTGGTGGCACCGTTGGGAATGACGACGGGTTCGGGAGAGGCAGGAGCGGAGTCCTCTTCCGCTGGAGCGCCTTCGATGTGAGCTTCAATTTCAGTTGCCAGGAGGCCCTTGGCGGGAGCAATTGGGGCGGCAGGCAGAAGCTGGCTATCAAAGTTGCTGCGAGTCGTTTTCTTGGGTGTGGGCTGGCCATCCGGCTGGTCTTGAGCACGGCGCTTGTTGCTGCCTCGGCCTCGGCCACCTCTTCCTCCTCGAGTGGTAGAAGAGGTTGTGGTGGTAGGCACGGCAGCGGCGGCAGCCTCAGCATCGCGCACTTTGTGCCACATCTCGGTGCCCTCGACGCGAGAGGGATAAGGCACCAAGTGGCCATCCTTGTAGCATTCATAGATGCCAAAGTCATTGTCGAGCTGATGATCAGTAATTACTTTGTACTCATACTGGTCATCGCTGATCTGTGGTGGTATCGCGTCAGTAAAAGGCGCCTGGATGAAGCTGCACTCATGACCCTCGGGCGGAGGCTAAAAGAGGCTAGAAGGGTGGAAGGGGGGACGGTGTGCCGATCAGGGCATCTCATGACTAATAGAACAGCAGAATACTTACATCGACAGGGAGATCTCTTGATTCCAACGCAGAAAGAATGCGGAGACGGTTGCCTTGACCGTCGTAAAACTGTTCTAGAATGTCCTCAAGACCATTCTGCGAGACGGAGAGCTGTCAGCTAGAGTACTACCACGGAAAGAATGGATGAAAAAAAAAAGGCAAAGCCGAAGGGGGAAAACCCCGGCGTAGTTAGGGATGAAAGGAAAATAGACGTACCTTGAATTCCTGTTCGAGGACATACTGCTCGGCATCGTAAGTGCCTTCAGCGAGCTGAAGATTGGCTTCCAGCTGGCGGTCAAAGAGTCGGAGCTTCTCTTCGAGGCGTTCCTGAAGCTCTTGCAAGACGGGCAGGTGTTCGCTGGTGAATCGATGTGAGTCCGACCTTTGCAGGATCTCCTCGATGGTGCGGTCGCAAAGCTCCTGCAGGGCGGGCTTGAGAGCATGCGCCACGGCCTGATAGGTAGCCTTGAGATCTCTCTGGCGCTCGTAGGCGGCCTGGACGCGGGAATCTGCGAAGCTCTTGGCTCGACCTCTCCGCGTGCCACCGCGGCCAGTCTTGGTATATGTTGATTTGGTTACGCCCGCATTCGTCGTGGAAGCGCCTCTACCGCCGCCTCGACCTCGGCCAGCACGGCCACCGCGCCCACCTCGGCCGCGGCCACGGGTGGCAGGCTCCCGTGTGAGCGACTCGTTCTCAGCAGCCATGGTGAGAGACGAGCCCGACCATGTATGAGGCGAAGGAGTGTGGCGTTGCGGATGAGACTTGGAGATGACGGGAGATGGTGAAAATAGTGAAGATGGGAGGCGAGGGGGATATTTAGATGGGCAGCTGAGTGTGTGAAGATGGGGAGAGAGGCGTAGAAAAGGCCTGGTGTCTGGGAAGAGAAGAGAACAAAACGCAGCTTGTGAGTTGTAAAGCCGGGGTCAGGCCAGCCAACCAAGTGTGTCAAGTAAGCCGAAAGAGCACGCGCGCCGCGGTGCCAGAGGAGAAGCTTGACAAGGAAAAGAAGAGAGATGCAGACCCAAGTGCAGCAATGGGGTGCAAGGATAGAGGCAAGACGAGATGGATGAAGAAGAGGCAGAATCCGAGTTCCGACGATGTTGTGTTGATGGTTTGCGTTTGAAAAAGAAAAAGGCCCGGCGGCTGGTGAAGTGCATGTAGGCACGAGGTACGTACCGCAGTGGCGCTTTATGGGGGGGTGGGTGAAAGTGAAGAGAAGCTGACTTTGTACTAGCAGAGAGGCGTTCTAGTGTACTGCAATAGGCCGGACGAGAGAAAAAGGCTGGGCAGAGGCAGAGCACCAGCTTTTTCGTCTGACTGAGAGGCGGCTCACCGCGCAGCACAGACAATAGGCAGGGCGCGGGAGGGGCAGCTATTGTACTGGGCAGCGAGGGCAAGATGAATAGGATTCGCACGCAGCGGCTGCTGAAGTGAAACGGAATGTGCAGGCGAGGTGCCGTGAGGATTTTTGACGGTGAAAGCGTGCAAGAAAACGCGGCAGCGCTGTCGAGGCGGAAAAGGTGCACGGCGGCCAATCCCTTTTCCCTGATTAGCCCCGGTACAACCGCCAGGCGTGTACTCGTAGCGTCTGGTACCTTAGCTGGGGTCACTCCGTGGTACCGGGAACCTCAGCGGCGCCCACTGGACGCAGTCGGACGCAGCGCCTTGCTCGCCAGCGCCGCCCCCGTGATGGCCGGGCTAGGCCGGTTTTATGCCAAATGGCCTTATTCCCACGCCTCTCATTGGCGCGGACCAGGTGAATCTCCGGCTGCCGCGCTCGAGTGGACTTGCTGGGGAAGGGGACTTTGAGTACCGGTGACTTGCAGGGGACAGGCGAGAACTGCTCTTCACCGCACAGTGGAGAAGCGCGGCTGCGAGAACTTCAACATGCGCTCACTTTTGAGTAACGCCAGAAGAGCAGCTTTGGCAGCGTTGCTACGAGAGAACAAGGACAGCATTTGATGCTTTATCTACACTGCAGCTTGCATTATTGACATGACGGCGAACATTGTGATGATGGACGTGTTCACAGGTATAAGCCATGGTCCATCTTTTCCACAAGTGCCGCGACAACGAACAACGCCGTGGCTACGTGGATAGTTTAGTACATGTGGTTAGATGCCGCCATCGCATGAGAACACGCCATAGCGCAGCTGCAGAATGCAAACCAATGCACATGTCGGGACACCAGATTCTGGCGCTGTCCGCGTCTCCCGCATCGTGCTCGCGGGCCTGCTGTGCGTGCGTTGGGCACGATATGCAAGGCAGAGCCTGATTTCACTTTCATGTCACTAAGTGGCCCATTGAGTTTCTTTGGGGGGGGCCGGATCGCTGGCATCCGTGAAGCCCCGAGAAAAGAAGAGGCTAAAAGCTACATTGCGTAACAAGGTGCCTGGCGAAAATCACTTTGAGCTCACTTTCTGCTGCGTCTCGTACGGTGCCCCAACAAGGCTTCAAAGTTCCTCAAGCGAGCCCGCAACTCCCAGACAGGATCCAAGACAATAGGATCGAGTCGCAGAGCACGCACAGATTCTCTCTCTCTCTCTCTCTCTCTCTCTCTGCGAGTACAAAGACGCCGATTTCCTTTTACGACACGATGCCCCCCCTTTGTTTGAGATGGCTGCTCCCCCTCTGTCTCATTGACGTTGTTTGGCAGTGATTCTTGTGGCCACGAGTACATAACAGGTTCCGTCCTGTCCCACACCCCGCAATTAATGGATGCAATGCCTCACAATACCTCTCGACGGATCTTTAACATTTTGCTTTTTTCCACTTTTAAAGCCAATTACTACTAATAATACCTAGGTAATCAGCAGTAATCGCCGGATGATGGAAAGACTGCCTACTGTCCAAACAGATTGGATTTGCGTTTACGGCACTTGATTGAACGCAGATGGGACAATTAGAGGCAACGGAATTAGGCTTTTCATTCCTGAAGAAAAACTAAAAGCACTCACAAACCACATTGAAGACACGATCGTTGCCAGCAAATTATGCTGCATTCTCCTTGCCATTACCATTTCCAGTGCCACTGCCATTGTAGTTGTACCTAGGTAAAAGTGCATTTTCGAACTCGTGGGTTACGACAAACTTTCGCAATGTGATCCATCTTGAAACAATTGAAGCACTTCTTTCCCTTGTATGGGTTCTCCACGATGGCAAGGCCTTCCATTTGCTCCGTGGTCGCCTGTGTTTGTTCTTCGGTAGCTGTGTTCCAGAGCGTTAGTGCGCTGCAGCAAATGGAAAACAACCTAGGCTGAACATGATCAATATTATTCTTACCCAGTATGACGCCCTCAGAGCTTCTGCCATTAACCCACATATTAAATAATACGCCTCTTCTTTTAGTAACTAAGGTACTACTATATCTATAATTCTCTAGTATATTTATATTTCTCTGCTAATTACCTAGGTACTACACCCTACAAACATCTACTTTGTTCACTTGGTACTTTTCTTAATGCCATTGGCAAGTTGATGACGATCAGTACCAAGCTAATAAAATAGATTCTTGCGCGGTGTACGATATTTATAAATCTCTACTAATTACTACTATATTTATATTTTTATAGTACCTAATTACTACTATAGTTGTGTAGAGTGGTTAAACTCGGGTGCTGGTTGAGTAGGCGTTCCCTTATAAAAGCACTACTTGATGAGCTAATTGAGTGCTTATATTGCTGAATGTATGCACTTATTTTGGGTGCCATCCACAGTGGTGTTAGTACAAACAGCTGCCCGCAATTAATGGATGCAATCCATGCCTCAACAGGTACCTCTCGACGTATCTTCAACATTTTGCTTTTTTCCACATTCAAGGCCAACCACTATAATCATCAGCAGTAATCGACGGGTATTCTCTTTCTTTTACTACAAATTAATTTCTTCCTCAATCTTCTTCGCTCTTTTTCCCACGTCCTTTTGCATCCGCATCCACCCGCCTCACAACTCAGATGTCAAAAAAAAAAAAAAAAACCGCTGCACACGATCTACCGTCATCTGCAGAAGCGCTGTAGCGCAGTGCTCCGCAAATCGTCTTAAACAGCGGTCCAGAATCCGCGCTAAAATCTGTAAAGCCCGGCACCTAATTTGGGCGTCAACCGCTGAAGCCCTGACATTTGATTGGACCAATCTGATAATCCGCTGCCGCCATCCCGCCCGTAGTTGCACGTGAGATCTTCCCCTTGTGCTTTGTACCTACCTAAGAGTTAACTGGTCCAGGTCCCTTTTTTTTTTTTCCTTTTGGCCTGTTTGGAACACATGCCCTAAAAGTGGTTCCACCTCAGCTACCTCAGCTTCCTTTTTTTTTTTCCATGCCGCTTCTTTGCATCATTCGACATTGTCATTGTCCCCACGAATCACCACCACTTGGAGCTGCGCTGCTTCCAGTAGCCGTCCAATGGCAAAAAGACGGAAGCTGGCGCGCCAACAGGCACCACAGCGACCTTCCGGGCGTCCACAGCAGAAGGAAAAGAGCCAATCGAAGAAGCCCCTCCAGCCCAAGCCGGCCAAGAAGCACCGCCAGCAGCAGCACGACGAGCCGGTGATCCCCTTCAGCCCCGGCGACCGCATCCTGCTGGTGGGAGAGGGCGACCTGAGCTTTGCCGCGTCCATCATCGAGCACCACGGCTGCACAAACGTCACGGCCACGGTCCTGGAAAAGGACCATGCCGAGCTGCTAGCAAAGTACCCCGCCGTGGATACCAACATTGCCGTCGTCAACCGCCGCCCGGATCCCAGTCACGGCGCCGGGGCCGATGCCGATGTTGAACCAGACGGTCAATCAGACGGCGATGAAGACGAACACGATGAAGACGACGATGAAGACGAAGACGACAATTCCGATGCCTCTACCAATTCCAAGAAGCATAAGACCGCCGCCGTCGTCAACAACAAGCTGGTCTACAACGTCGACGCCACCAAGCTCCCTCCCTCCGTCGCCCGCGTCCCCCACGACCGAATCATCTTCAACTTCCCCCATGTCGGCGGCAAGTCCACAGACGTCAACCGCCAGGTCCGCTACAATCAGGAGCTGCTCGTCTCCTTCTTCCAGCGCGCCCTCGCCTCGACCACCGCCCCCCTCGCCCGCGGCGGCTCCATCGTCGTCACCCTCTTCGAGAGCGAGCCCTACACCCTCTGGAACATCCGCGACCTCGGCCGCCACGCCGGCCTCCAGCTCGAGCGCAGCTTCCGCTTCCAGGCCGACTCCTACCCGGGCTATCACCACGCTCGCACTTTCGGCGTCGTGAGGAACAAGAAGGGAGAGGAGAGCTCTGGCTGGAAGGGCGAGGACAGGCCCGCGAGGAGCTACGTCTTTATGAGGAAGGACGAGATACAGAGCCAAGTGGGCAAGAAGCGGAAGCGATCTGGCGACGACTCTTCGAGCGACGAAGACGACGAGTAATCTAATCATGCGATTCATCTACCACGAAACTTCATCTCGGCATATAAGCACTTTACCTTGGGCATATAATGGGCTATGCAATGGGACAAGCACCAGCAACACACGTGTACATATAATTGACAACCCCAAGGTCAGCGTTTTATAAGGATCTTCACGGCATCTTCATTTGGACAAGGGCGGCATAGTGGCGTTTTGTTTTGGGACACGGTTTCTACTTTTATTTGTATCCTCTAAAGTTAAAGTTCATCCAGGATTACGTTATCCTGGCGCAGACCTAAGAAATCTTTCCGCGTCATCTTATTCCGACGCCAAATATAATGAAATAAAAGCAATATCCAAGACTCCATGTCCCCGTTGACCGTGGCAAATCAACCTTGGGATGCAAAAAGAAAAAAGAAAAACAACCAAAATCCCGAAAAGTGAGCCCGTTAGCAGCAGCATCATTTTTCCCCCTGTAAAAAGAACCCCCTTCCCGTCCCATTTCCCGCGCCAAGGCACGCCATATGCACAACACATTTTGAACCCACCAACCATTCGAAAACATCCCCTATACCCTGCCGCAAATCACAAGCCCAAACGCCACAAAGCACAGATATATCATCTCGAGGAGACAGAGATAGGTAGAACGAGGTATATCAAATATAGCGAGTCGCTCCCAAGCCTCCAAAAAAAAAGACGCCCCTTTTTTCAAAACGACGTAATTTCGTCCTTGCCCCTGTCCTTTCCCATCGTCTCCTCCCTTCTCCATCCCCCCTCTCATATTACGCAGACACCGTAGTGAACTTCGTTGGCGACGACGCCTCATTGTCTGTAAAAACATCCATTCCATTTCGTAGTAAAATCCCCCTCCCCTGAGCCTCCACCACCTCGAATTTCCCGGTATGCCAACCCAAACCCAAATTACATGGTCCCGAAAAGAGAAAACGTGGGACCAAAAAGATATTCCTTTTTTTGCTGCTTCCTAAAGTCATAAAACAGTAGATATAAAGAGTAAAGAAAGCCAAATAAAAGAGGGAGAAGAGAGAAGAAATGAAGCACATTCCATCTTCTCCACTCCCAGTATAGGTGAAAATAAAACTCGAGGGGTAATGATATACAATAACCCCACGTTTTGAAAAAAGAAGGGGTAAAAGAAGAAGAAAAGTAACCGTATGGTACAATGCAGATTCTATCGTGACCCTTTAAACTCCCAATGCAATCAGATGTTTGTGCATTAACTGTAATATGTGCAATCCAGGACAACCTGATTATGATGATAGTCATCTTAGCCTGGTAACTTTTAATGGCCCAGCAGCTCCTGTTGTCGGGCATTACCATGTTCGTCCATGGACGTTTGCTGTCCGGCCGGACCATCTGTGTTCGACCGCGAGGCGGCCTCTTTCTTCCTTGCCTGCTCTTCATCGTCGAGCCTCTGCGCCTCCTCGTTCTCTCGCATCAGCTCCTCTTCTTGCCTAAGCAAAGCCAGTTCCGCCTCCGTGCGATTTGCACCAGGGTTCTCTGGAGGAGGCGGAGGCGGGGGTGGAGGAGTGGCACCGTCTGCACCATCCTCCTTTAGCCTCTTCACGTCAGGGCCATCAAGGGGCGATCCTGCAGAAGCTTCCACAACGTCGATGTCACGCTTTCGTTTACGATCAGGGGCATCGGGCGAGTCATCTTCCACGTCACTAAGAACAATGTCATCGGCGGCAGCTTCTGGCTCTTGGGGGGAGTCGATCGGGCTATCGCCAGCCTTGTCCGCGTTGGTTGGCTTCCCGTTAGTACCCTGCTCCCCGTCCGCGCCCTTCTTCAGAGTCTCGGATGCCTTCCTTTTGTTATGCGCCTCAAACTTGGCAACTGCACGGTCCAAAAAGTCTTTCACGTATTTCTTGATGTTGCGCTCTTGCTTTTCGGTAAGCGGCGCGGCAGGGTCGCTGACGCGATTGTTCTTGTAATCAGATGCCACAAGCTTCTTCGCGACGTCTTTTCCAAGCCTCTTTAGCTCTTCCTTGGGAAGCTTGTGTCGAAATTTATCGAGTACGTGCTTCACGGGGGGGTAAACCTACGCAGTTGCCATGTCAGTTTCAGCCTATTAGGTCCAAGGGGGAATGCCAAGAAATGGTGCGTGCTGGGCTCGGGTTTGGATTTTGCAACATACCGTGTGTTCGTAGACTTTCATCTGCTTCTCCACTGGTAGAGAACGCCATTTGTCCTTCTTAGGCTCCTTTGGAGACGCTTCAGCAGGCGCCGGAGTCTGCGAAGCTGGCTGTTTAGGTGTGCCCTCTTTTGTCACCTTGTCAATGATGCTTTGAATGAGCAGTTGTTCTTGTATAGCCTTGGACGGAGCCTTGGGTGCCTGCTCCGCGGCTGGCTGCGTGGGCCGCTCCCAAGTTGATTTGCCCTGCTTGTTGTAAAAATATGTGTTACCGCCCGCATCCTTGGCGGTAAACCATCCTGCAGGCAGGGAGCTGTGGAACGGTCTGCGCTGACGATGGCCATTGTTGTTGTAGTATGAGTTGTTCCTTTGTGGCACATTGCTCCGCGGTCCCTTGGGGGCATCGATGGGGCGTGGAGACGCAGTCTTGGGAGTTGGCTGGGACGCTGCCGCTGCTGCCTCCTCTTCACGGGCTTGCCCCCTTCGTTCATCAATGATATTCTGGGTCGGCGCGCTGGAGTCGACTTTTCGCCTTCGTATCCGGTAGGCGACTTCGAGCTTACTCCACTCATCGAGGAGCTTCTTGGACTGGGAGGCCACATCTTCATGTTCGGATTCGGCCAGATTCTGGATGGTCGCCTCGATTTTGGAGTCTTGGATCTTGTTTCTCGTCAATCGGGGAAACTTGTCCAAGATGGACAAAACTTGCAAGACCACGTTGCGATCTTCGATGAATGTGTTGAGAGTTGTTTTCAGGATTTGGTATGCGTGCATGCGCATCACACAGTGAACGACGCGTTCCTCGTCGCAGCGTTGGATTCGCTCAAGCAGCTTGACTGCAATCCACTTCTCCTTGCATTGCATCAACGTGGCCATAACCTTGCGAGCATCGTCCTCATCCAAGCTTCTAGGCTGTATGCTATTGACATACTCCTCATCATCTTCGTCAGGACGCTTCTTGCGGGGCTTCTTGGGGACATGGGTATCCCAATTGTCAGCGCCATCGATACCCAGCGCCTCGACAGTAGCCGTGGGCAGCTTGGTGGCGCGCTCCGTCTGTGTCTTTCCTCCAATGAAGCCGACGCAGTTCGCTTCTCCGCAGTAGCATGGCTGGGGTTCTGCGCCGTAGCGGTCAACATTGTAGTTGAAGACGAGCTCCTCGCCTGCTCGAATCTTGCGCAGAGCAAAAATGCCCATGCGAAGCTTATCGCCAACCACCCACTTGTCCACAAAACAATTGGGGCTGCATGAATGGTTGCAGAACCGACCCAGGTTTCCCTTCTTGGTCGCGTCCACAAACTCGTTCTTGTTAAGCGACATGAAATAGAAGTGCTTGATGCCCTCTTGGTCATACTGGAGCATCCGTCGCCGGAAAGTCGGCTCATTAATGACCTCTCCGATGTACTCATAGATGAAATCGTTGGGCTCAAGGGCCGAATTGGAGCGAAGGCCGAAGCCCTTCTTTTCAGTCTTGATGACTGTCACGTCGGCGTACTGTTTACGTTGAAACCGCCGGTTTTGACAACCGCCACCACAGTTTCCCGCATTAGCGCTACATTCCATCTTGGTCGCGCGATTGATGCAGTCTGAATCTTCGCCACAAGCAAAATTCTCGCCCTCTCCTGCTTGCTGTCAGTAAAAATAGCCAAAGCCAAAGGGGAAGAACGAATGCTGGCTGCAATCAAAAAAAATCCAAGGGTGATATGGGTAAGAAAGGGGGCAGACAAGTCTCAACGTACGCCATTCTTCTCTGCAGTCACAGTCGAGGGCGTCATTGTCGGTCGAGCCCAGGTGCTTGGATCCATAGAGACAGTCGGGGATGACCTGAAAGGTCTGGCAAGACTCGTCGGTAACGTCTGGGAGGTGGGTATACAAGGGGACTTCGCGAGCGGTGGGCTTCTGTGACGACTTGCGCGACGACCGCGCGGGCTTGGCCGTCGAGTTGGGAGTTCCGACGCTATCGCTCTGCGACTTTGTGCCATCCAGCGAGGCAGGGGACGGGGCTTCGCTGCTCCGCGGCTTCGGGGTTGAGGTAGAGGCTCTCGCTGCGCCTTCCAAGTGCGCGCCGCTGTCGGCGGCATCCTCGAGCTTCACTTTCTCCATTCTGGTCGTCGTGTTCTCATCATCCTCCATTTGACGTCCTGGTCCAAGGCGCGGGTGCGGAGAGGCAAGGCAGGCGACGTTGCTCTCTGGACAGTACAGGCAAAAGAGCTCAGTTCAAGGGCGGGAGGCTGAAGAGAAGGGCGTCGCGGTGGCAGCCTTTTTTTTTTCCTCGGTCCCCTTGGGTACGCGCAGGGCAGGGAACCACGTGTAGAAAGCGAAGTGGGCGGGATTGGGTAGAAACGCGAGGACGGCGGGCAAGCGAATGCATCAAGGGACGGGCTGCTTCGGGATTCGCATCAGAGGTCGAGGGCTGAGGGAGTTGGAATGAAGACACAAAAGAAGCTTTTCGACGTCGGGTTTGGACCTGGACGCCGTTCTCCCCAGTCGCTGGCAGGGACCAAGGCCAGGAAGGCGCTCCAGCACTAACGCTTTTTAATTGGGGACGCATCTACCTACCCTGGAGCGGGTTGATGCTATGTAATTTGGATTTTTTTTTAATAATATTGAAACTGAATAAAATGTTGTATCCTATACTTTATGTCATATGAAAAGAGAAATATCATTTATTAATAATTTTTTTCTCCTCAACTTTCTACTGAATCCGGTTGTTAGTAATTGTTGAATAAATGGAAAGAGAAATGCCCTTGGTATTCATGGACTGAGGCAGTCACCGCGAAAAATCGCAACATTTCCAATATACATATCGAATTGCTCAAACAATATAACGATACTCACCATTCTGAAATGATGGGACGATCCAAGTAATCTACTTTGCACAGTCAAGGGCATGGAGTAAAGAACCGGATATAATGGTGTTCTCAAATATCTCCGAGAATCACATTCGCGAAACAAGCCACTTCCTAAACATGTAGTGCGTTCACTTGGGCTGGTGATCAAATAGCGAATCTTTCCTATAATTGGCTGTCCGGTCCGTTGGTTAATCCGCAGACACGTCCAAAGACGTCGATCAGGACATTTTTGAGAAGATCTGATAATCGCTTCACCTTGATATACATATATCGCACTCTTGACTGATGGGCGGAGATAAGAGGGTCCTTCTTGTTCCATTGCTATCGCTTTCAATTAGATGGTGTACAAATGTCCATACGGGGTCATACACCAGCCATCAAGGCTAGAGACCGAAAGTAGTACCAGCCTCTATTATACATGGGCTTTGCGATCGGCTACCAATTGTGGATTCAATTCATTAACCTGCTTTGGATGATCGTGGAAAGTATTCCTTGACTTTGACGTGTACAGCATCATGAATTGTCTTATCAAGCTGGTTCAGTCATCACTGGATGTGTCGAATAGTACGTGCATTGAAATGGAAATTGGTCAAAGCACCTTCAGAGATGACTGAATAAAGTCCTACTCGAATATTCATGACACTGATGTTGACCATGAGCAACTATTCATTGAGGGAGAATAAAAAGCCCGAAAGCTTTTGCATTGGTCAACTTTGGTAGCCTGTTTGCCAGTCGATCAAACTGTAAGAGGGTGGGACCCGGCCACTTGCACAAGACCAAGTATTTAAGAGACTAAAAAAAGCCATGTTCTTCCCAAAAGATCTTATAGTAAAGGCTTAAACCTTCTTCTGCCTTAATGATAGCCAAATTGTCATCTGGTAATGAGAGGCCGTACCAGAGTGATGTGCGAAGAGTGCCTCGTCATGCACTACCTACCTTATATGACCGGAACGACTTCCAAGTTGTTGGTTAGGTACCTTGAAATGAGTTGAGATACATAGTACATGTACTCACCATCATTTGTAGCCACCTTAGGTAGATCGACTAATAGGATGGATGACCTGCCCATCTTTATACATCATCTTGGTATATCTCCATCATCTTTACTCAGATCGTAGGGTAGTGTCCCTCACCGTCGCCTGATAATATTTCTAGGCGATCCTCCTTTCGTCAAACTGACTCTGCTAAGCACTATGGTGAAGCGTCATGGCTATAACTCAATTCTGTAGAGACAATGTCCGTCGCACAACTCCCAGAATACACTTGCAGCTCAGCTTATATCCTCCATGTATACTAAGACGCAGTCAACTGTTTCATTCGAACGTTCAGAAACGTGCAGATTTGGTGTACAATTGAAGTTTTTATATTTTGTTAGAGATGTAGATATCGAAGTACTTCATTTTGAGTAGCTTGAGTGTCAGTTGTAGTGGCACAATGGCCGATATCCCGAGTTACTTCTGCGTCTCTGTACCTGTACACATTTTCTCGGGAGCAGTCGTGTTCCGGAGTCTCGATGCTTTTCTCTACAATTGAGCAGTATTTCCGGATAAAGTTTGCTAAATACGAAAATGTCAATCACATGTAAACCGCAGAGGGAGAAATGATGGAGTGAACGGAAAGGGATGAGCACGGCTGATGTTGGGTGTGAGAGCTGGTACTACCTAGTAGCTCAATGGGCGGCTGTCAATTAGCATATTTTTTTTTTTTAAAAAAAAAACACAAGCAAATAGCATCAATCATCTACCAATAGATGATATTGATCTGTGGTCCAAGTGTCGATATTTACTGCAGGTATACCCGTTTATCTAGAAGATCTACCTACTATATGCTGTAGATCCATCTGCATCTAGGTACTAAGTTGATCCATCTCCAGGCACAAGATCCGCCTATATTTAGTAAAGTATATCTCCTATATGTGCTAAGGTAGGTATCTATATACATCTAGGCATATGTTCATGCCAAATATCTTTATGTACTATCTGCAAAGCACTTTATTTGCTATGCGCCACTTACTCAATCCAGTTCTGCAACTTGCATTGTTTTAAGACCCTCGTGTTAATTCGGGATGTTTACAGACGAGAGGTACCTGCATGAACTCATCACGTGATCGACAATACCTGGCCGATGACGTCTTGAACTTCAATTGATGCGACTTTAGAACTGCGTATAGGTAGATTATGATTCATCTGGTATTTCTCGAATGAAGAGATTAAATTAATTGTGGTATTAATGCATTCACTGAATAGACTCAACACGCGACCAAGAGTCCCGTTACAAACTGCAATTGAATTGAAAACGAGAAAGATGATTGGAAGGATGAGAGAGTTGCATTGCTGGGGGCTGGTGATGGCAGCCACTTAATTTCACGGATATTACACGGAGTGTATATGCAACACATCGTTGGTTGATCGAGAGACGCAGATGCCCATTCAACTGCACTCCGTATAGGCTCTTTTTGGCGAATTGAGCAGGGCTGCAGGGGAAGTTCTAGAAAGGGTTGCTCAGCTGCAAAATGTGCGAGCCACGCTGTGACAGACAGTGCATGGGCCAATGATAGCATCTCAGGCTCAGACATTTGGCGCCAAACATGGAAGCTGTTTAGCGCCTTCGCAAGGGGGTGTCGGGATGAGTTGGCAAGGTTGGATGTCGTCAGAAGCACTGGTTCCCAAGCGATGCGTGCGGCGGCATTGGTTGATTGGATTGGCCGTAGCCTCAGCCTTGCGTCCAACTATCAAGAGTCTCTCAGGGCATCAATTGGAATTGATTTGGTTCACTTACATTAGGCCCTGTTGGCCTTGCAGCTAAAAGACATGCTTTCCCAACTTTGGGAATTTTTGTACCGGCTGGGCGGGAAACAATGACAGGTCGTGCGTCAAGGCTAAAGAAACCGTCGGCCACGTATGGAGAACAACCACAGAATCCCATCTTGACCGCCATTTGAACACTGCTTACTCCAGAGCTGGGAAACATTCGGGATGGCCGACTTCTAGAACGAAAGGGTTAGAAACATGCGGAAAGTCATGGTCGGCGTGCACGCAAGGGAGAAGGGGCCAGAGTTGCCAGATAGACAAAGATTGTTTGCGTTGGGCAGGGTAGTTTGTAAACCGGCGAATTGCATGGAGACTGTCAACCCCAGATTTAACCACGCAGGCGTTTGATGCCGCAGCCACGTGGCGACGTAACAGAAAGACAGGCATTGCAAAGTGGTATGACCATGTTGAATTCGAAAATGCGATTGGAAGGCGGACATGATATACTATCAGTCCAGGGGAGCCCGAGCCGGGAAATAGAAGCAGTCATCGAAGGCCAGCATCATGTTCGGCCTCTGCGCAGAGAATTTTTTATGATGTGTTGTACATGAGTGGGTCTGGTGGGTGCCAACTCATTATGCATGAGGTATTGGCCTCCAAAAAGAACCGGTTCGTCTTGCAAATAGCGAGCCTATATAAGAGAGGCGGACACCGATAGTTGGGCCCTGGCAAGTCCCGTTGTCGTCGAGCGTCCGGCAGAAAAAAAAAATGAAGCAATCGCCGAGTTGTGGTCGCGATGCTCTCGCCCGCCTGGATCGCGCGGCTAACGGGACGGGCCCGCCACCGTCCAAGCATGACCTTCTGTGCAGCCATGCGTTGAGTCTCGCCAGTGACTGGTGACGAACTTGTGGATTGCGCTGCGGCAGAGACATCTGACAAGAGCGCAGAGCGCGGCGTGATTGGTGCGCTGCCATCCAGTGGTCTTGTGGCCATCCAATGTGCTCTGGCTCTGGGACGGGACGCAGCCAGCATTCGCGGCCAATGGGCGAATTGCAGTCAGCTCGACGCCATGCCGCATCACGCGGGCAATCAAACGACATGTTATTATCAAATTTCTTTCCTGGAGCCTTACTTTGCATCATGTACTATGGTGCAAGCACAGGATTGTCGCCCGCCGCGACGGAGCGAATGGCCACCGTGATGCATATCTGGTGCGATGCGGCCACCTGAGAGGCCACCCCCACCTTTGATCAGGATCAGTCAGGTTGGGTCAGACAGACAGACAGACAGACAGACGGGCAAGCAAGAGATGAGAGCCGCCGCCAGTAGCAGCAGCAGCAGCAGCAGCAGCAGCAGCAGCAGCAGCAGCAACAGCAGCAGCCACCCGGGGCAGGGAACCAGGACGAAGGACACGAGAGCCAAGACGCAACAATGGAGAGAGACAGAGACAGCAAGACGAAAAAGCAGGCTTGCCGCTTTTGGTGCTGAGGGACGGGAAGCAAAGCAAGACAGTCAGGCGGCCGATGGCTGGCGTGGGATTGGCCGATTCAGCGCAACAAGGTCCGCCACGATGCAGCTGCACGTCAGGTATGGGCACACCCATTCGACAAAGGTGCTTGACGGCGTCTGGAGCGTCGGCTGTGTGTCGCATCGCCTAGGCGTGGTAGCGCGCAGCAAATCGGATGGCGCCGTGGCCATGCCCAGCACCCGGGGCCTTGCTAGGATCCATCGACAGCAAGACTCAAGGGCCTCTTCGGTAGTTGGCGGTACTGACCAAGGTGGTTCGCGCGCAGCTTAGATTAATTCTTTGGGGGATCTGAGGGCTGCGCCGACTGACTAGAGGAGGAGAGAGGAGGGATGAGAACAAGCAACACCAGGGAGGGAGGAGTTGGAGGGGGGGGATCGATGGATGAGGGTGGTCTAGGAGCGACAGTCGACAGTCCATGGGCCCTCAGACTGCAGAGGATGGAGCAGGGACAGATCCAAAGCCACGACATTCACCGAATTCGCCATGCCCTGGTATGACGGGCCAAACATAGGCGGCCGTGGACGACTGCGTATGTGCGAGAGGACCCGCCCAACCGCACGCAGGTGGACGAATGAAACCTTGGTCATGCTGGCCAGGCAGTGACTTATCATACGCTGGATGACGATGGCGGGATGGGAGAGAGAGAGAGAAAGAGAGAGATGGAGATGTTCCGCTGCGCTGCGTTGCGCTGCGTTGCGTTGCGGGTTGCGGCAGTTGTTTGGCAGTTGGCCTTGGTGTTGATGTTGGTGTTGTTGTTGGGGAGGGTCTTGTCTTTGGCCTGGAGAGAGAGATCCGTGAAGGATGGATGGATGGCTGAGGGAAGACGCCGAGAGCTCACCAGCCGCGCCGATGGAGATTCGAGATTGAGGCGAGGCAATACAGTACCCGGGCCTGGGTCCATCCTGGACCTTGTCTTGTCCAAGCACGAGTACACAGCAAGTACACCACCCCCAAGCGCAATTGCTCAAGGTACTTGTCCGCAACCGCAACAGAGACAAGGGCCTATCCCGCTTTGGAGGCCCTGCCCGTCTCGTCTGGTACCCGTGCCACCGCAAGGCCCGCCCGCCGGCTAAACAGGCGCCCGTCAAGGCATGGCCCATGCTCACTCACTTGCGGAAAAGGAACCCTTGAAGATACAAGCACAAGAGCAGCACAAGAAGCAGCACAAGCAGCCAGACCCAGACCAGGCTAGGACAGGTATTGGCCTGAGGGTTGTTTATTTTTGTTTATTGTTGTCTTTTTTTCCCGCATCGCAGCGCAGCGCATCGCATCGCATCCCGGTTCAGCTCAGCTGTGCAAGCAAGCAAGCCAGTCAGTCAATAGTACCTATTGGCCGTGGTGGATGCGCCTGTGGATGCGCCAGACGCATGTGCAAGTGCAAATGCAACATTTGAACTGCAGCTCAGTCGAGCTCAGTTCACTTCAGTCCAGCTCCCGTTGAGTCTGGCCGTGAAATTGAAAGCGCTCCGCCGTCCGTATAGCGTCAATCCGTCCATCCACAGACCCCGGCTCGCTCGCCCACAGGGGGCCCCTCCAGGCTGCTCCGTCGCGAGCACTCACAGACGGTCCGGATGCAGACGCGGCTCCATCTCACGATGTGCTGCAGCTCCCCGGCAGACCTGACAGACCTGGATTGCCTTTACTGGCCGGCTGGAACTGGCTAGACACGCCACCCAGACGCCCTCCGCCAGCCTGTCGACGGCCCTCCCTACATTAGTGCGGCGGCCTCTGGATCGTTGTGTCAAATCGCCACTGCAGGGTGCCGTCATACTCGACCTTGCCGGGTGCTAAAATAGCTACATTGACCAGACCAGGCCATATCATTTGATGTGCAAAGTACCAGATGGTGGCTCTGGCCGGGCGGGAGTACGAGGTACGGCCCTCGGTACACGTACTCGTGCCGGCCTGTGCTCTACCGGGGATTTGTGTGCGAGTTGGCAGCTTTTGCGCTCTTGCTCGTGGTCACTGTACCTCTTGACTTACTGTACGGTACAAGCACGAGCACGAGCACAAGCACACTCGAATCGCCGTGCTCTATTGATTTTTTTTCACCACTACTATAGGCAGGCCAGGGGGGCCCTGGGCGGGTAGTATTTTTTGGGCTTTGCACCAGAGCAACTCACTCACCCTGGAAACCAAACCCAGATCCAGGGCGAGCATCGATCATCCGGGCCGTGGAGAAGCTGCTGCTTGCTTGCTTGCTGCTTGGCTGCACCAGACTGCCTATCTACCTTGCTATTACTAGAGTAGTACCTGCTGCTGAGGTACCAACCAAACGTGCTGCTGTACCAACCGACTGACTCAACACCGTTTTTGACCGCGTCTACGAGGACGGACGGGTACAGGTCCAGCCAGATCCAGGTTCAGGCTGGCTATAGTGCAGTTCCATTCTCAAACTGCGTGCTCCAGACGTGCGGCGCAGCGCGGCCTGTTGGACGCTTGCAAACGCCTCGCCTCGCCTCGCGGATCTTGGACAAACTGCCTCGCAGGCTCTCTCTGCTCTCTCTGGCCTGGATCCGTTATTCCCCAAAGAGGTCCTGGTTCATCAGCATCCCGCAACAGTGGTGGCTTCCCCCAGCCCACCGTGGCAACCTTTTTTCTCTTGTCCCTCTTAAAAGAGACACGGGCTGGAACTGGACCTTGATTCCTCCTCCTCTCTCAACTCTTCTCTTCTCCTTTCGCCTCTTTGCTGCAACTGTCGACTCCTCGGCCCCGGGCTCGCATCAGGGCATAAAAACCGCCGGGGGTGCGTTACGTACGAGCACGGCTTGACATCTGGCAACCGGCCGTGCTTTTTCTCCATCCCGGCAATCTGCACCCTTCTCGTCTTTCTTTGCATCTGCTCGCTTCATTGCCTGCAACAAGCGTGCTACTGCATGTCGCGGATCGACGCTGCACAACCCGCGCCTCTCCATTTGTTTTTGTTTCTCTTCGAGACCCCCAAGAACCCGCTCGTATTAACCACGAGGGCCTTGGAAAAAAGCCGCGCGCCTGCTAGCCGGTGTCGTGCATCTTTCTTCTTCACGATAGTGGGCTGGAGACGACATTGACGGACAGGGAAACGGGAGGATCCAGTCCCTCCACCACTGCTTGCCGGGGGAGCAACGCCCATCTGCAAGGCTTTTTTTTTTTTTTTTTTTTTTTTTTTTTTTTTTTGACCAGGCCTTGTTTCTCGACTAGTTTCTGGCCTACTTTTTTTTCTGTCCTAACTGTTGACCCTGCGAGATCTGCCTGGGAGGGGTCTCGTGGAGGAGTGGCTGCACAACCACCACAATCAGGTTATCTTTGATCAGAGCCGTGCTACGACACTCTCTCGCCCTGCCTCGCAGCGTCGCAGTTGGACGATAACTCCCTCATCTCGGCTACTTTCTGGACTTGTATCTTTCGACTTTCGTCATATTCTTCTTCTCGCCGGTCCTTTGAAACCCTATACTTGCCGCAGCGTCAATGTTTGCACGAGAACCGGCATCACGTTCTATTCTCCTTTGCTCTTCTCTTCTCTGACGTCCACCACACCATTTCCCCCACCTTATCAGACACCATGGCTGCTTCGTTTTCCCTAGACGAGAAGGTATGTTGGATCACATAGTTGTTGGAAACCCTGTTGAAAACCAAAATCTAACCACGAGTGTCCTCGTCTAGCGGTTTGTTCTCGCCGAGATGATCAAATGCAGTACCGTTGATATCGAGAGGCTGGCACGATTTGTCGAGTCCAATGTATTCGACCCAAAGTGGATGACCATGCAAATACCATCAGGTATGGTGGCGATATACCTTTACCGCGACAGGTTCGGTTTTCTAATTCTACATAGGCCGCAACCTAGAACAGTGCATGCAAGTCGCGAACCTCCTATCGGCAGCCCCAGGTCATAGATCCGCAATGTCTCAGAATGATCATTTGACCAACAACGGTATGAACCACCCAAGGCAGATAGCGCCGAGAACGAGTCCCGGCGGCCAAACGCCTCTGGCCATGCCAACGTCGCCTGGCAATATGTCCCCATGGCAGCTGGCGGATGGCGTTGAAGATAGACGACCGGTTCAGTACGAAGCTCCTAGCTCTCAAGTTCCAAAGAAGAGAGGACGCCCGTCGAGAATAGACCGAAAGACGGCCCCTCCGGCACGACTTGCCACCATCGCCCCCAAGCCTGCTCAGCTCGCCCCGGGTCCGAATACGCCTCGAACTATTCTTCCAGCAGCTCAGCGACAGGACGATACTCAAACCTCTCTGCCATCTCCTTTGGTCCATACTCTACCGCCTCTCGATTCGCCCCCGGGTAGGAAGAAAAGACGGACGGCCATGGGTGCAGTGTCGGTTTCTACCTCTCCTCCTGCCCCTCCTCCTGGCCCCTACCTACCTCCTGTTACCACCCCTCCATCGTCTCTAGACTATGGTAATCGGCCGGTAAGTTGCAAGACGCAAATGTTACGTGTCCTTTGACTAACTCCATCGCCATAGCGAGCATCAAGTGAGACAGACTCCATAGGCGTGCGCGAGTCGGGGCAGATACAGCCCTCTCGCCCAGTCCCGCTGGAGCCGGAACCACGACACCACCCTCTCATGCCGGTTGGATCTGCGGCACCGCCATCTCAGATCAAGGCCTAGCAGCAGAGCCATGACGTTCTGATTTCGATTTTCCAAGCATCTCGGCCAACGGCGTCAGAGAGATGCCCTACAAGGATACATTTTATGTTTTCGATGCAGCTTCTCAGCTTTCTTTCCTTCACAATGACTTTATATACCCTCCAACTTGTCCTTTTTATTGCATTCTGCGGCTTTCTGTTTTTCTTTTCACCTGCATCTTGTTGTTTCCCCCTTCCTTTCTTTCCCATGATTTTACTGTGTGGGGATGAAGCATGCCAGCGGCGTCTGGTGGCTGCATGGCCTGAAGAGTCGGCCGCTTTGACCTTTGGAATCTACATGGATGGATTAAATGAACCATGATGAAATTGGGCTTGGCAAATGAGTTAGGCAATCATGAATGATATGCTCTCATGATAGGGTGGGCTATCTGCTATCTTGCGCTTGCTTTCATTCTTTTTACATGTTACGGATAGATTGGCTGAGCTTGCCGTTGAACGGCACCTCGGCCCCTTTTTTTTCTTCTTCACAACCACGGGTAGCCTTCATTTCTGCACCATAGGGAATCCGACGATGCGAAGTCTCTTTTTTTGGCATCTGAGGATTGTATGATTACTATTCAGGTATGTGGCTTAGATGGGCAATACGAGGTTGGCTGGTAGGTATCTTTTGTTTATAGAGGCGCTCGGGGGTAAGGTTGGGAGGTAGTACTCCGCAGTTTGTCCATTCTCGACGTATCAACTGCAGTACCTTTTGGCCTTTGGAATGTGCACACGTATACCAAACATATACGTATTGGTGGTAGTCTCTACTGGATAGCGACGAATAGAATGCTTTTGTGTCTCTATTTTGCTCAAGGGCGATGGGAATAAATTGCTGCGCTGTGATTGCACGAAAAAAAGAGGCGTTGTCTTGGGTTGACATGGGTGTTCGATTGGAGCAGCAACGCAGGCAAGGGAGGGAACTGGTCTATTGGACAGAAATCGTTGGCAACGGGAGGTGAGTTTTGTGTTTCTAAAAATAGGGGCTCGATCTATTTTGATGCTGGGTGTCTCAGATTTGTGTTTGATTTAGATTGTAGGAAATAGATGGTATTGTGAGTGAGAAAGAGATGGCGGTATTAAGGGGGAGATTGATATCTTTCTCTATAGGTTGTAGAGAGAATGACGAGAGATTATGTAGGTAGTTTGTTGTAGGTAGATGTATTGGATATATTCTTGGAAGAAGTTGATGTATATTTCTATTTATCACGCTTGATCAATGGTCACGATACATGCTCTTGGGTAGGTAGGTAGTTTTCTCAAAAAGGCCATTAATGGCGACTTTCAATTCTGTTGTAATCCAATTGTTGTAAGAATCATTGCAACTATAACAGAATACATTACTTTTTTTTTAATACATCAAAAATCGCTATTTTTTTCTTCTTCTTTTTTGCTTCCCTTTTCATTCCACCTCTTCCCTTTACAGAGCCTTGACGACCTTCTCCAGGGCGTCCACCAGGAGATCGGCGTGGTGCTCCTGGAAGGTCAGCATGGGGCGCAGGCGCACGGCGCTGGCTCCGCTGCCGCCAATGTTGATGCCAAACTCCTTTGCCTTTGCCAGGAACTGGTCGCGCTTGGGGTTGTCAAAGGCGATGAAGGTGCCCTGGCCCTTGCCGCGGAGGTCCTGGAACTGCTCCGGGTACTTGCGCTGCAGGCCCTCGAGCTTGGTGAAGAGGTAGTCGCCGACGCGGGCGGTGTGGTTGACGAGGTCGAGGCGCTCAATCTCGCCGATGATGGCGCGGAAGAGCAGGGCGCGGGCCGGGTCGCCCATCCAGGTGTTGAACTGGCGGTAGGGCTTGTTGGGCCGCAGCTCCGGGTTGCCGTAGTAGAAGCCGGCCGTCTGGGCCTTTTTGGAGAAGGTGACCATGTCCGGGGGGTCCTGGAGGTTCCAGTGGTCGTGGGCCCAGAACTTGCCCGTGGCGCCGACGCCCGTCTGGACCTCGTCGACGATGAGCAGGACGTTGTGCTTCCTGGTGAGGGCGCGCAGGCCGCGGAAGAAGTTGGGGGTGGCGTGGTTGTCGCCGCCCTCGCTCTGGATGGGCTCGACGATGACGGCGGCGGGCGGGATGTGCCACGTCTTGATGAGCTTCTCGACCTCGTCGAGGCTGGCCTGCTCAATCTTTGCGTTCTCCTCGGCGTGGTCCTCCAGCGGGTACTTGAGCTTGGGGAAAGACGCCTGGGGCCAGTCGAAGGCGGGGATGTCGACCTTGTGGATGGGCTTGGAGCGGGTCGTGGACAGGGTGCCAAACAGGCGGCCGTGGAAGGCGGTCTTGAAGGACAGGATGGACAGGGACGACGCTCCGGGCGCCTGGTTGTTCATGGCGGAGTCGAGCTCCTCTTGGGTGAACTCGACGTCGGGGCCACCACGCTCTTGCTGGCGGCGGTAGATGAAGGCGGCCTTGAAGGCGGTTTCGTTTGCGTCGGAGCCGGCCATGGCGGTGAAAACGTTGTCGAGGCCCTTGGGCGCCACCTTGAGGATGCCTGTCTTGAGGATCTCGGCCCAGTCGTGCGAGGGGAAGTTGCCCAGGGCAGGGCGGTTGATGATGGCGTTGACCATGTCGGGTGTGGACGCGGCCTTTGCCAGGGCGGGATTGTTGTAGCCAACGGGGATGGAGGCGATCTGGGCATAGCTGTTTTACACGAGGTTTGTTAGCAATTGAAGCAACGACAGGAGATCGCGGGGTTTGTAAATTGGGCGTCGTTTCGGCACTTACACGTCGAGCAGGTAGTTGCCATCGGGGTCGGCAATGTAGTTGCCCACGCTCTTGGTGTAGTCGGTCATCATGTTGATGCTGCGCGTGTCAAAGACCTCGCTCAGCTCGGCGATCCTCTTGGAGCTCTGGGGTCCGGGGATGCTGGCCTTGAGCACGGGGGCATCGGGCTCGCCCTGGACAAAGGCCTTGGACGAAGCCATTCTGACGGCGAGGCTGCGGTTGAAGGAGGAGGAAACGCGCAGAGGAGATCGGATGGCAGGACGCAATGCCTGAGCAGCACGGAGGGCGGGCATCTTGGGCGATTTGATGCGTGTGTGTGCTTCTTTTTATGTGGTTTGTCTTGGTTTGTTTCGTTTGTGAGAGAGTGTCGCAAGCTATGACAGAAGCCTTGCGTTCCGTCTCCCCGCTTCGAAGCCACGTGAGGGTGCAATTGGCGAGGCTTCTCACTTGTATGGCCTGTTTGCACCTAGCCGATGTCTCTCAAAAAGATTGTCACACACGCAACCAAACGATTCCGTCACTCTCTCTGGTGGGTTGGTGCGACACCCCTTCGACCCTTTATATCGACGGATGGCGGCGGCTTATCAGTGGGGGGGGGGGGGGGGGGATTGCGGGGGAGAAGAGAGGCCCGATGCATTGGACGACGGCGTTGTGACTAAACCGCTACAAGCAGCAGTACAACATCAATTGCTTTGGGTTTGTCTTGCTTTGGGGCCATTCAAGGAGCCGCAATCGGGATCCGGGGTGGACGCCCATTGGCTGCTCAACATGTTGGATCCTCCGGCCGTGGTGAAGAGTTGGCCAAGTCGGGCAGGCGATCTATTTGGGTAATTGTTTGGCCGGAATTCTACGAGCGTTCCTGTGATCAGATCCCCGTGCTAGTCTGAATAGCGCCCAAGCCTCGATCCAATTCCATCAGCTCTACCGTGAGTCCAAGTGAAGACGGAAAGACTCCATCACAACATTGTTCGACATCAGCTTTCCAATCTCCATAATCCCATCCGACCTCGGCCTCCCTTCCCCTTTCGCCCTCCTCTCTCCATCCCCAGTTAATTGTCCAATCTCTTCCAACGCCGCCCTCGCACCTGACCATGCATTTGTCTTACGTTTTAGTTGGTTCCTCGCGTCAAGGGCGCGCCAGTACAAGTCGAGTAGTTTATGGCGGCCTGACTGACGCCATTTTTGCCGTTTGGCTACGAGTACATGGACACACGTGGGGCTGTTTCGTGTCCGGTGTAATCGAATCGATCCAAGATAAGGCAATAAAATGTAAAAGCGTGCATGAGTAGCACGCCGTATCGAGTGTTGCAGTTATTACCACATTGTCCAGAACGGGAACAACAGGCTGTTTCCTCTTTTGTATTTCGTGTCGTTATTTGAACGGAATTGAGTAATGCCGGCAGCCATTGAGTAAATGGTTTGTCCTTCTTTTTTCCCCAAAGGGGTGTACAAGAGCCCGTCGCCGGAGCTTTATCATCGCCGGCTCCGCTCTTCATCACCGCCTCCGGCTCCGGCCCTACTGGACGCCAACGGATAACATTACGAACCTGGTACGCTTTTCACATGATAGTTACAACGAAAGAGATGGATTGTTTTGCTATACGGTCATGTTTTGGTTCAAAAAGAAGCATCTAGAATGTAATTTCTTTCAATCTTGTCGCCAAAAAAGAATCCTGCAGCACAGCCTGTAATCCTGCAGCTGCGCAATCACAATGCGTTTCCCATCTCCAAAGATGTTCCGTCAATGTGCACATCTACACATCTTAAAAAAAAAGCAATATGCCGCCCAATAGGCAGCGCAAGTCGACATGCTTGCTCTCTGTAAAGAATAAACACAACAAAAAAACAACCCATGGTTGGCCAACTAGAATCCAGTCGGCCACACCAGATGCGCCATGAATATGCATGCAAAGCAACAAGTCCACCTCTTCCATCCTCGGATGTACAACTTGTTTTCTATACTGGTACAATTGACAACGTCCACGCCCATAGCCCTTCTCAATGGCCGCCTTGCTCCTCTTCTAGTTCTCGAGTATACTTGGCGAATGTCTTTTTGTGAATCTATCGCACACGCATGGTCAGGGCTTCATCATCTGGACATGATTGATACGGATTGTGACTTACCATGCCGGCATATTTGCCGTCTCTCAAGACGCAAATGTACCGCAGGCCCAGCTTGACAAAGCACTCATACGCCAGATCGATCGGCGACCTGATATCCAGGGCAACAGGTGCCTGTACGCCATTAGCACGGATCAAAAACAGTTTCCACCTTGTGTCATTAACAAATACGTACCGGATCGATGAATTGGGTAAAGTCCGTGGGATCGGGTACGCTGCCAATGTCGTCGTCATCGATGCTAGGGATTTGATCCATCAAGCAGAGGTTTGAGCCTTCGTCTCGAAGCTGGTCCAGCGCAAACTGAAGGTCTGGAGCGGGAATGAGGCCCACCAGGACATCTTCTCTCAGGATGGGCAAACCACCGTCGAGCTCACCGTGGCGATGAAGGAGTTCGAGCTTGGTGCGGAGACTCGAGGCGGGGACCATTGGTGAATTCGTAATATCAATCACCCGCTCTCTTCGTAAACGCCGAACCAGCTCCGTCAAGTCGCCGGTGAAGATGGGCTTGTGTTTGTTGTCCAAGAATGGATAAGCATTCATGTTTGTAAGGAGATCCTACCATCTTTGAGTCAGCACGTCACACTTCATCAGTGTCCGGTTGCACTTACATAAATACTGCTTGGCTCAATGGCATCTGCTGTCCATTTGGCCACAAGAATCGATAGGGAGAATGGCAGCACGTAGTCGAGACTGCCAGTGAGCTCAAACAGAATGACGGCCAACGTCACCGACAGCCGTGTGACACCACACATGGTTGCACCGGCAGCGATGAGACCATAGACTCCGGGCTGGATACAGGTTCCGTCCGATGCGGTTGCACAACCACCCCAGACACTCCAGTCGGGTGTGACGAGAACCAGCCACTGTGCCAGGTGACCAACAATCCGTCCCATTAAGCCGCCGACAACCATGGATGGGATATAAATACCGGCGGGGACTTTCTGTTGAGCGAATTAGCATGAAAATTTCGGAGCAACCAGGGGG